GATTAGAATCTCCAATGTCACTCCTATCTTTACTCCACAGATCACCATCGCAAAGACGTTCAGACCAGTTCATCACCCCGAACCCATCCTCCTCTTTCATTTATCAATCAACAAAAATGTGGAACGACTGTCGAAAAATTGACAGTTTGATAAGCTTTACTAAGTCAACAAACTTAGTTAAAGTAACACTGAAAAGTGAGCTACTCAAGATACAGTCCAGGTACGAAGAATTAGAATGGACAGAATTAAACTTCGATAAGAATGAGCTTGTGTTTTAAAACAGAGTCCTTTGACTTGGTTATTTTAAAATTGAAGAATCTTTTGGCCACAACTCACTTCGTTCGCATTATAGATTCACATTCACTTTCACTTTCACCATCACGCACAGTACAGGGTCATACCTCAATACCAAATTATTATAGGGCACAAGAACAAATTTGTTTACAATTATCAAAATTTGTTGAGCCCAGCAGCTTTCTTTCCTCTCTTCCCCCGTCGTCTGGAGTGTGTGATTTTTGTCGATGTCCGAGCTCTTATATTTATCATTAGTTTATGGTTAACTTTCTGTGATTGGACTCGGTATTTTCGTCCCGGCCGAGTGGGACGATGCTTGCTCGCCAGTTAAGCTTACTGCAGTAGATAACACTAATTTCTACAAACTGTAGAATATTAAATATAAAATGTGTCCAGTATGGCGCAAATGCATAATTTGATTATTTTTCGACGCTGTCGTCGGGGTGAGAGTTATCCGAAATAACTGCATGCCCCTACGATTGCGTCACCACTGGTGAGCAAGCATTTGTTTGTTGTTTAGTTGTGTTGAAAGGGAACATTACTTGATTAATTCATCCATCCGGATTTTAATAACGATGAGCTTTGATATATATACCGTTCATCTAAGATTATTGGATCAATTTTATTATATGATAAGATTTTATAAACGAACTTGGCACACAAAAGATTATAATGCGGAGGTTGGCTGGCTCTTTTATAATAAATACGACACTCCAATTTACAGAATGCTTGTTATAGAATAAAATAAATAAATATTATCAGACTATACATGCAGCATGAGTAACTGGTGGATAGGATAAGCCCTCGGTAAAAACGGATCCGGAAAAGTCATTGTGGCACTCGGGTCCTTGGTATTGTCGTCGGTATATTGTCCATTACCTACGTTCTGCTTTCATAGTTTAAACAATAGTGAGTTCTAAACATAAATATAACAGCTTTAAACCGACTAAGTATGAATGAATGAAATACCTGACAATCTACACTCCTATAAAAATTAAAAAAGCAAGCATGAGTAACTCGTAGTGATGTATGATTTCTAAAAACTTTAAATTAAATTTGGCGCTCACAGGTCCTCATGATCATGTGATCGCCGCATGAGGTTCTGTAAATGCGCAGGGCACCTTTGAGCTTATATTATTCACCTTACTGAGGCAGTCAACCAACGCGCGGCTTTATTTTTATGATATGATATGTTTTGATTGTTATTAATAAATACCAAAATTTAAATTTGTTTTCCTTAAAAAAATTTGTTTTCCTCTTGTGTATTCAGTAAGTGTGGCCGACTTCTCGTGTATTCAGTAAGTGTGGCTGCGCGTTGCCGTGTTGGGGTGCTATCCCGGCGCGCGTGCCGGAGCTAGCCCACCTCCCTGGCGTCCACGCGCTTTGGCTATTTCGCTATATCAGAATTGAACTCTGCGATCGTTTTCCGTTCTGTGTGTCTGGTAAGATAATTATTGGTAGAGAATCAGGGTTGCCATACCGCTCACCTGAGCTTGAGCGCTCGGAGTCTTAGGAGCCAGTCCAGACACTTGCCTGGATTGCATCGCAATAGCTCCGTATTGACTCCTTACGCTGAGCAAGTTGTTATATACTCTGTAAGTTTCGCGTTTGCGTCTGAGGTACCAGTCCAGACTAAGTGTCTGGTTCGCATCACGATGGTCCTATAATGACGCTTTGCGTTTAACTCAAGAGATGTGAGTACGATGAGATTGTAATTTTATTGTCGGACTGTATCTTGGAGAGTATCAATCCGATCTACCTGTGGTTCTATTTGTATTCTGATGACAATTATCCAGGATGATTCCAAGCAGCTTGCTTGGACCGCATGAGTAGGTAATTTTAAAGGGACGGGGTGATTATAAGGGTTGTTTGGTGGTAATGAGTACATTTTGTGTTTGAGGTTCAACTGGGGTGCTGAGTAATATTTAGAGAACATGAAGGAATAAGTGGCATACAGAGACAGGAATGATACACAGTGTGATTGTTTAAAGATAGAATGGAAACCAAAAGAATTGTGTGATTGAGATAATAACTCTGTTCGCTATCAGGATTGTTTGATAGTCCATGTTGCCGGTTGATGTGATGGAGTGGCAAGTTTCCCGTTTCAGCTGTTGAGTGATCGGTTCGGGCTCTGATCGTAGTTGAATGTTGTATTCCGTCCTCATTTCAGCTTTATCTCAGTTCCGTTCAGGTCTGAGGAAGTTTGAATTATCTGCTAAGTGTGGGTCGAGTTGTAATCTGTAACGTTATGCCATTGCATCACAGGAGGACCTGAAGAGAAACATAACGATTATCTCTGGTTTCATCCTTATGTGGCAAAGAAGCGTTTTATAAATCCTCATTCCACTGGGAAATTGGATTAGGTTTTTAAAATAGGATAATGTTTTGATAATTTTTTTTTAAATATTGTATTTGATAAATAATTAATGTTGGTGGGGAAATATTTATTGTATATTTTGTTCACATAGTGCGATGATATTTTGTAGACGTCATGTGGATACAAGGATACAGGATACAAAAGGGATAATTACTTTATTGAATAAAGTAATGTGTGATCATGTGTGATCATGTGTGATTATGTGTGATCATGTGATGTCATAAATTTTACTTCACTTCACTTCACTTCACTTCACTTCACTTCACTTCACTTCACTTCACTTCACTTCACTTCACTTCACTTCACTTCACTTCACTTCACGTCACATCACGTCACGTCACATCAAGTCACATCACGGTCACGTCACATCACGTCACATCACGTCACGTCACTTTACCATACCGTCTCCTGGAAGAGGAGACAATGAATCACTTTATTGGTCAGTGCCCGAAGTGGTATTTTCAACGAGGAGGATACTCTGACTCCTTTTACCTTTAGTGTGGCAGACATAGTGGACATCTAGGAAGGATCATTTGATCCATAAGCGCAACGAAACGTTTCACCAAATGTGGAAAAAATAAAGATTAACTTTTAATTTCCACTCATAAGATTTAATGAGGTGAGCACAGGGCTCCAATGAACTATCTTGTAGTGGTCATCCTAAACATGACCACAGTTCCCTAAAAAGCTCCCTAAGAAGGACCAGTTTACTGGTTATTTGGTGTTTTGGTTCCCTAATTTTGTTTACACTCAGCTCAGTCACTTGTGAAGGCGTCTACAGCTCTTTCAGTGGATTTTATTTGTAATAAAATTATTTACTTCGTTGTGTAACAATTTGAAAATTTATTGATGAAAAAGTGACAACAAGGAATTAGCATTTGAAATTATAGTGTTGTAAATCGCTGAATGAAGCAACAATTAATTAAACTAGCAGGAACCCGTATAACCCTAAATAGTGTCAAGACTGAAGAGACTAAAATGATTATTACCTATTTAATTCGCATTTTTGACACCACTTGGGGGTCCAAATTTTGGGCTCTAAAACTCCTATTTCTTGGCCTATTATTTATTTTTTCATTTTTTAAAGCATTTGAACCGTTCAAAAAAGTTTCAGTTGTATATTTTTTACGGTTTTTGCGGAAAGTCACGTTAAAGTTGATGCCGTGGTGTTAGTAAAATGGTACGGAACTCCCCATATATATCGTCTCGCTTTATACGTCATAGTAAGATTGTAGTCTTATTGAAAGAGTGCTTTATAAATTTTTTATAAATCTAAATCTATTTTATAAATATATTTAATAAAAACTGCATTTGTTAATGTTGGTGGGGAAAGATTTATATATATTTTCATATATCAGTGCAAGTGTTATGATACTTTGTAGAGATGTGACATGATGATGTGATGTCATAAATGTTTCTTTACCTTATCAATAAAAAGCATCATTGTAATCAATATATTAACATGGTGTTAGTTTATTCATACTTCCCAGTGGAGTAAAGATTTATAAAACGTTTCTTTGCTATGAAACCAAAGATTGTGTTTTTCCTTATTACTGACATAACTGGTACCTTCAATTCTTGTTAAAACTTCTTTCGAAACATTCCAAAAATGAAAGTCATTTACGATACATTTAGAAATCATATCCTTGGTGGTTACACACACAATGCAATGTGTTTGTATCTTGAATTGTCAAGAAACTCAGTTTAAGACATCACATACTTGGCACCTGTGAGTTAAATTGTCGTGTTGAAAAAACAATCGTCTATTTACAAAACATTACTGCACCTACAAGTTGCCTGTGTCTCCTAGGCTGGTTTAAGAAATATATAAACAATTAAAAAATTAAAGTTATAATAATAATTCTAGTGATACATCTGGGTGATGAATTTGTGAGATCCTGAGGACTTCTTTTTCTTGGTAGCTGATTTTATGATTCGAATCTAAACCTAAGCCAACCCTAAGGAGACTATCTATATTTCTGATGAAAGATGAGAGGGAGTGAGGTAGAGAAATTTTAATAACTGACATTAAGTTGTCTTCAAAGTCTGAGTGTTGACTTGCTGTCTTCAAAGTCTGAGTGTTTACTTGCTGTCTTCAAAGTCTGAGTATTGACCTGCTGTCTTTTAAGTCTGATTGTTTACTTGCTGTCTTCAAACTATCCAGTTCTACTTTAGTCATATCATGGCTGGTTTACTTCTTCCCCTCACTCCGTCAAACGTTTCAAATGTAATTGATTATTATATGCAGATGTTAAACTGTATGATGTACATGATAAATTAATTTGCTGATCTGCACAATGTCAATCAAGATGTTATATTTGATAACCACAATATATTTTAGAGAGAATGAAGTAGATAGAAAAGCGATATGAGTCCAGAAACGAAAAAGTCATTGGAATTTGAATTCTCCTACAGTGTCCCAAAAGGTAAGACAGTGAATGTAACCATCCCTTTGCTACTTCCCTTGTCCGGTTTACCCACTGACTACGCTGAGGTTCACATCAGAGACAGTCGGATACCATGTTTTGCCGAGGACGTCTTCAGGGAAACATTCCTGACATTTGTGGCAGAGGAAGAAGAAAAAATACGTCAGGAGGAAGGTGATGCTGCTCTAGTAGACCTGGTGACAGAACTTGGGGATCTGGTTGATATTTGGGAGAGCGAGGCTCGTGTCACTACACCTGTTTCAACTCACAGCATACAACAGGAGGAGGAATTTGGACAGATCTGTCACAAGCTCTATCATTCACCTGTCCTACATGCCATGCGAGCGGAGGAGAATAGAGCTGCCCAGGAATTACGGGGTCTAGTCAAGAAACGTAATGACGAAATCAAGAAGATTCAGGATCATCACATCATGGCGATGGAGGGTTATGTGAACAACGGTGGACATGTCGATACTACAGCAGTTAATGATTTGGCAGCAAGCCAAATTGAACAACGACAGGACTGTGAAGTAAAGTGGGCGAGTGAAATATCACATCTCATGGAGAAACAGAGGAAAGAATTTTACTCATGGGTTCTGAAGACCTACGAGGAGAGTCTTGGTGGCAAAGAGTACTCTTCTAACATTCCAAACACTAACAATTACTCGCCTGAACCGCAGTCCTATCCTAAGTTGGAGGAGAGTTTCTCCATTTGTATCGGTTCTCAACTGAAAATAACACACAGTTTACGACTCTTTGTCGATAATGTTTGGAATCTCTGTGCGGGTCATCCCAGAGCCCCTGAGAGACTTCAAACTGCTCTATCACTCTACACAAACAATCTCTCCGGTCTGATACTGCTAGTCGACAACAGACTCAACCTGTACAGCGGCAACACTCACAAGTTATCTAAAATATCTGAAGTATTCCCGGAATTTCACTTTCCACCTTTTGATCAACAGCTAACTACCATCCGACAAAAACTGCTCAACCCTGATGTTGTGAAGAGGAGGACTCCCACAAACTATCTGATCGATGATACTGTTCCAGACGCAGTTATCAAAGAGGACGAGACCTCGGGAGATCTTATCTTACCTACAGGAACTTGTTATCTGACCAGACATTCCAATCTCAAGCAGGTACACTGTGTTATACATCTTGTGGGGACTGTTCACGAGGTTCAGGGTGAGGTGACTTCGCGGGATTCACTACTTATTGGGCTGAAAAGTGCGCTAAAAATAGCTTCAGAAAATAACATGGACAATTTGGTTATACCCTTGTTTTTAACATCGACTCTTGAGCCAGGTATGAACCATGCATGGTGCATGAAACGCAGTGAACTTGTATTTAAGTGTGTCAAGGGTTTTATGATTGAAGTGGGTTCTACTGGCGTTATTAACAGCAAAACTTTTCACTTTATTCTTCCCAAGAACACTCCCCAGAAAACATTTCAATCTATCAGCAGTTTGTTACCCAACATATTCCGAGTTCCTTGTCCAATGGTTCTAGATCAAGGCTCCAGAAAGAAGACTTTGACTGTAGAAGAGCTTACAAAGCTGAACTTATCGCCTGATTCTAATACTAGTTGAAAGTGTACTGTGTTATCGCTGACTATTTTTAAACGTTTTAACTGAGTTAAAGTTTGCATGTTCTTTTTGGATACACTTTTTATGTTAAAAGCGATGTTGACTACTTGCTGATTGTCGTCTGATGTACTATTAAATGATAAGAATCATGTTTAATTTGTATCTTCTCAAAATATTTTGAATATTTTGAATCGTCTCAAATATTTTGTTCGTAATATGATTGCTTTGTTTTTCGTTTTGTGTATGTTTCACCTGCTTTCTGTTTTATTCTGTTTTTAACTAACTCCTGTCTCTTGTCACTGATCTCATTATTTACTCGTTTGTTCTTGTTTCTTATTCTGTCCCACTGAGGCAGCCACGTGTGGCGTTTTTGCTCTCAAGCCCGGATTTGCTAAAACGGTCTTCTTAAGGAGGCTGTTGGAAGGCGCGGTAACAAATCTTTTGATTATATCCGCGCGCACGTACCTTGTTATAAAATATTCCGTAGAATTTAAACTTCCTTATCTTCAGCTATGTGAAAAGTTCATCGGATTATGGAGAAAGTTCCAGTACCCTGGTTGCAGAACTTTATAATTTTTAACCCTACACTATGTATAAAAGAGGGACAGGAGGAAGAAAAGATTCTCTTCTACTACTGCAAAGATGAGGTAAATAAGCGGGAAATCGATTAAGTGGGGACATCATTGAGTTATTGTAATGATTCGTGGGTATTAAATTACAAATTGCTCATATAAACAACCAACGACTTGCTTCTTCCAGAAGTCAGATGACGCCAAAATCCGACAAGTTGGTTTGTGCGAAGGTATGATCAACTTTACCAACAAATTCTCCAACAACACTTGTGAGGTCCTGGAAACAAAACGAACTAGACAGGTATTACTACTAACTTATCACTTTTATAAGTAGAAGAAATCAGGAAACCTGCTTGGATGTGTCATTGAACCTTTCATCAGATCACTTAATCCGTTATTTATTTTCCTAATGTGCATTGTGCACCTCATACGATGAGTTTTGCGAATACTTAATCCTTAAACTTGCTTACTTTGGTAGGTTTATTTTGGACCTGAGCCTGATTTCTGGATGGTTTTGACGGTTGGAGTTCCTGAAAAAGGCTGCAGATTTGTTTCAAACTTAACTATGAGGTCCTTGCTCATCACAAGTTATAATCTATTCACCCTATTCTATGGTCCGTTCACTCCTCTGATGAACAAGCTAGCCGACACTCCCGCATTTCGGGTTGGTAATTTAGTTGATTTGTTTCTGAAGCATTTCAATCCCAAATCATTTCTTTTCTTTCTGTTCTGCTTCCACCCAGATATTTTTTGATAATCGATTTACTCAGTTCCTCATAAAATCAATCTGCAATTTTATGATTATATTTTTTCAGGCTAAACTGAAAAGGTTTTTCGGTCCATACCGTACAACTCTTAAAATTGGCGAAAGTGAAATTCTGGATCATGTAGCTGGTGTTCAGTATCTACCTATTGGTCAGTGAATCAACACGTTTTCAGTTCACTCAGTATTCAGTATACCATTATACCATTCGGTGCCATATTATATATGAAAATAAACAATAATAAATTATGATGGAACAGGTTCTAAAGCTTGCTAAATATTTGAAATATTTTGAGAACATTTACTTCAGATCCGAACACGTATTTGTGCTGTCAACGGTTCCTGTCCTCCCTCCAAGACCGCTTCTCACCCGTCCTCTACACCATGCTCCTCTACAAAGACAAGTTAATCTACTCAGCATTAAATAAGCACGACACCAAGGTTCTCTACCACTATCTCATAAACATTCTCTTCCCTGCTCATCTAGAAACTTCTGGCATGGAGTTCATCAGCAAATCTTTACAGACCATGGGCAGGTAAATGTAAGAATTTGTCATCGGTTGTTGAATTCGCTTTGTCTCAAGGAATAAGTATTACAGTTTCCCTTTTTCCACTCCTTGGTTACGGATATAAATCTCCAATCTATATTCCATACTCATATTCATCTATCAGGTATCTGAACGGTCCAGACAATTTCGACGAAAACATCAAAGCTAGCAGACTGCACCTGACTACCGACAGCAAAGACGGTGAATTGTCTCAGGTAACTTTATCATTTGTACTTGACTCGTTTCACTCCAAAATTTCGGAAGGTAAGGGGTCGTTCACAAATTACGTAATCACTTTTTGGCCAATTTTTAACCCCCCCCCCCCTCCCCCCTCCGTAATACTTTTTACACATAGCTATTGTGTCAAAATTACACTAGCGTAATCATTTGGAAATCCCCCTACCCCCTCGGCTGATTACGTAATCTGTGAACGACCCCTAATTTAAAAATTTTGACGAAGTCAATAAAAGCAAAAAAGGTAATGAAAATTTGGTGAGTCTGCTATGTTCCTTAATAGTAATAGGGAGAGAATAGCGTAGTCTTTATATAAATTCGTAACAAAGGTCTACATAAATGTGTTGTCCACATTCCCAGGAACCACGAAAAAGCGTAAGACTGAAACTGATGGGGGAAACTTTCTAGAGAACTTTTTCTAGGTGCTTATTCGCCTGCCCCCGAACCTTGAAAGTCATAACTCGATTTTGGAAGGTCTGTGTGATCACAACAGGGGATATAAAAAGTACTGTAATTGCTACATTATGGCAGACGCACGCGGTTTCCAAAGTGATCTGACAATCATATAACGATAAATTTAGGTTTTTTTTATTGAAAAATCACTTAAAACCTGTCTTCGTAGGTCAATTTCGATAACCTTTTGTGGGAGATCTCACAGACCTTCCAAAATCGAGTTATGGCTTTCAAGGTTAGGTTGGGGCGGAAGGGCGCCTGGAGAAACATTGCTCTAGAAAGTTTTCCCCGTCAGTTTTAGTCTTACGCTTTTCTTTTGTGGTTCCTGGGACTATGAACAATACATTTTTTCTTTTTCTTTTTAAATGTGTATTGATCCCGTTTGATGTGACAAGGAAAAAGTTCTTATCAGAAAAGATTTTCTGAGTTCAGTATTACACTAATTGCATACGTTGCTCTTTTCTTACTCTCTTATCTTAGTGCTTATCTCTGTTGATTGTAACGTGCAGCTACAGTGGTTTGTGTATCACCGTGTTACACGACCATGACCATCCCGCCCAGCGAGTATGGTGAAAAGGAGATCAACATGTTAAGGGGTGACTCAGTTGAACTTCTCAGCAAGGCTATGTACGAGATGGAGATCACAGCAATGAAGCAACTATCCCCTTCGTGCGTGAAGAAGATGAACAAGAACACTGCGTGTGACTTGTTGCACGATGCATTAAGATATTTGGAGGAGTTCACTGGTGTCGTATCCACGGACTACAAGATGGCCTCAAACTCAGTTAAACATCTTATGTTCGAGACACAGGAGACCATCATTAAGCTGCAGTCAGAACTACTAGCCTGCAAAAATGAACAGTTGGAATCGTTGCAGACGTCAGTTAAATCGTCAGTCGGAGAGTCTGTCAAGGCTGAATTCCAATCCTTCAGCTCGGTATTACAGGCGAATTGTCCAGAATCTCAGAAGCCTGTCAGTTCTGAAATGATCAAGAAAGCTGTGAAAACTGTGGTACAGGAGGAAGACCGAAACAAAAATCTGATGATTTTTGGTTTATCGGAGCAGGACAATGAGGAGCTCAGCACCGTGGTCAGTGAAGTGTTCTCAGCAATCGGAGAGAAACCCAGAATCGAAGCTAGTAGAGTCGGAAAGCTCAAACCTGGCAAGGCTGTGAGACCAGTTAAAGTGACTGCGGCAAGTGCAACAATTGTTAATCAGATTCTCGCTAAATCGAGAAACCTGCGAGCAACGGAAAAGTTTAAAACTGTTTTTATCAGCCCAGATCGATCTCCAGAACAGAGAGCCAAGCAAAGAGAACTCGTCAGGGACATGAAAAAACTGGTAACTGAGCAGCCTGATAAGCTACACTTTATCAGAAACGGTACTATAAAGAGTACTGATAAGACTAATAAGACTGCAGAATGAGCTTGTGTGTTTTTAATAATTGATTATTATTAGTGTATTCAAGTTTTTGTTGTGTGGAGGATGTTTTAACTCACTCTTGTGTGCCCAGTCTTGCACTGTCAGTATTTCTCGACACTTTGAGCACACAAAACTGTCAGTTTTCGCGACAATTGTCAGATTTCGTTTTCAGTTCTGTCAATTTCAAGCGCTACTAGCTCTACTACTAGTAGTCTACTTCAGCTCACATTAAAGGGAGTTTTCGTCGTGCGTGTAGCGCCCTTCAAGTTTAACTTGGACGGATAGGATTTAAAAAACTTCTGATTATAATATTTATACTATATTGTATTTTGTATCTATGTATTTTAGTAAATGGTCATTAGAACCACCGGCACCGTCCGGGCCCAAACAAAAAACAAACAGAACCTTTTCCTTGTCGCATCAAATAAAATCAATACAAATTGTACCCAAGAAACATTTCAACAATGCGACCCATGAATAATGTTCCGATCCGAATTTTACATGGACACCACATTCCTGTAGAGAAACCTTTGTTACGAATTTATTCACACATTATGATCCCATAGAGTTCTATTCTTGCCCTGGCCCTAACTATGAGTAGACTATGTTTACTTCCGATAAAATACGTGGTCACGCCGCACCATAGTAAACAATGCAGATCGCAATAACTGTTCAGCCCTCAGGCAGGTCAGCAGTTTGACCAGTCACACATTTAAATTAGATTAAGATATATTTCGAAGTAGAAAGTAACTCGATGAGGATTCATGTCTGAGTCCTTTCCATATCTGCGCCCTTGCCATATCTGGGCTCTTACCATATTCGGGCCCTTCTGACTTTTGGTGTCGTATTCCAGGGCAATTTCAAGGTTATTGTATGTAGCCTTCTGTAATCAGCCTTCTGTAATCGGTTCAGTATGCACTGAATATGAAAATGGGGTGATTTTGATTATGAAGGGTATTTTGAGATAACATATTAAATATGTTGTCGAGTATGAACATGTGTTGTAACTTCTATCCGTTATTTTGATGAAGACCCCCGGCCCCCTAAATGTGTTGATTCGCTGCTCAATCGAGCTCAAGTCTGACGATATCTCCTGTTTTTATGCTGTTTGATGCAAATCATCCATTGGACATTTCTTGTTCGCTGATTCTATAATTCACATTGGAATTGGATGGCCGTTTGAATCATTCAAAAATTGCTACGTATGTTTAAAATCGTACAAGTAGCACAAGCTTCTGATATCAAATCGTCACACTGGGTACATTTCAGGTGTTCCTTCTTGTGTACAACAACATGGACACTACACTGTGTCTTATGATAGACGCCACCACTTCCTGTACCAAGACCTTCTACAAGACTCTCCACGCTTTTCTCTCTACAAACGTTCCAACTCTTGATAACATCGTCTCCAAACAGGTACTCGGAATTGTGGTTTGTTTTCACTTTTCATTCTTTAGTAGTTTACTAGTTTAACATCATGGTTGTCAGAATCTTAAGCTGTATTGTATCAGCACTATTTGTTTGTAAATTGAACTTTATTTAAAGAAATTACATTTGAACGATCCTTTACGAGCTTGAAATATATTCGTTTGTTTGTTTTCCACTTGTCTCATGCTGTTCAACTATGTGTGCCAATGTAATCTCTATAACATTTAATTGACCTCAGACTCAATTGTTAATTAGCAGAATTGTAGACTTAGCGAAGAGATAATTCGTACTCCGTTTTATAGATCTAGATTGTAGAGTACGCTATATAAATATCTACCACATACCACACTTTATATTATCACAGACGACTAGTAACCGAGTACCGGTCTAGAGATTTGGCTGCTGAACCGGAAACAGTCGGATATCAATCTATTTTCCTGTTAGCTAGACCAGAACCGAGTGGCAAACAGGAGAATTTAAACTATACTGAAAGGTTCCGGAATTTCTAACCGCTGGTTGCTAGATGTCAGAAAATTGTTTTATCAGCCTTAGCACCCTGTGATCTTATGATGAGGATTGAGGACCCGGCAACAGCCGTTGGATCACAAGCAGAAACTATTTGTCGAACAAGAGTACACTACCTGGACTCTAGTTCGACAATCGACACGTACTGAAGTTCGACAGGGGTAATATCTGGCGAACTTAAGTTGTCGAACTATAGTGCGTGTCGAACTAGAGTACGTGAATCATACTAAAGCACCATATAATATGTAAAGCCCCGATTTACCGCCAACCCCCATTTACCGCGCCTACTGTACACTGTTAAATGTTAATCTTACCGATCATCCAAAATTACTCAATATCTCCTCCCAGGTAGCGCCCAAAGCTCTGAGCGGTGGATCATCATCACACCACGTGACTCCAGTTAACGACAATATCCGTTATCTCCTCTACAACTACGATAACCTTGCCTACGTTTCAACGCTTCATACTCCTCCTCTCATCTCAACAGCTTTCATGAGGACCATCAGTGATATCACCGCCGTCATCAAGGATAAACGTTAGTTTTGTATTTTATAAGGTTTGGTTGAATTTCTCTGTTTTATTAGAATTACAACTTCTAGATTTATGTGAGCTTTTTAAGATGTTAATATTAATTTAACTTACTTAAAGCCTACTTAATACCTGGTTTACTCCAAATAAACATCAGCACCTCCTTTATGCTTATACATTACACCTGTGTACAAAACGTAGTCATGTGTTCCATAGAAAAGATATGGTAATTTTGACACCAGTACCATATGCAAGAAATTTAAAACCATCACAGGAGAAGCTGATATAGTGATAAAGACAGGATCAGATATTTGGATCTCAGCCAGAAAAAGCAAAAGTCGCGTCCTCTTTTCGCTCATCCTCCAAAAGAACATGCACTACATAAACGTGGTGGAGGACGTTCGGAGACTTAGCCTGAACTTATTTAATAAAACATATTTTTGTGAGTATTAGTCTCTGAAGAGTATTAGACTGTGGTCTGTGAAGACAGTAAAATTCTCGACTTTCTTAATTTTAGAGTAAACTTTTCTTAAGTATTATTACGATTTTTACTGTTGCCAAATCGACGATTCCCCGTGCAATTTCAAACCAATTTGTGATCTGTTAAATTATGAAAAAGTATCATCCATAAATTCCACATATTATAGTCTAATCTAAGAGTGTTAATTTCTAAGAGTAACACCTTAAATAGACAATAATGGATGCGTTAAATAATTAATTTAGTAACGAAGTGACTTAACGGTATTTTCCGAATACTTGATCCGGTCCCTGTCCTAACGAAACGTTTTACGTTAAGTAACACATAGTAATGAGTAAGATAATATAAATAAGGGGACCAGTTACTGAAAGTACCTTTAAAATTACATTGTAAATAGATTGTGAGGAACACTTTGTTCGGCTGGCCCGACTTCTGTTAATTAAGAGTTACGTGTCATACCGATGTATTTGATGTCATCGCCATGATAAATTTGTGTATGTTTTGATAAATTAATTTTAATTTTTACTGTTTTCTTAATGAGTTTAATCGTTGATTACATATCTATGTCAACAAATTTCATTCGATGCTTTTTTGATTTGATTACATTCTGCTCATTCTGTTCATTCTGCTCATATGCAGCAAGAAAATATTCTAAAGAGGAATGTAATTTGATGTGAACAGGATATTTGTGCTCTGTCACGGTTATTAGGGTAGTGTTAGGGTGTTCCCGCAGTGTTTCTAGTCTTTTTTACCCTAGATGTTACACTAGCTAGTGTTTTTGTGCAGTACTACTAAAACCACTGTAAACCAGCCAAACAATCAGGAAAATCAATTTACAAGCCTCGATACCAAACCAGTGACCAGTTAGTGTTACGTTATATATATATCAAATTCTTATATTTCCTTCTCCTAATTAAGATAGCATGGCCAGTGAAAGGTTACCGTAGCTATGGATACGAGCCAACACGGCCTGAACTTATGGACAGTGAGATAATAAGAGCTGTGCAGAAAGATAAACGGACTAAAAAGGACAAGGTCAGTGGATAGTGATCCCGTGGATTTTCGACTTAAAAGTCGATCCGCCGTTAAAATAATCCGGAATTTTTCGAATTTGCTGTCTCTAATTTGGGCTAAACTAGCGCAAAGTTTAAATCTACATATTATTGTATAATATAATGCTTACTAATCATTCCAGAGAGATGAGCTTCCCAACTCGAACATAGCAGAAGATGATTTGTACAAGGAGGTGATAAAGCCACTAAAAGCGGAGTTCTCTGACCCAATAGTTGCTCCGCATTGGTGGAAGAAACCCGCTGATAACTTCAAGGGGTTCGCTGAGAAAACCCGCATCAACAATACCATCTGGAGACAATGGTTAGTATTTAAACATGATATTATAACTAGATATAACATGATATAACTAAATGGATTACTTTTCTAGAGGTTCAATCAGCGAACTTGAGTCGTGACTAGATTTCTTTTTACCCTCTCCAACCGACTTCTTTATTATGTGACATCCTCTTTTATCAATGAATCCAACACTGATAAAATGTATCTGGTCAAATAAACTGTAACTCAGGTATGTACATTTCGTGAAAGGAAAAGAAACAGTGGTAAAGTTCGCAAACCCAATGCCTTTAGCTGACAAGTACCACGCCCGAGTGCTGGCTGTAGTGGTTGAGGGCCACTATTGGTGCAGGTATGTTAGTGACCATCATGTCAACAACAGTAAATAAAACATTAAATAAAACATCAAATAAAATATGAAATAAAACATTAAATAAAACATTAAATAGAGCATTAAATAAAATTAATCGTTTCTAAAATTGGGGGTGTGCATTGTTAAACTCTTCGCTCAACTCTCATCACACATTTTTGCAAATATTCTTCTTTTCTAACGATGAACTGCATATGATGGTGTAATTACCGCAATTACACATAATTAATAATTGCTAATTACGTGTTACAGGAAGCACACTGCAATCAGAGCACAATACAACAACTGGAGGCACAGCAGAAAACCACTCAAACCTGTGATTAAGATCGACAACCTCGTCGTCAAAGATAAACAGCAGGTTTTTACTGTTTAAAAAATTATTTCCATTAATATAAAGGCATGATTATTGCTATGAACTGAAATTTGTTGTCCGCAACACCACTGTATTTAACCAAAATATAGTTTACCACAACACTGAAGTTTGTCTCTGTGCAGGAAGAAGTTGATATTTCCTCACCTGGTGTCGATGATCTAGTCCTCTCTGGTATGCTAAATGGGTTCAGTGATCTGGAAGCTTTAGATCTGTCAGTTCAGTTCGACCTACCGGACTTCTTCGGCAACTGCGATAACCTTCTCAACTTTGATACACCGACATGGGTTGATAAGGTGATAAGAATGGGACTGAAAAGACGCCTGAGATATATGCTGGATTATTCAAATTAAAATTATGATTCATTTGTAAAGGTTTTAAATGATATATATTATATATAACTTTACTGATCTGAAAGAATAAATCTAAATGTGTATCAGGTACCAGTAACTGAGCCAGTATCCAGTGCTAACGGTTATCATCCTCCAACCCCTGTTCTCTATCCTTTAACAGGTCAGAAGCTTTACCAACCATATTATTATGTAACTTTAGACCTGTCCCCATTCATGAGTTCTTACCATTTCACTAGAATGTTCTGTAAAATCCTGTACCAAAGTGTTCGAAATAGTAACACACAACAACCTCAGGACCCCCACAAGTCACAACATCAAGCGAGGATCAAATAGACACGACCAGTCTTAACACCCTAGCCACGGCTGCTAACATGTCCGAGTACTACCAGTCTGGTTCCCAGCAGCCCCAGTACCCTTATCGGCCCCCTGATCCGGGCTACCGGCCCCCATACCCCCAGCAACCCTACATGGGACAGGAGAGACCTTATAACGGAGTAGAAACTCAACAGTCTGCCTGTAGACAGTTCTCAGAGCAACCCCCTTCAGTCACACCAAGTGTTATGAACATGGAGCAGAACAGCGACTACAACATGACCACCACTCTAGCAAACCCCTCTCTTCCTCTCCAGACCACTCATCAGACCATGTACATGAACCCTAACATGCCGGTACCTAAAGGTCCTGCTTACTACCCTCCTACCCGTCTCCAATACTGTTACTCCGACAAGACCTCGTACAGTGGTCCTATAGAACAGGGATCCCACCATCCTCCTCAACCACCAATAACCTTCTCCCACCAGCAACCTTACCCTGAGCAACAACAGCAACAGCAACCTCTGCAGGCTTCCGGCTATAAACAGAAACTCTCCGAGATAGAGATAGACAGGAAGAGGAGACGAGCCATGAAGGACAGGTTACAGAACCTGAAGCAAGTGCTACCTCCCGCTCCAGTGGGCACCAAACACACCCACGCTGCCATTCTCAACACCGCTGCCGAGTACCTGAGGAAGGAGGAAGCTTCTTTAGACACTCTGGAGACCGAGATAGTCAGGCTGAACTCACTCATCAACCAGACTAAAGATCACATCATCTCTCAGCAAGCCCAGATCCCAGAAAACGGGATCAGTTCCGCTTGTTACGGTTCCAGTATAGTCGAGACTCAATATTCGGAGTTTCTGGAGCAGCAAGTTAGTTTGAACCCCCTGATGAAACTTTACTCGTCCATGTTAGAACCCCTCTTTTTATCTTTTAACAGTATGGTAGACAACACCTCTTTGGACAGTTTCTGTAAAACTGCCCATCAGTGGTTCGCTCAGAACTGTTCTCTGATTAAGTTAAGGGAGTTGGCTACCAACCTAGTGACCAGTCCTAATTTAGAATTTGAAGGTTCTGGTGGGTAGTAATATTTGATAGTCATTAGGTAATAGGTCATTTAACCAATTAGATTATACATTTTTCAATTATTCAACCATTTTTGCGATCTCGACTGATCTAAATTACAATACTGACATTTTTAGTTTTCTTAGGTTTTATCGTAAAAGAAGTTTTTAATTTATTTATTTACCTTTATTAGAGTAACTTTCAGAGTATGAATGAGTTATTTTTAAGTTTGATTTTTGCTTTTAACTGTTTTGTTACTGACAAGGAAAAGATGTAATTACTACTCAACAGATTTTATTATTCTAGGAAGGCGCGCACTATATCTCCACATAAAGCACAGCCAATTTGATACGTATGAAATAATTCTTCAAATTGATTGATTCTGCAATAAGTTGACGTGTGTTGACCAAAATTGAACAGGGAATCGTTTAAGATCACTTTCGAAGCACCTCGACAAAAACTACGACGCTATTGTGCTTTTCACGGAGAAATAAGACATTAGTGTTTTTGAGTTTGTCATTCTCTTCGCAAAGTATTCCAAGTGATTTGTATAAGTACATACATTGATCCGAATACAATGCTGATTGCAAAAGATTTTATCTCGATTCATGAAATTTGAAGTGTGCTTTCAATATGGGGAGTGTGTTTTCAATTTTGGTAGTGTGCTTTAAATTTGGGGAGTGTGCTTTCAATTTGGGGAGTGTGCTTTCTGTGGAGATATAAACTGTTCCTTCTAGGAACGTGAACAGACCTAGTTTACTGTATCTTAAGATCTTAACCCGTTTTAAGATGATTTGATGTATGGATTGTGGAACATGTAAGATTGGAATTTGCTACAGTTATTTTACTACAAGTATTTTGCTACGAGTGGTTTTTTTTTGCAAATCTCAAAATTTATCCTTGTAAATTTTAAGTTTTGATTCATGAACTTTTGTTTAGGTTGACAGATTTGACAGTATCGAGTGCTTCTATTTGATGAATTATCACAAAGTATCCCCTAATTTACAATTAGCAGCTAAGTTCCAATAAATGCTGGACAGGTGATGTCGGCACCTATTCTTGTTAAGAACTTGAAACAACAACTGGACCGGCTCTTCAGTCAGCTAGCAGATCTAGAAGAATGCAGGTATGCCACAGTGCGCGGCTCATTCTCAGATGTCTTTAGGGGACCCCTTTACAGTCTACATACTGTGTACTGTTTACAATATGAATAGTACGAGTTGTTTGTCATTTCTAAGAGTTTCGATTATGACTATGTTCCTCTGAACTCTTCATTGTTTCATAGAAAGTTTTCTGTACTATCTTTTTACCGATGTTTATTTTTGTGTTGCAAACTGTGATATTCAATGTGTTGTGAAAAAAACTGTAAAACAGGGGGGGGGGGGGGGGGATAACATTTTTTTTGTTTTTTTTTGTTTAGGTAAAAGTAGTTTTGCCTAAAAACATTTTAAACTCAGGGAAGATTTGGATGATGAGGAGTACGAAGAAACAAAAGAAGAAACATTGGCACAGTTAAAGGAATTTCAGGACAGCTTGGATAGAGCTACCTCTGGTAACATAACTTTGGAGGATGAATTGTCCTCACTCAAGTTAGTAAGTAGGTTCTTCTCCTCGTTCAGCCTACATGTCTGATAACTGCGTCCCTAAATTTGCCTAAATTCCTGATCTGTAATAAATCAAAACTCTAAAATATCCTTCTCAGGCTACTCAAGCTGCTATCAGCAACGCGTTTAAAACTCCGGAAGTCATGAGACTATTCGCTAAACAAGAACCTGCCCAGCTCAGAACACTACTCACACAGGTATTGTGGACTTTTACAGAAAACGTTTGGCTTTACATTCCACATTCAGGGGTTTGAATCGTGTTTTATTCCTTACGAATTGATTAATTAATGGAATTTGGAAATAAGCTTTGGTGAAGATTTTGTGGGATGTTTAAAAATTCTTAATTTTGTTCATATTTTCTGAACATGAAGATTGAAGAAATAACTTATTAAGTTATTTTGCGACCTGATGTTGTTAAAGTTTACATAGTCTTCTAATCTTGGGATATAATAATTCTGATTATTACCCCAGCTAGACCGAGATGTAGTATTAGGAAAGAGAACAGCAGAGGAAAGTAAACAGGATAAGATAGAGATACTTACAGCTCTCAAGAAACTGGGTCAACAGGTGCAGAAAAATAAAATACTTGTTCTTTTCACCAGTCATCAAACATCGCTAAATAGATAATCCGCGCTATAAATATGATTAGGGACTGTAATTTTTTTTAGGGATTGTAATTTTATTGTGTTTTTTTTAATCTTTTCTGTTATTTTTGTATGCTTGTTTTTTCAGATCAGCAATGATGAAGAGTTGTTTTTGCAAAGCTCTGTGAATCTTCAAACAGTCTCCTCAGGAGAAGGTATATACTATATTAGAGCAACTCGATTTCAAAAAAGCTAACAGTGTAAACTGCAACAGATCTAGTATCTAGACACTAGAGGGATGAACTTTTCTCCGCAAAAAGAACATCCCATTAAATTGATACGTGTATGAAATACTACGTGCTAAATTGTGCACTAAATTGACACGTGTTTCTACAAAACTGAACAGTGAACGGGGAATCGTTTAAGATAACTTTTGTTCCCCTCGCGCTCGACAGAACTAGAAAGTACTTACGCTATTTTACTTTTTACTGCACGATACGCTGAAAAAAATTGACTCTAATTCATGAAGTCTACAAGACCCACTATTTGCGGGGATATAAATCGTGCCTACAGTTATTGTTTAAAAAGACTCCTAACAGTAACATGTAACAGTCGTGTGGCAATTCTTTTAATGTTATACTTACAATGTTTTCAGTTGTCGGAGATCACGTTCTGGGCCTGGTGCAGAACAAATAATAAATCTTTACAACTTGTGGATCCCAGTATGCAGTACGATTTTGATAAAAGTTGGACAGAATTTGCTGATATTTGATATTATCGTAGATTGTGTCTATTGACTGGTGACAGCAACGAATTTTTCTGACTAAATTTATTCTTAACTTTCAATTTTTCTTCGATCAATTTTATTCTTGACTTTCAGTTTAGTTCTTCAATCAATGTCTATGATTTCGTAAACTTTTCTGTAGTAGTTTCTGATATTTGGAGTTCATTGTGGATATGACAAATTTGGTTGTGAGGCTTTTGGATGCTGCCAAGATATAATAAAGTATATGCCATACGTAGAAAAGTTCTGCTACGATTTTCGGATAACATATGACATAACTTTTCGGATAACATAACTTTAAGTATAGCTCAACTCCTGCTCTCAATTTGCAAATTGTTTACTGTTTTGAGTAATGATTACGTAATATGTGAACGACCCCTATAATAACGGGTGATACTCGTAAAAAATATTGTTCCGAATACAACCCAGAAAACTTTACCTAATCGGTTGACCATTGTTAATGGTCTGGCCCGGCGCGCGCTACTTCGTAGCACTTGCCATTAACATTTCGAGAAGAAAGCGGCGCGCGCTACTTCGAAGAAATTTAGACGAGTAACATCCGTCAACTTAATCGGACGTATCAGAGCTACTCTACCTGGTGATCTCAGGCTATTTTATTTATGTTCATAATCATAGAACAATCCGAATAGAGATTAGGCGAAATGACAGGCTTTATAAACATGATAGCCTGAGGTCCCCAGGTAACTTTTTAAAGTATTGGGTTAGGGTTAGGGTTGGGATCAGATAAGAATTAAGATCGGGCTAGGGTTTCGAATAGTCGTTCAGGGCCAGCGCCTAGCTAGAGCTACAGATTACAGAACTGGGTGAAAAAGTTAAGTGACAGTCGAGTGTAAAGTAATTAATCATCATGATCCCGTTCACATATTTAACGTAATCAGTATGAGAGGACTTCCAAATGATTACGCTAGTGTAATTTTGACACAATAGCTATTATATGTGTGATGTGTAAAACTGGGCTCTTACTAATTCGCTCGCCCAAAAATTATCACGTGACTTCGGGTTTAATAGTTTTGCAGCCGAACAAAACGGTTTTACTATAATCCATAATCCCAACCCTAATCCTAACTGCTAACCATAAGCCCTTGTATCACGTCGTGACCCTTACTGGGCCGCGCTCAGCCTGTCATTCTCTATGTTTATCTCCATGTTTATGAACATGATAGCCTGAGGTCCCCAGGCATCGTGCGCGTGACCCCGCCACGGTCGTTTTACTATGGTACGGTGAAACCCCTTTATAGTAGAGGCTCTTACGGGCAAAAAGACGTGTTTTCTGCTACGAGTTTAGAGACCTAACCGCTAATTGGACACAATAGTATGATGTCTAAGGATCGATAATATGTTAAGAAGTATAAATTTGGCCTTATTAGTCACGTGCTATACCAATGCGCGTTTTAAACTTTGACAGTCTATTACTCTAAGGCAAATAAAGTAATTATATCCATATTTTGTCAGCAATAAGATCACATTATTTTCTATTTAGTGTGAAAATATGAGCTAGAACGGACATAATCTCGCTGAGTTATAGCTGTTTGAAATTTATGATGAACGCGCGGGTGCCAATTGATAACAACTAAATGCTTTTGCGCGTAGTGCGCGTCGAAAATTTGGCAAAAACGCTTGCGGAGTGACAATATTCAAACTTCGATTAAGTATATGAAGTGGGTACTTCTCGGAAAGGAAAAATTTAGGCAAACACGATGTGACTATTTTTGGGTTGATTTAATACAACTGCAAAAAATTATTCAAACTTAAAGCAAAAAAGTCAAAATTTTTACAACTTTTTTGGATTTTTACCTCAGAACAAATAGAGGGATTTGTTTTATTTTTATACAATCTTGTGCGGCTGTCTTTTAGCTATCTTTATGCAAGTTTTGCCGACATGCCAACAAAATTAACTTGCTCAAAATATCAAAAAACATGGTTTTTTGGCCTATTTTTGGCCCAAAAATCGGTTTTTTGCGATTTTACCCCAGAACAATCAGTCCAATCATCTTGAAACCACTTTCAATCGATTCTACGGTCAAAAATACGTCTAGTAAGGTGTACCTGGGGTCCCTAACGTATCGAGCAGACAATGCCCGTAAGAGCCTCTACTATTAGGCCTTTATCGCACTCGTGCGCGGCGGGTCATACAACGTATGATAAATAACCCTAAGCTATCGATAACCCTACCCATGACCCATGCAACCCGAGCCCTAAACAATCGAATTCGTGTTTAACTTAGCCTGTCCATGTCACGTGACCAAAACAGTTTTTGCCCATAACTCTCCAGGAAAGCATTTTTAGCCTACGCGTCAGCGTCATGGGGCATGGGAGGTAATTTGGAATCAGCGTCCAAAAATACATTACTGGGCCGCGCTCAGCCTGTCATTCCGCCTAATCTCTATTCGTTTATGAACATAATAGCCTGAGGTCCCCAGGTAAAAAATACACCGATCAAGATTGCTATTATATCCTCAGAGCTTTTACACAAGAATTTTCTTAAAATTTGGGCGAGCGATTTAGCTTAGTGGGAGCGGTAAAACTAATTACGGAGGGGGGTAAAACTGTTCCAAAAAATTTGATTACGTAATATGTAAAAGACCCCAGACGACCTAACAAATCGTTGGATTGAATTTTGTATTCAAGCTTTAATATTTTAATTTCGAATTTTGATATATAATTTATGAACTTAATATGACATATGAAGATCAAAAATGAAGAATCTGTTCCGAAATACACATGATCAAGCCTTATTTGACACACGTTGATGCAACCTTTTTTCGCGCGCGGCGGCCGGAATGGCGCGGAGTGCACGGTGCACGGCCGGCCAAAGTGCACGGCCGGCATATTGAATAGGCCCTGCGCGCGGCGTATACAGCCGGAACGCACCTAAAGATTTTTCAATAATGTGTGGCTGTGTGGCTATGTATATGGCAGAATTTCAAATTTGAATTTATCTATGAATATAACATTAATATGTACTGATTGTTTTGTGGTGAATAAAAGTTTTTTTAAAGTGGTTAGAGGTTTGTTTTCTGCGCTCATCGTCCAGAATCCCAGTGTTACCTAGTTTAGGGAGTAGCTTAAAATCCGTTAAATCTATGTAAAATTACACATCATATAGTCAATAGTAATGTTTCCTTGGTGGACTGTATGATCGGAAACGTGATTGAGTGTTAAATGATGACTTATCTAGCTTGCTAGTCTATTGCTCGCTCCTATCATGGATATATCCTTTCACGGATGTATACAAGAAGTTCGAAACGAGTGCCAGGCATACCGAACGGATAGGTGTTTGGTATTATTATATATGTTGAGGTGTCTTGCCAAATTAAGATCAAGAATTTGATTTTTTGTAGTGTTCTGTAAACATAACTCACTATAATTGATACTATTCACATGTAATTTTTAAATTGACAATTTATTTATGAATATCACTAATCATGATTAACATCTATATGATCATTAACTAGATTAATGTTTTATAACTGTGATTGTTTCAACTGTGCATTTCTGGCCAAGACAAAGAAGGTATGGACGGCCCCTATATCCAATTAGTCCTTCAACTTGATCCCTGAAAAGAGCTATGAGGGAAAGATGAGATTTATTGCTCATGATTTATGATTGTGCTCTGCCAATTGCATCACTCGATTCAATTTATTGTATATATAATATTGTTTGAATGACCGTTTTTATAAAACATAATGCTACTTCCAAATGTTTTATGATGTAGCATCTTTTCGGTTTAAAATAGCTTTATCAGTGATCTTAAGGTTCTGTTGGATCTACACATATTATACTGTGAATTTTTATTGGTCGACTCAACTGATTGATCGAAAAATCGGTGTTTGAGGCCCTTATGAGGAGGGAGCTGTCAAAAGATCAGGTATCGTTAAATACCCAATCAGTACATCTAAATTGTAGTGTTATGTAAACACAGCTCAGTAATACTACTAACTTCATTATCTTAAATTCACATACATGATATCATAATATAGCTCCTCCTTACTTAAAAGAGTTGATATCTCCTAGGCAGCAAAGTTTTAAAAATGTACGTCTTGATAATGATTATTTTTACCTTAGTTTTCCGCCCTCTCCTAACTATGTAAACACAGAGAAAGCTTTTAGTCACTGTGCAGTTAAAGTATTTAATTCCTTGCCATACGACATAAGATCAGCTGAGTCAGTTACATCTTTCAAGACCAAACTTAAAACATACTTCTTTTCTCTAGCATTTGATTGATTTTGCATTTACATAGGTAAAATGAACTTGTCATGTCTAATTTTCAATTAAACTAAGCTCAGTTAATGTAAGAGCCGCTTTAGAAAGCACTGGAGTTTATCTCCAGGATTAAATTATATCGAGTTATATGATTTAGCTATAAGGCGGTTTATAAATGTTGTATTTATTTTTATTATTATTATCATTATTATTTTCTTAATATTGAAATAAGGGTTCGCACAGTGGTAGTTTTATAAACCACTTTTAATTTATTGACCTATTATACCTAGTGGTAGTTTTATAGACCACATTTAATTTATTTACTTATTATACTTAGTATTTATTTTTGGTGACTGTATCACCCAGTTTTAACATTTGATAATTGTACATTTTGACGACACATTGACTGAATGTTATTTTATATTCTAATTTATATTCTAGATATTTTATTTATTTTTCAACAGACGACAACTTCCTGTTTTTTCTTCTATATAAGTTACTCATATCTCTTTTACAGACTTTTTTACAAGGACATTGACAGATGATACTCACATTAGGCATTCATTATTGCATCTAAATTATTTCACTTGCATTAGGTTTAGAAATTTATTCTCTGGTTAACAGATTTCAAATGTTTAATTAATTTGTAGTATGACAGTAAGGTATATAAGAAGTTATTTAATTTTGCCTGGGCTATTATATTGACTATTGAGGTTTAATGATGATATGGAATTTGAATTCTATATAAATTTACACTATGTGGTTGGGGCATTTTGCATAGTAAATATGGTTACTACTCCTATATATCATATTATTTGATTGGTATTCGATTTCTGATTATTTCTCTAGAAATATGATTATTATATCTCAATTTGGCTTTAGGTAGGGTGCCCTGCTAAAAGAACTGGATTCTTCCAGGAAGCATCCCGTGCACAGACCTTGGTCTACATATATATTAAATTATTAACCATTCATTCTGTATGTGCACGAAAATTTATTTCAATCAATTATAACAAAACTTATGTTTTAAATGTACTATACAGGTCATGGAGGATGGGCAAAATGCAATCAAGATACTTGCAAGAGATGAAGCTTTCTATTTCAAGAACAATGTTGGAGCCACAGAAGATCAAAAGTGTGATTGGCTGTCCTGTGAATCTGAACGGGTATCGAAAGATCTAGATCAGCTCACTCTGGACCCCCACCAATTGAAATATCTGAAAGGTTGTGCATTGAATGTTGGAAATAAGTATAACCTTAAAGCTGAAGAAATACTTATTGATGCTGCAAAAATGAATCCTACTATGTTTGAAATATGGAATGAATTAGGGGATTGCATCTGGAAGAAAGGAGACAAAAAAGGAGCTCGTAATTGTTTTGAAAGGGCTCTTAATCAGGAAAGAAACAAGGTTTCTCTGCGAAATCTATCTATTGTGATGAGGCAGCAAGAGTCTGTAACAAATGCAGAAATTGAGGAGAGCGTGAAAATAAGCAAAGAAGCAGTATCCTTGGACGTCACTGATGGAACTTCCTGGTATATACTTGGCAATGCATACCTTGCTCAATTTTTCTTATGCGGACAAGCCTCAAATGATTTAAAATGTTCATTGAATGCTTACAGTAAAGCCAGTGCTGACGAAAAAGTATTGTCTGATCCAGATTACCACTACAACAAGGGCATAGTCTTCAAATATTTGGATGATTACAACAATGCTATTGCTCACTTTACTGATGCTATAAGTATCCACCCTCAGTTTTCTGAGTGCCTCAGCGAGCTTAATGATCTCAAAGATCAGATCTTAAAGACCAGACAACTTATTAAAAACAAAGGAAAGCTTAAAGGGAAAAATATTGCTGTGATGCTGAGAAAATTAAAGGAAAAGAGCTTGAGCCAGAAGCCTACTAAAGTTTCAATGACAACCTTTGATAAACTTAATGCTGGTACAAATGAAGACAAAGCAATCAACTGCATTTTAATAAGCAGTTTTGTCCCAAATGGAAGAACACCTTTTGTTTGTATTTGTCTTGACACTGAAAGTAACTGCTTTGCATTGAACATTTATAATATTGATTGTGGAAAAGCACCTAAGCTGGGAGATGTCATGACTGTTCCTTATCCCCAAAAATCTGCAGTTAATATTGTGATTGACAATGAGTTGAATGATTTTGAGATGTTACGGATTGATACTCCTTTGAACATGATGATCAATAACAGGCAACTACCGCGGGAAACTTTAGCTCCTCTCAAGTTAACTACAACAGCATTAACGTGAATTGATGATAATCGTAGTTATTTCAACTGTTAATAATTTCTAAATAGCATAGGTATTCTTATTAATTGTTATTTAGAGTGAGCATACCTAGTACTGTTATGTAAATTTCCAGAGTAAATTATTGTTTATAATAATTATTTGAAGTTCTGCATTCTTTCAGTTGTTTAGAAAAACAGCATTATATCTTTATCTTCTCAATATGGCATAAAAACTAGCAGAGTTGGTTCATAAATCAGGGGTCTCAGACTCATGAACATTCTGTCAGTAATCCAATTACAATAAATAATCGATCTGTAAAATATGATGCTGTCGGATATCCAGTGTTTTTAGTCTAATAATTATTTTTAAATATTTTATGGGCTTGACTATGGTTTGTGAGGTGTTCAAGCAACTTATAGTGCTTGCTTTTTTGCATGAGAAAGGGATTTAAAATCAGTCAATTTGCAGTGAATCGACAAATATGTTTGCTTTGCCTTCTCAGACACCAGTCAAGTGTATGGAAATAAATTGTACCTATGAGCTTTATTTTGGTAAAATAATGTATTATATTTATATAAAATATGATTATGTCATAATATTTATGTTATGTGATGCTAGATTGTGTATTTGTTACAACTTTTTATTATGTGCCAATAGTGAAATTTTACTGAGTTTGCTTGCTTATTGCATTAATGTTCATAACTAAAATAAAATCGATGTTTGGGACCCCTAATAATGTGTACAACATTATCAATTAACACATTTTGCTGGATGATCAATCATAAATTACTTCATTGCAGGTTATGTTGGAAGAAAAGGATGAGACAGATTCGGATACTTCTCGCTACCGCAGTTCACGAAATATTAGTGTATGGTCTGGCATAATACTCACAGTTCTTCTTGCATTCCTTTCATACATTCTTTACCTTCAAGTTCGCCTGAGCTTCTTCTTAGCACCCCTCTCATTAGACTATGATAGATACACTAAGTTTGGAATAATATCTGACTTACATCTTGATCTAAAGCAGAATAGCACCGCTTGTGAGTGGTGGAATGGAACATATTTTACACACTATCAAAGTGAGTATGGTTCTACTGGATGTGACACAAAATATGACTTCGCTACAGTCACTGTTGACAGTTTCTCAGATCTAATTGATGATGTTGGTAATGTTGATCTTGTATTTTGTTTGGGTGATTTTGTGAATCATTACACTAGGAACTATGTCGACAATAGGGACGTTATCGCGAATTCGTCTGATTTGTTTCATTCAAAATTTGATATCCCAATCTATTCAACCCTTGGTAACAATGATATGCCTGAAGATTATATGCAGCCAAGTAACTCTAGTCAATTTTTTGAGAGCATATGGATGACGATAATTCCGATGATGAATGCTTCAACTGATGTACTTGCCAAACACAGAGCAAAGGAAACTTTTTTGACTGGAGGCTATTTTACTTTAGAGCATTCAGCAAAGCTTCAAATTGTTTCACTCAATTCCATAACCTTCTCTGTAAGGTCTAATGTCAACATTTCATCGGGAATGCAGCAACTGCAGTGGCTATCTGAAGTTTTATCCAATGCTGCAATTCACAAAAGGGCTGTGGTTATTATTGGTCATATTTGTCCCAGTTTATCACTATTCCAGGTTTCCAAATATAAACCCAATAGGACAATGATGTGGAAGGAAGACTATATCTCAAGATACAATGACATTGTCAGCGCCTACAGTGGTGTCATCAAGTTCACACTTTTTTCTCATCACCATTCTTACCTTTGGTTTGTTCAGCAAATGCAGGACCATGAATCGAAGTCCAGCTTCGTGAGCTATTATGTGCTTCCTTCAATATCCCCTGTATATGAGAACGAACCAGCCTTTTCCATCGGAGTTGTTGATAATCAGTGGAATTTGCTGGATATTTTGAACTACTTTTGTCCACTATCTTTCTATGCAAGGCAAGACAAGGAGCCGAAATATCTCTTTCAATTTTCCTTTAAAGAGAGTTACTTTTACTATCACGACAAAAATCACGCTATTGTTGAGGACATCCCGATTACAAATGAGTTCCTCTTTACTCTAACATCCAGACTCTTAGATGTTCAGGACATGCAAAACACATACAAAAAGATTCTATACAATTCATACCAGTTCCTCTACAACTTTGCTAATGTTTCTCCATATCAAATGTTTTGTACCATGACCCAAAATACAGTTGAGGGTGTCAAAAAATGCTTTTCTGATTACAATTTCACATTTTGATTCGAGCCTTTCGATCATATTATTATCTAATATATGATACTTGATCAGTATAGAGCTGTAAGGTCTAATGTCAACATTTCATCGGGGATGCAGCAACTGCAGTGGCTATCTGAAGTTTTATCCAATGCTGCAATTCACAAAAGGGCAGTGGTTATTATTGGTCATATTTGTCCCAGTTTATCACTATTCCAGGTTTCCAAATATAAACCCAATAGGACAATGATGTGGAAGGAAGACTATACAATTTCACATTTTGATTCGAGCCTTTCGATCATATTATTATCTAATATATGATACTTGATCAGTATAGAGCTCTACCTTATCGGCCTTAATTTAAACGACTATTATTTAAACTATCTGCCCTTTTTTGGTCACAATTGGGGCTGCCTACAGTTTGGTCCGCTCAAATTAGTGCCAATATGGTATCTTGGCTAAAGTTGAAATCTCAAAATTTGAAACTATGTACTTTAATTAATTTATTGATTGGCGATAATGCTTTACTCATAATAATTGAATTTTATTGATTTACCTGCTAAATTTACCTATAAATATTTGTTAATATTATATTATCACATTTGTTAATACTAAAATGAACCTATCACACCGAGGTTGGAATTGCTAATTGGTTAAGGTTGAAAAGAGAAGTGTTCCCCTGAGGGGGAAATACATTTTAAAACTTTGTTTCGTTTTACAAGCTGAACTTCGTTGTATATTATTTTTTAAATGAATTAAATTATGTATGTGGAGTTGACAATAAAAACTTAGTGGGAAATTGTTGAGCAGTTATCTGATTCAACAATAAACACACATATCACGTCTCAAGTTAAGTAGCCCATTAAAAATATTGTAAACTTCCTAATTTGGCTAACCTCTCATTTTCTGCATACCTTACAAGACATATTTATGGCGGCCTAATTTGCGACGACCGAAATTTTGGCGGTCCGAAAATATGGCGAAATTGAACAAAAACCGTCAAATTTTGGACGTCACAGAAAATAAGGGTATTTTTCATCATTTTTTGTGACAGTTAGCAGTAAGGAAATTTCTGAAATTCGGTAAAATCATGTTCAAACTTAGTCTGTATTAAGACTGTAAGACTTTCATGTTAGCACATACATGTATTTTAATGCAAATTTAAACTGTATTGCTTGACATTCAATTCGTCATTGGTGTGGTGATAATTTGTCCCAAGATGCCAGAATTTATTTATTTATTTTACTTGATATTACTTTTTAGAAACAAAATAAAGCAGTGAAGGCACAGTCATTGAAATAAGCTAAAAGATAATGCGACGGATTCTATTACGACGACCGAAATTTTGGCGGTCCGAAAATATGGCGAAATTTTCGGAAAACCGCCACATTTCGTACGTTATAAATATGTCTTGTAAGGTAGCTTTTTATACGGCCTACTGATAAGAAATTTGCGAATTATTTCAGATTGTTTATTCTTATATTGCATTATCAATTTTGTATTACTTTCAACTGTTTTGGAATAATAAGCTAGAGTATTGAATTGGATAAACATAGAAAATTGAGTCATATTTTGTGTGAATTGACCTTTTCCTTCGCAATTTGGTACATGTCATTCTTTGTAAATAGCGGTAGTGATACTTGATTGTCAGTCAAAAAGTATACACAGATACTTCTTGTTCTATTCCTGATTTTCTTATTATTAATTCATATCATTTATGTCAGAGGTCATGGTGGATTGCTGGAATGTTGCTGGAATTTCAAGGTGAGCATCCAAACGATGAAGGATTATGCAGTTCACAACAAAGAAAAAGCGTCGCAGCCTTGGGTTTACTCATCATCTTGCTGACGGGATTGCTGTTAGTTGCTCGGTATCAGTTTCGTATAAACAAGCAGCTCACGAACTCAGACCTGAATTATGAAAACGGTCGTTATTTTGGTGTTTTAGCTGATATTCATATGGACCAATATCAAAACGATACACATTGCCGTAATGGGGACGATGTTGAAGGTGAGTGGGTTGTTCATTATCCGACACCATATGGAGCAAAACTTTGTGATTCATCTTCTACTTTACTGAACATGACTATCCGCGAGTTCAAGGAGATAGAAGATAAGACTGGACCATTTGAATTTATTCTTATCATCGGTGATCTAGTGGGTCATTGGATTGAGGGAATTGAGCCATCTTTAGAAAGTGTGAACAAAGTAAGAAACCTTGTCTCTTCTTATTTTCCTTCGACTCCTGTTTACTTTGCTTTAGGAAATCACGATCTAACGACTGTGCACTATCGCATTCCTGAATACGTAGAGCGATGGTACTCTATGATATCAACGAGTTTGTTTCCCGGCCTCCATACAACCGAATTTCAACTCTTGTCAGCTACAAAAACCTTCAACAAACACGGATTCTACAAAGTTGAGCACAGTTCTTCGCTTTGGGTGGTGGCTTTAAACACCAATGTATTCAGTAATAGTATGAATGCCACAGAAGAGGACATTGGTGCTCAATTTGATTGGTTAAACGAAACGCTCCATCAAGCTGAAAATCAGAAATCAGTTTCTGTACTCCTTTTTGGCCATATCCCACCTGAAATAGAATTCCTCGACCTGGTTAGATGGGATTCTAACAAAAACATGACCTGGAAACCAGACTGTGTAGCCAGATTTAACGATATAGTCGGCCGATTCTCAAATATCATAAAACTTTCCTTCTTTGCACATCAACACACTGACAACTGGTACGTGGGAAAGAGCCCAAACGGCGGTTACATTAACCACTTCCTGATGCCGCCAGTATCTCCAGTTAGTCGGGGTCATCCTTCCTTCTCTGTCGGAGTTACTAATGGAGGGTGGGACTTGCTTGATCTGCTCTACTATCACTCTCCTGTTGAGCAGCTGACCAGGGCAGATCAAACCCCTCGGTACTTTTACCAGTACTCATTTAAAGAGCAGAACTTCCATTTTAACGAGAAGTATTCAGCTATTGATGGGGCTCTGATGGATGGTCTGACGAAGAGGATTGTTGATTTTGAAGACGGTATGGAGACTTATACCGCTCGTCTTATGAACACATACCAATTCCGTTACAAACCTCATGTTTCAGCTTATGAAATGTATTGTGTGATGACTGAAAACACATCTGAGGGACTCGATGTATGCCTTAAGAAATAATTTTCCTGAATCAGTTTAATCTTTCAAATAATATTCCTGTTATTTGATTACACTCTACAGTTTATGATAAAGTTTTCTAGCAGCAGGATTCAGATTAAGCATTCTAACTAATTTGTAGCAGTATCAAGAGGTTTTAGCTAAACTAATTAAACTATTTGAGTATTACATTTAATTTTTTAACCTTTTTAGTGACATTTTAGTTTGTTGAAACATTTTTTATTTGTAGATTAATTAATTATAGAAATATTATCTGATAGTTTTTAATATTTATCTGTATGTGCAGTTTAGTTATAGTACATTTTTTCCGATGAATTCTTTTTTAGTTACTACCTATAATATTTAAGTTGCATAGGTAGACTTATATTATTGCATACATAGTTATAGTCATACTATTTGAAAAATTTGGAACAATGGAACTCGATTTTGAGAAGATCTTAAATCTTGATTAGTCAAATTCACTTATTTAAATTGTGGTATTTGATGATATTTGTGTGGACAGCGTAGTATTTTGCATGTCTGACTCTGTAATTGCGGTATTAAAATTAAAATGTCTTTGAGCAACTTTACTCTTTTTCAATGATTCGATGTTTGGTCAAATTTACAATGGTTGTTTTTCTAATTTTGACCACTTATATTCTTTACTGAGTGACCCTAAAGCCTATCTTTTTTCAAAGTAAACAGCAAAATAAAATTATTGAGTGTATTTCAACAGTGGTATCAGGTATAGTGTCTAGAATGTTGTTGCGGCTTTATTTTGAAACTAAATGCATAGAATTAAGATTATGTCCACATTCCACAACATCTAACTATCTAAAGTTGTAGTGCCTTTGATAAGCTAACAGTCGGGGATTAATTCACTTCTAATACATGATCAAAACTCGTTACTTTTAGGAACCAGGATATATGAGTCGATTATAAAAGTATAAAACAATGTCTTGGTTTACTAGAGCTCTCACACGCTACAAGTATCATGTTATAGCTGCAGCAGCTGGATCCTCCTTGCATCTCTTTAATCATACTTGTTGCCACCAAGACTCAATACTCAAATACGATGAATTTAGTCTCGAACAAACGACTATGTTAGTTAAGAAAGTATTGAAAACACCACCAAACCCTTTTATCAGATTTACCGCTCATTGCAAAGAAAAAAAAGATTTGCACCAATTTGAATTCATTGCAGATGCTGCAGAGCAAGCTTTGCCAGCAGTCGTATCAATCGATGTAAAGCAGCGACAGAACTATGTTTTTGAGGTTCAGGGTTCTGGATCCGGTTTTATCGTAGACAAACGGGGTTACATCATCACTAACGAGCACGTGATAACTGGCTGTAAAGGTGTTACCGTTGTACTTGGAGATGGCAGGAAAATACCCGGAACCGTTGTAGCGGTAGATAGCCTAACTGACCTTGCTCTCGTTAAAGTGGAAACTGATTTAGACCTACCTGAAATAAGAATGGGTGACGATTCAAAGCTGAGGCCAGGGCAGTGGGTAGTGGCAATCGGTAATAGTCTTCACTTCCCCAATACTGTTACAGCAGGCATAGTGAGCAACACTGCACGCAGTATTTCTGATAATGACATGCTGAGACACCAGGCCCCCAAAGTTGGCACTTCTAAGTACGTTCAAACGGATGCGGCCATAAATCCGGGTAGTTCAGGTGGGCCTTTGGTGAACTTGGCAGGGGAAGTTATTGCTGTTAACACTATTGGAGTCCTTGGCAACGCCAGTGGTATGGCGTTCAGTATTCCAGTGTCGGAAGTGAAAAGATTTCTTAAAGAATTTTCCGAAGGACAGCAGCACTCTTCTAGTATTTCGAAAGTTACTTATTCACTCGGACTACGCATTATCACTCTCACCCCTGGAATGGCTAATTTCCTTCACCAGCAGGGTAAACTTGACCCCAGTTTGAGTTCAGGTGTTTTTGTATTTGACTCAGCTAAAAACTCACCAGCATATCATGCGAATCTTGATAAAGGTGACGTAATAATAGCTATAGACAACCACGAGGTACATACTAAAGATGATCTCAGTAGGGCTGTGCAGCAGTCTGGGGGTAACCCTGTCAGAGTTACTTTCTTTAGGCCTGACAGGGGATTTCTTTTCACTAATATAACACCTGAAAAATCTTGAGGTCTCCGTTCTTTTCTAGTGGTTACTTAATTGCATAGTAAATTTCTTATCGGTTTTATTAAAGTGAGTCAATCTATTTTTCGGTTAGCAACTTTTCACTTTTGTTTTCCATTTTATGCTGTGATTTTTAATTTAAATGTGTGTTACATTTTTAAAAACAACATGCAATCATCAATGCAATTTAATGTTGAATAATAGTTCTTGCATCCTGAGAGAAGAGCGAAATATTGCAGATAAAATAATAATATGTCCCTAAAATTTAAACAGCTGAAACAAGTATTAAAAATTTACCTAAATAAGGGTTATAATGTTATGGTCACCTATTTTTCTGATTTTGAGTAATAATTCGTTGACTTTCCTATTCAAATTATTACAGTAGGAAAGCATAATGGGTGTTATGAACAAAAGTGTCAATAAAGACGGAATGGGCTGGACCAGACGGAACTGGGAGCAACCTCAGGTCCGGAGTTTGAAGTGGCATGAGTGGAGCCATGCTTACCGTCAAAAGATGTATTTTGGTGTCACACGAACTGCTTTTATGTGAGTTTTCGCACACAGGCTTGAGGAGAAATGAAGTCAGGTTTTTAAAACTTGATTAAAAAAGGACTGTTCCGTACGCATTTCGGTTTTTCCAAATTCTAGATTTCTTAAGTTCAACATTTTGAGTAGTGTCCCTGTACCGGTTGGTCCGGTTACACTATGATATAGCGTTTTTACAGTGTAAACCGCTAGATATCCTTTTCCCCGCATAATTAACACTTCTTAAATGTGCTTGGAATCTAAATTTTAATTTGTTTCAGAATCGGCAGCACCGCGGCTCTTTTCATTTTTGGCAAAGCGTTTGTCCCTTATTCCGACACTACAATGCGACAATCCAAAATGGGAGATTACATGGGAACATCTGATCCGAGTATGTCAGATAACCTTAAGAGAAGGTATGGTAAACCTCCCTCTATCAAGTCTGAAATAGATCACATGGTTGAAAAATATACCCCTGACTCTGTTAACAGTTTTAGGGAGCGATTAGATGATTTCATCAGACGGACTGCTGATAAATTGTTGGGAGAAAATAGATCAAATCCTGAGAAAAATCTGTATAAAGAACTTCAGAGTGATAAAGAAAAATCGTTGAACACTGAACAGTGAACAGTGACCAGTGAACAGTGACCAGTGAACAGTTGCAGTGAACAGTGAACAGTGAACAGTGAACAGTGACCAGTGAACAGTGACCAGTGAACAGTTGCAGTGAACAGTGAACAGTGAACAGTGAACAGTGAACAGTGAACAGTGAACAGTGAACAGTGAACAGTGAACAGTGACCAGGGATAATGGCGAGAGATACCTTGCCTCCTCTGATAGCGAATCTGAATAATTTACGATTGACTAAGTCTGATCTATAGTGGCCGGGGTCTTCCAAAGTATGCAGAAAAACGTGGAGATTCATGCCAACAAAGTAAATGCACTGAACTATTGAAGAGTTCAGGAAGGCACAATAAATAAATGCCATGTGTGGACTGTGGACCAGTAAGTTCTTGAAGATCTAGATTCTGAAATTCAATTCGACTGGTCTAACTTTGCATTTGTTTGGAATGTTTTGTTCTGGAATAAGGTGTTTCACTAATATACATGTGCTAACTGGTGGTGTACAAGAAGTGATGACTTATTTCTTTGTGTTTACAAATTTTGTGGAAATATTAAATCATAATATAATTGATCCATTGTCTGAATTGAATCGAAATATTTCTCCATTGATGATAATTAGACATAAAAAGCACTGATATGACTTTATCTGGCAACGGTTTCAGAAATGATGATTTGTAATAATCTTAATAATATGATGATTAACAAGATTAATTAATTTCACACTTGAACTTATTTCTTGGGAATAAATGATTAAATTATGTTTATTAACAACTCAAATTAGTGTCCAAACACAAATAGTTGATCAAAACTGCTTTCCAGCCATGACAAGTATTTTTACCAAAGCTGGGAGAATCGGAAAGCCAGTCTATGACAAATACGCAAAGCCGTTTTTGAATTTCAATTTTGAAATGTGGAGGAAACATCCTGTTCAGTACGCAAGCGTCATGAGTATTATTCCGGTGTGTTATTTGCTAATTGCAGATTCAGACTCCCGCTACATGGAGGCAGAAAAACTTGCGGGACCCCCGGTATGTTAAACCGTTTCACTGACCCAACAATAATTTAGTATTTTAATTGTTAAACCACAAAGCTTCTTTTTTTTGGTCTTTATCACAATTGGTGAAACAAAGCAACAGCCCACTAACCTAATTGCAACATACATATCTCATTGATTAGTGTATGTAGACGATAAATATCACGTTGGTTAAAATAATCATCAGGACTAAAATGTTGTCTCTCCCCGCAGATTTACCGTGTTCCAAGAAGAGAGACAGTTCCTTCCTTGGAGGAATTGGAGGCGAAGTACGGCAAAGTATAAATAAGAGACATGCTCTTTCCGTATTAATCCTGGACTAAAAACTGTGTAAATATTGTGTCCTTTCAAGGTTTTTATGAACTAAGATGTCTTGGTAGAATGGCAAGAAGCTGATTAAATAATTGAATTCTAAGGAAGGCTAAGTAAGATTGTAGTAACTTAGTTCATTATTTATTATATAATCAATCGCTCCTTTCAACTGTGATCAATTTGATAATTAAGATCAGACGGGCACTATATGATTTGATAAATTAAATGAACTATGAAGTAGCCATATCATCTATATAATAATACCTACTAATCTATAAATATGGTTAATTGGCTTTATAACTGAATTGTGTAGTTTTTTATCATTAATGATTAACCCCATGACCTTCATCTAATTGCTGGATAGGAAAATATATTTTGGTAACTTTCGATTAAACAAAATAATAATCATCATTCGTTCGTAATTTTCTGTTCTCTAGGAATGATACACGATGAGATCAGTATAGTAATCACAAAAGTTCAATGAACTTCGAGTGAATTGGACTGTACAGTTTCAATTGTTTAAATTGATCGTCTAAACATTTTTAAGGAGTCATAGCCAAGCTAACTACTTATCATTACAGCAATGGAATGGCAAGTAACTTCCGCACCGTCGAAAGAACATTGCTCGAATTTCAACGATGACCTCACTTTCAGAGTTGAGTTGTTCAGTGATATCCTCAATCCACCCCTGGCAAATCAACTTGGTCGAATCGAATGTGCTCTGAACGTTCTTTCGAGGAACAATAAAATGTCTGTCAAGACCATCAGTAAAAAGACCAAGAAAAATCATAATCATCATTGCAATCTTTGCGAAGAAAATTCAATTTACAAGGTACCTCTGAACTGCGAAGTTAAATTTACTCAATTCTCTAAACTCACTTTTAAAGATATGGAGGATGCTTTGTTTTTGAGAGAATCTGCAAAGTATCAATCTCACAATAAACTCATGAAGCTAGTCAATTCAGAGCAGGACCTGTTTGAAAACTTTCTTGGTTCATTAAACAACAAGTTCTCTATGGTTAAATCTAAAATCCCAAGTCCTTGGTATCAGCACGCTCATCAAAAGTTTGATCAAGCTGTCATGAAAGAGTACGGAAATTGTGCAAATAACTTCAGACTTTTATCAACACATGTTCTAAATGTTTCAGTGATTTCAATTGCATCACCTTCAATCGAAATATATGGCCAACTTCTTGCTTATGGCAACATTTTCAAGATTAAATTACCTAAATTGGGTCAGCTGATTAAAACGGATCTAAGTGTTTTACACCGACCACGTCATAAATCAAAGAAGACACCTTCTGACGGGACTACACATGAAATTACCCGAGCTGTGCCTTGTAGAGAGCAAAGTCCGACTCCAAGTGGAATTGTCACAAACATTACAGAAAACGCCAGCATCGATCAAATTGTGCTCCAAAATGGAGATGTTTCTAATACTCAAAAGGTTCAAGATAGTGAGAGTTCTGATAAAAACTTGTTGCATTCTCTGTCCTCGGAATCGAGTCCAAATGATTCTACCCTTGGAAATGAAAAAGAAAGAGATTCCGTTGAATCAGCTAATCGTCCTGTTATAAACTGTTTGAATGACTCATTAGATATGGAAATTAGTGATATTCCATCGTCAGAGCCTATGCTTGAAATGGAAAACACAATTTCTGACGACAGCAAAACAGAAAACGTTTTGACCGCCTCTGATCTTCCTGCATCAGATTCAACTAGTGTTCTTGTTCAGAATTCTGACGAAGCAAGCAATACTAATGCGGATGGGAATGATGCTGCAGATACAGGTAATTCTGAAACAAACTCTTCCCCTAGCTCTGTGGTGTATAAACATGTCAAGGTTGCGATATCACAGGACCTCGATGTTTTTATCACTGATGTTCCTGTTAATGATTTAAACGGTAAGGATCAGAAGACTTTGACTCACGATCATGTCAAAGAGTTTTTACTTGGGCTGAAAGTAGCAGAATGCATTGCTGACATTGACTCTTTGTGCCATGTTTTCAGCGTATCCCCTCCAGATTTTGTCCAGTCTTTCCTATTCAAAATCGATGTTGTGGTTCAAGAAGACAAATCGAAATACTTCAAGATATCAGAACCATTACCTCATGGCAAAGTTACTGCCGAATCAGTAAAACAAGATATTATGTCAGATATTTTGATAAATTCGTGTCGTAATATAGATATTGGCCACGAGGGTGACGCCAACACTGCTTTTATGCAGTATCTGGACGACTGTGGTACCCAGCTAATTGACAAGGCAAATTCAAACTCTGACGTGAAAACTCAGCTGCAAGACTTTGTCGAGCCACTCAAATTCACGTCATATCTTCCGTGGAGAAATTTAAATTCTAAGTCTTTAGATAACGTACTGTACTCACTGTTCAGTGTGTCAGATACCAATGTTATCGTTCATTCTAAACAACCCTTCATGGTTAACTTTGAGGACAGTTTTGAGAAAGCCGTTATTCTCGTTAAACCTCAATACTGTTACGAATATGGATTAGAAGATATCACGCACTCAGAATACGCAGCTCTTTACCTTAAAACTTTACTTCTGGAATGTGTGGGAGCTATTGTTTTCCACGTCGATATGAAGACGTTCAACATAGTCCATGTAGATAAGTTGTATTTGGAGGAACTGTCTGACCTCTTCCCAAGAGCAGAAGCAATCGGAAGGCTCACCTCATTTTTCGGGCTGCTCCACACTTTGCGAGAGGGAATACACGTTTACAGTCATGATATCAACCAGGCACACGGTGTGCTCTATGAGGAGCTGCAAAGCGAACATATTCAAGCTGATCTCGTTCTAGACAAGGATGTCTCAATGGAACTGTGTAAGATTGTTAGGCCAGTGCGACTATCCAGAACTAAGTTGACCTCCTGGCAGAGACACAATGTGAGACTGCCTATGTGTTTTCTACCAAGGAAGAATGGCACATATCTTTGCCATGAGTATCTCTCTAAAGAGACTTGCTCTAAAACGGGAACATGTGCTTTCGCTCATTTAAATAAGGCACAACTTGAGTGTGAGCTTGGAGCAGTGGAGTATGCGAGATTCATGGAAAACTTTTTGAAGCCTAAGGGGGATAAACAGATTAACCAAAACGAAATGAACAAAAAGAATCCTAATTTTGGAAAGATCCTTCATAAGAAGCACAGGCATCGGAAGAAAGGTGGTCCCTCACAGAAGAAAAAAAGTTGAGATCGTTTAAATTGGCTTTTATGTGCGAGGTAGTTTTGCTACGGACATTTTTAACGCATTGTAATTTATTGTTTTATTATTTATTTTTATATTTGATGACGATGTTTGACGTTTTGTTTATGTTCAGAATTATTGACCAACTTTAGTTGTGTTTAATCATATCATCTTTTGGCTGAGAATGTATGTTCACCAAGGTTACATTATATAAGTACGAGTGAACCAAAAATATTTTTATGAATAAATTTATTCATGTAACGTGATAAAATGATATCAGTTAATAAAGTCATAGTTCATGCTGAACTAGGGGCGATATCGGCTTTATTAATCACTTGCAATGGTTCCAATATAGTTACCTACATGATCTTGGTAAATTCAATATAAAATTCTCGTGTCCATTATCGCACTCATACCCTCTTCAACCTTCAAACCCTCCAGGATCAGACATTATTATATGGCAGAGGAAAATAAAAAGAAACCATGTAGGGCATGTAACACTTACACCGACCAAAAGAAAGACTTTTTGCAGACAGTCAATAGATTTACAAAGCCTAAACGTGTACATAAAGTATGTCCACCGGATCGAGAAGAGCTTGGACGTAACACGTGGGGATACCTGCACACCATGGCTGCCTATTGGAAAGATGCCCCTTCCACCAAGGACAAGTCGGCCATGCGCACATTTATCAGGCAATTTTCCAAGACTTACCCATGTGAAGACTGCGCATACGCGCTGCGAGTCTGGATGAAGAGTAATCCCCCGGATGTAGCTTCACAGAGTACTTTATCAAGATGGTTTTGTGAGGCGCACAATGATGTGAACGAGAGGTTGGGCAAGAAACTATTTGATTGTTCATTGATTGAACAACGGTGGCGAGATGGCTGGGATGACGGTTCCTGTGATTGATTAAGTTCTACAAGTTTTAAAAGCGGTTTGACGTTATATTGAAATTCAAGATATTGGTGAATTCATCATATTGTGACCTTTTAATGGAAAGGTGTTACTTTTACAATGACGTGATGACTCGTGAATAAGTTAGAAGTTTTGAATGAATTAGTCATCATTCAACTTTAAGTCAGCATGATTTACTGTGTTGTAGATTATTGAAATTGTTAATGCAAGTTCCTTGGATATTGATTCAATGATAAAGTTTTGGCTTTTACTTTTAGTAGAATTATTTCTTGTCAATAATCTAAATTTGACTGGACATATTATTCTAGTACAACTTGATTAAATGATGTTAGGAAACTTTTTAATTTATTCCATTTATGATCCAAGCTTTTCTATATTATCAGCAAAGAATTGGAGATCATCATTATATCTCCGTCAGGTCCAAGTATCGGGAAATATTTCTATTCCTGATATCTGAGAAATATCTGACATTAATTAAATTACATTCTGTAATTGTTTCAACCTTGAATCACCTTGTTATTTTGATCACTATTTCAATAGATGTCAGAGTTAGTTGACAGTGAAGCGGAGGTAGGGACGGATGAGGAACTTGATAATATGAGTGGAAGTGGGGACGAGGGGGCCAGGCCGCAGATCAGTGATGACGAGGAAGAGGAAGAGGGGAATATGAATGAAATACCAAAAGACATGGGTCAGTGAGAATTCTCTAGTGTATTTAATTTTGCTTTGGTGAAACGTAGAAGTTTAATATGAGCATGCAACTATAAACATTGATGAGTTAGTATCTTAAACAATGTCTGAAATCATCAAATTTTAGAGGATTTTGTTGTGAATGATGGGCAGAACTCTGACGACGAAGAAGGAGAGGTCCTTCAAAAGAAAAAGAAGCGACGGAGACATCTTTCGGGTAACACACACCTAACCTGTTAACCAAGGAATTAAGTTTTTGATCGATAGACAATAGACATTATACATTTAGACTATTAGATAATGGCATAAATCTAATTCAAGTTAATTTGGGCACTAAAAGCCCATTGAGTCTTCTGACTTTCTGAAATTTGAGTTAATACATCCAAACATTCTAAACCTGCTAAACTAAATTGTGATTTTCGATTTGATATTTCCCTTTCAGAGGAGGAGCTGACTGATGATGATTATGATTTGCTGCAAGAAAACCTGGGGGTATCAGTAAAACGAGTGAGTGAAGTGTATACACTGTACGGGTATCGTGTCTGGTAGCTTGGCCCAGTATGCGTAACCTTTTAAGATTAAAAAGAAAAGCTAGTTCAATTTAAATCTTTCATAATTCTGCTCTTGTTATGTTTGGATGTAGGTATATAATTGTGGTTCTTTCAAGCATTCAAATTGAACTTACCATGTTATGTCTTGAAAGGTTATGCCTTGAAAGATTCAAAATAAGTTCTGTGTCTGATGTCTCATCGAAAATCGCATGTTCATTGCAGAGTACTGTAAAAATGTATTGTATTGTATGTTTAATAGAACGAACTAAGTTGAAGAAAAATGGAATTGAACTTTGATTTCCATCATACAGCTGTTCCATCTACCGCTCGAGAACCAACAGAAGTCTGCTCTAAATAAGTGCTGCTACTATTCAACTGGATATTTCAAATTCGTTGAGCACTCAGTTTAACCCGAAGCACATTAAGCAACAAAATAATATAATGATATGAAAATCTACCGTTGAACAGCATTATTTGCAGAAGAAGTACACTAGGGTTCGACTGGAGAGCAGTGACGAAGAGGAGGGAAAGCAGCCGGGAGACGACAGAGATGCCCTGGCCAGGGAGTTGTTCGAGTCTGAAGATGAGGAGCCCGTTGAGGAGAGGGATCAGGTACTGTGTGGACACGTGACTTCTCATTTTGGGACCTTTTTGAAATCATGTTGTGCGTATGTTATTTGCTCACTAATGCAGCTGATGTATCCTGAATTCGTTATCAAATGACAAACCATCGGCTTTATCCCTAAAATTACTTTACAGAGTCAAGAGGTGGACAAAACACCTAGCAACAGAGTAACACTGGACAATGTGGTGTCAGGTGACAGTGACACCGAGGTTGATGACTTTATTGTGGATGACAAGGGGCGACCTGTAAGGACGGAAGATAGATCCCACTATGGCAGTGCCAACAGGTAACCTTGACCTAAAAGTAACGTTAGAAAACTTTAAGATCAGTTTAATATTAAAAGTTTCCCCGAAATCTCATACGAAATCCAGATGCTTAAGTTAATTTAGTTATTGCCTGATCAATCATAAAGTTTTAATTCCGCTCGCGCTAGTAGTTAGTACTAAAGTAGGCAATCAAATTTAAAATTTCCACCGTTCATCTGCTCATTCAGTAGATGTTTTAAAATTTTAAAAGCTATGATATCATGTAGGGCGTCCTGACAATTTGACAAACAAAATTATACTGTCAGTTATAGCTAACAGTAACTGACTTATCAAGTTATTGCCTTGCAGTGCGCTTCGAGAGGCTGAAGAAATATTTGGTGATGGGTTCGATTTTGATAAAGTACAAGAAGAGATGGAAGAAGAATTTGATGAAGACGAAGAAGATGACGTAAGTTATAACCTTCATAATATATAATAGATAAAACTAGAATTTATGTATTTACTTTAAATTATCCTCTTCTTGATCCGATTAATATAGGCGAATTTAAATTAACTTTTCCCAGTACGACGATGACCTCGATGGTGGCATTGACGGTGGACGGAGAAAACGAAAAAAGAAAAAGGCAGAGGTCAATATCTACGATATCTATGAGCCGTTTGATCTTGAAAAGGGGCACTTTACAATGCAAGATCACGAGATTAAAATGACAGACTTACCCGAGAGGTTAGACATTTATCTATGAAGGTTGCACAACCTCTTTCTAGGGATATTGGTGGTTCCGCACCGGGTGGATTGACTGCTGCTAGAATTCGTGATCAATAATTTTAAAGAAATGCTACTGTTCATAATATTAAATTATTTATAAACCTTGCTTAAATAGTCTATAACTTTATAAACCTTGCTCTTGTTTAAATTAACTCACAAACCTCGCTATATCAGGTTCCAGTTGCGGTCTCACCCTGTGGAACAGGCTGACGATATGGAACTGGAGCAGGAAGCTGCTTGGATATTCAACCAGGCATTCAACACCCGACCAGTTTCTTATCAGGTCAGCATTGTTATATGTCATACCGCCTGTAACTCTGTAATGACTCTAGCTGTAATCTGGAAGTTTCTGGATGCTTTAGATTACATAGTACGTACAACTCTGTTGATAAACATAGTATGTTTATCTTATAAATGCCTCGCGTGAATAGCGTTCATTTTTGTAGGGTGACGTGGACGAGTTTGGAGAGATTATGATGTGGACCTCCAAACCAAAATCTGCTGAGGGTAGGATCAAGGGGGTGCTCAAACTTATCAGAAACGATAAATACGAGGTTGCTTTCATTGCTACTTACAGAAAAGAGATTATTCAGGTTTGTCATTAGATTATGTCATTTAATCTAGTTGATGTAACTGCACTGTAATTACTGTAAGACACATAATATCGACACGATGGGCATTAATGTTTTTAAGGCTTGCCCAAAACAGCTAAAATTTGAGTTGTGATGAAAATAACTCTCATTTATCATGATTGCAGGACGATCTGACGGTAGACGATTTATACAAAATTTATGCTTGGGACGAGAAGTGGATGAGGCTGAGTAGAAGGAAAAAGAAATTGAAGAATCTCATGATGAAGGTACAGCAGTATCAGTTTGAACGGACTAAAGAATCTGCCTACATCAGAACGGAACGCATTCTTGAAGCTGAGGACATTGACAGGTATTGTAAAACCTAAAACCTGTAAAATATTTAAACATTTCAAAATATTTTACTATACTACTAGTCCTGTTTTATACAATTATGAACTATGAGACAGCGTTCATGTTAGTCATGATAAAAACTTGGTAATCGCACCAAAGCTGTGCTTCTCCACAGTTGTTGATAAGTTGATAATAAATAAATATGATTCTGCTACTTCAGGAGCTGCTTAAGCTCTTAATTTGTTTTTGCTTTTGTAATTCTGCTTGAAGCATACTTAATCCAAATGTACGAAACCTTTTCTGGTATGATTTAAAACATCGGTCACATGTACATCTTTCAGAGTTGATACGATACAAACAGTCGAGGAGTTTAACGATGTCAACGCACACTTTACCCTTTATTATAGTTCAGATATTATTGACCTTCAGAACCTCGCAAAAGCTAATGCTACCCTTGATGGTATGGACAAAGTATTTGAGGAACCATCATGATCAGACATAAAGAAATATGTGATCATTGATATACAGCATTTCAGCATTAATGTCAATAATTACGTTGTTTTAACGTTCGACCACCGTACTACTTTCAATCTAATGTTGGTCTTAAACAGGTTTGGGTACAGCAGACCAGTGCAAACTGAGTCAAAAGAGGAGCAACTACAAAATGTGCCAAGAGAAGAACTTGGGAACCCTTGTTGAAAGATTCGGTCTCACAGCACGGCAGTTTGCAGAGAATCTCAGTGATCAGTATAACCGACACTCAGTGGAACAGTTCACCCTCATGCCAGAAGAAACGGCTGCTGAGTTTACAGACAAGAGGAGGTTCTGTGACGAAGCTAAGGTTCTTGAGGGTGCTAGGTACATGATAGCATGTCAGCTATCTGCTGAACCGAGTGTGAGGTCGTGTGTTCGACAGGCATTCTACGAGCGTGCTCTACTCACCGTTACCCCAACTCAACAAGGAGTAAGGGAGATTGATGATCTTCATCCTTATGCTAAATTCAAGTTTATAAAGGATAAACCTGTCAAGGTTAGAGTAATTTTTGTTCAATGATAATAAGCAGTTACATCACTGCTTATAATGTGATAACATTATTTTCACAACTTTGAGTTGTGAAAATAGTTTTATCCAACGAGTTTGACGAGTTGGATAAAACGAGTTACACTACCGAGGTTTGACTGAGGTGTGTAACTTATGTTATCATATTATAAGCAGTGATGTAAATGCATTATCTGATGATCTACGAAATGATGCTAGCGAATGCAGCATTTACATCGGAAATTAACGACCGATAATATTACTACATATAACATTCCAAAGTCAAACTTTCTAGAGGACACATCCTTATCTCTTAAAATTGTAACAAGTCGCTGAGATGTTGCTAATTATTTTAAAAACAGAAAGTGGCATAACTTATGTTCTGATAAATATTTTTGCTTAAAATTTTACAGAATGTCAATAACAAGTAGTCAAACATTTGTGGCAAGTTTTGTGTGAGTGTGAGCTTCACTGAGCTTATTTGACCAATTTGAAATAATTAGCAACATCTCAGCGACCTGTAACAATTTTAAGAGATAAGGATGGACCAGTGCGATAACAATAGTTATCGCACTCCTATTTACCTGTTAATCACAGCCTAAATGTAGTACCAGGGAGATAACAACAGTTATCTCCCTCCCAGTTATTGCACCCCTATTTAATGCATTATATTAGCGTAAACAAGAGTGAGATAACAACTTTTACATTATGGACAGTTACACACTGATCATGAGAGAATCTAGTTTCTGTTACTTTAAACGATCAAATAGTTTTGATTTTTAAATTCGAACTTTGGATTGTTGTGATCCTGAAATATTTGGTGGTAACTATGTACAAAGACGAAGACTTTCTTCAATGATCAACATAATTCACGAAATTAAAATATTAAAAGAACAATTATAATCGAAACAAAAATACAATGAATTCGCAATTCAGTGTAAAAATCGGTACAAATTAAAATGGTCACTAAAAAGATTTACAAAAATAAGTACACAGCGTCACAGCGGATAGTAAACAGTGGCTATCTGAATTCAATTTCAAATATCCTAGCAATGTTGCTGACAAAAACAGAAAATAGTTCCTAAAAATGTATTGCAATAATACAGTGAGTCTTCATTTAAAATCAATTAACCGATTTCATAGGAAAGTTCACATTTAAACTCAAATCAAATCTCAAACTTGTTCATATTCGCATAGTTTTAGTGTTTTATCATCAGTTCTTATTCAGGATCTAACCGGAGAAGAGTTTTTGAAAATGTGGGGTGCTCAAAAGGATGGTTTTGTGAAACTTTCTCTTTCAATCTGTGATCGTGGCTCAAAAGACAGTTACTTTGAGGAGATAAAAATGTTTTTCTACAGAGACGAGTTCAGCAAACTTGTGCAGGTTTGATGAATAATTTTATTGTTTTTATGTAATCAAGTAATCAGTAACATAATGGATGCATTAAAAATAGTGAACTGCGATCAGACTCTGTCAGTCTCACAGTCTGTCAAACATACATAGTACATAAAATCTGCAAATCATAAAAATACGGTTTCAAAAATGAAATATTACACGATTTTGCTTCAGGAGGACATTCTTATCATTCAATATTTTATCATGTTTTTTGAAATAACAAAGAATACCTTATTTCCCAAAAATTTGAGCGGGCCTATCACCCAATTTTTTTGCACACAAATTAATTGTTAAAATCTTTTTCGACGACTAAAATTTTTGCTAACCAAAGTTTTGGTATTTGACCTTTCACCCTAAGATCCGCGGAAGGATGACTTTCTCTTCATATCCAAGCGAAATAATATTTAAAATTTTAGTTTTCTGAACTGTCATTCGTGGCTTGAACATGTGAAGGCTTATTTTGAAGGAACGGAGTTTAAAAGTCAAAATAAGAATGTGATGGTGCCTATAATATATGGTTAATTTAAATTAGACTTCTTTGGTCCGGGTTTACAGCAATTCTGCACACCCTTTCTTGTTCTCCCGAGAGTATGTGCCGCTTAGTTTGATAGATCTAATTGAAATTTTAGAGGAAAAATCGTTCATTTTTTCGAAGGAATTATGCCCAAATTTTTGGTTGCCCAAATGATTGCCCACATTTTTCGGGCTCGTATATATTGAGCTCAATATAATAAATTTTTGGGAACTAAGGTAATCAAATACTACTTCATTCGCCTTCTCTTCAAAGAGATATCCTGACTTGTTGTGATTTCCTCTATTTGTCCTTGCAAAGTGAGCAGCAGATTTAATTGCTCTGGAGAAATATTTCGCCCTGTTAAGCGTTTCATGTTACTGTTCACTTTATTTAGATGTTTGGAAACATCTTCCAAGCTCGATATGATCTTTTCAACTGTTTCATCGAAGATCATCCGACGAAATAAGCTCACATCCACGCCTCCCTTCTCAGTGATTTCACTGATCAGATTTCTATACCCTTCTTTTGCTTTATCTAAAGGTTCCGCGATACGCTTTGCTTGCATCATTTCCCATTTTAGTTCATCTATACTATCTTCTATGTCGTCTGCATCTTCTGCCCTTACAACAACTCTAAGGGCATCAGCGACACCCTTTCCGTAACGTTCAATTTCTTCGAATATACGGAAGATCCTTACCTCCAAAATGGTCTTATGCCTCCTTATTTCTTTGGTGTTTAACGTTTCTCCCTGCTTTCCTGCCACAGGAACCATCTTAAATGGTTCAAGCATAAGTGCTTTCCATCTTAAGTATGATTTTTTACTTTCTTCAATACAACCTAATGCATTTTGCAGCTCACTCAAGTCAATCATTTCAGGAGTTTCCAAAGCATTCTCCCAACCGTCCTGAAAAATTATTTTTATCACAAAAATTTGTGGCTGCATAGAGTACCGTTAGGGGCCAGGTGTATTCTGAACATTAGAGGTGCACTATGGACTATCGTGGTAGTACAGGGATACAAAACTGGGACATATTTCTAACGACTCAGTAGTGTGCATAACCTACAGAATTATGTTATTAAGCTTTTAAATTTAAAATTGCAAAGCATTCACCTCATCTGAGCTTAAGCCATCACTTCTGCGATTTCTGGAGCAAGATTGCACAGCCATTGCTATAAAAATAAACAACTTATTAGCATCCATATCTAACGGTTAAAATTGTAGCTGGCGTCTATTATGACTCGGAAATCATAATTTTCGCTTATCCAATTAATTTAAAAGATTAAACGTCACATTGTATTCGATTTTAGTTTTGAAAATCAAACGAAATTTTTATATTTTGAAAAATTTAGAATATTGTGATTAGTTACAAAATCGAGTGTAAGTTTATTCAATAACAATACTAAAGATATTCTCACAATAAGAACAGACTAACAGCAGAATTCCTCACATTTTTTCGCTTATAAACGCGTAAAAAACTATCATAGAATTATTATAACAATGCAAAAAATATATATAATATGTATATTGAAAAAATATATCATGATTATTATATATAATAATCATGAATTAATACTTTACTGCAATTCTCAAAGATTTTTTAACTATAAAAAGTGTTGACTAAAAAATGGTGACATTATAAAACACAATTTTAAAAAATAATAACAACGGCAATGATCAACACACAATATAAAAGGATCATTTGATCCTAAATTAGAAACAACATAATCCATTTCTTGTGTGAGAGGACACTTGGGCAACCGGTGGATTGCTATGCGTTGCAACAACAAAGTTAATAAAATACTCACAATACAAACAATAATTCATCTAATGTAGTGTTTGAAAAAATATATCTCTACAAGCTCACTGAATATTTCGTTACAAAATCGCCTTATGACTTGAAAATGGGCGACGAAGCAAACATTATTTTTTTGAACACGTTTGGTAAAATGTTACGTATTATATTATGATAGTTATAGTGTATTGATTAAAAGGAACTAAAAACTAAATAATCAATTGTATTAATCACAATATGTATTTTTAATTGTAGTTGACGAAATGAGAGTCTCCACTCAGTGTGTTAAAACATAATTCTTTGTCGACGTTTCGGCTACATGCCTTTGTCATAAACAGGACGTACTGAAAACTTACATAGCTGCAAAGATACAATGTTAAAATAATCTATTAATACTACGAAATATAACAACAACAAATAACATTTTGAAACACAACAACAATCACAAATTTTTTCCAAAAGAAACATAAACTAAAACGGCTAAAAGAATCCAAATCGCAACAAGCCGTGAACAATTCTTCATACTACTACAAACATTTTACCAAGATAGCTCCTTCATAAAACTGATTAATCAAAAATTATCTAGGTTTATAAGTTCAATATTACATTAACTTCCAAGTATATTTTATCCAATCACCTTCATTTACGGACTCAGACAATTGAGTATTTATTTCTGGGTTTTCACGTTTTATTAGAACCGACTGCCACAATTGACGGTCCACATAGTCTTTACATCTTTTTCGAACTATAAACCGAAACGGTATGTCGCATTGGTAGCATTTGCTGTCACAAAGTGACAGCAAATGCTACCAGTGCGATAAATCCTGCATGATCAAAAACATTTGCTACCAATTAATATGCCAAATATGTAATAAGTCCTACATTGGGGAAACTGGTAGGTTTAAAAGAAGTAGAGCCTGGGAACACTACAAATCAGTAAGGGATGGCAACAAATCTACGGCCATGGGGAAGCACTACCTAGAGGAGCATGCAGACATTTCAATGCCAAACATACCGTTTCGGTTTATAGTTCGAAAAAGATGTAAAGACTATGTGGACCGTCAATTGTGGCAGTCGGTTCTAATAAAACGTGAAAACCCAGAAATAAATACTCAATTGTCTGAGTCCGTAAATGAAGGTGATTGGATAAAATATACTTGGAAGTTAATGTAATATTGAACTTATAAACCTAGATAATTTTTGATTAATCAGTTTTATGAAGGAGCTATCTTGGTAAAATGTTTGTAGTAGTATGAAGAATTGTTCACGGCTTGTTGCGATTTGGATTCTTTTAGCCGTTTTAGTTTATGTTTCTTTTGGAAAAAATTTGTGATTGTTGTTGTGTTTCAAAATGTTATTTGTTGTTGTTATATTTCGTAGTATTAATAGATTATTTTAACATTGTATCTTTGCAGCTATGTAAGTTTTCAGTACGTCCTGTTTATGACAAAGGCATGTAGCCGAAACGTCGACAAAGAATTATGTTTTAACACACTGAGTGGAGACTCTCATTTCGTCAACTACAATTAAAAATAAATGATTGACCCACTCATAAGAGCAAAACAAGATTACCAATCACAATATGTACTCAAATAACGGAGTAGTTCGCTGTTTATTAGTCTCATGATTGAAATACTATATTAAAACTTTTAATACTTTCAACACTGCTATATAACAAATAATTTGAGCCTGAAGATGGCGTTGACGCCGAAAATTTGCCCTTACTCCTAACTTCCTTGTTTCACTTGTCCTTGTCTCTTCCAACCGGATAATATCCAGATATCAGTATTACAATATGTACTATTATCGTGTATCATCCTCATTCCATTAAGAATCTATCACAAACACTTACAAGTTCTTTTGCCCTCTGTATTAATTTGTCTACTATTTCATCTGTTGTGAGGTCCATAGCCTTAGCCTTAGCACGTTCAGTTATATTAAATTTACTTTCCAAGTCGACCAAATCTTCTATAATTCCTTCAAGTTCTTTGACGATGTTATCCAAGGTCTCCTTCGGTGACAAATGAACTTTGGCTTTCTTCGAGATTCTTTGCGAAACTTCGGGTACGTAGCTAAGAAGTGAACTTATCACGTCAATCAAGTTTATTGAATCTTTGTTTTCTGTTAGTTTCAGTGAGTCTCGAAAATCATCCAGGTCATCAACCAAGACTGGGTAATCTTCGCGAAGTTTTTCTAATGATTCTTTTAGATTTTTAGTTTCTTCCATTTCCCACTCAAGCTCATCAATGGCGTCTTTGACCGTCTTGTTGCTATTCTTAAGTACCTTTTGTAGGTTCTCCATTGCCTTTAAGATTTCTTTTCCATAAAGGAAAACGTTTTTAATGACCCTATCAGTTCTTACTTCTAGTTTCCTGTACTTCTTAGATATTTTCCTGGCATTTAAAGTTATCTTGTCTTTATCATCAGAAGGACCCATAGTATCCGCTATGTTTCGTAAGCTTTTTAACCATGTCTTTATTTTTTCTTTTCTATCTTGCGTCTTGTGGTTGACTTCGTTTCTATCTAGCCAGATATCTGACTCATTAAGAGACTCCACTATCCCTCCCTTTGCAGTAATTATGCAGGCGTGTCCACGCTTATATGGAACATTTTCCGAGAGATATCTTTGATTTCCTTCCTTATTCAGGTAATAGACCGTCAGGTAAACTCTAGTTTTGTCACTTTCAAGACCAATGGAATTCGGTGGATCTATCGTATTCTCTTCAAGATGTGCCAACTTAGTAAATCCTGGCTCAACTTTAGCTTCAACTGTTACTTTAGCTTCATCTTTAGATGTTGTCTTGCAATCCGCTTTAAAAGAGGCTTCCTTACAACCAAAACTAGCCTCAAAACCAACCTGTTTTTCCTTGGACGATTCCTGAACTCGTGCAAAATTAATTAATATGCATGCACTGCACTGGGTACATCACATATTTGTTTATTCTCCAACTGGAATATGCATAATTTAATATTCTATTCTATATGAAAAACTTAAAGGATAGTTCAAAAGCTATGGTTTATTAAAAACTTACCGTAATTTGATCACCCGTAACTCGGAACCAAATGTCTTTCTCGAAAGCACTTGCTACGCGTATACCCTCATGATCACCCATCTAAAAAAGTAACAAATTAGAACTGTTTTAGTTTTGATACAAGATTGTACTGTTACAGAATTGAGTATGTACGTATAACTGTTAACTTTTTTCTGTGATTTATACAATTTGTAACTTAGTTAATATTTTTAATCCTTGTCATGCAGGGACAAAAGGATTTCGCGGCGATTTTAGCCAAAAATCGCGATACCGCGAATTACATTTCGCGGTATATTAAACTATACATAAAATTTGTCGCAAATAATGGGAAAAATCGCGATTCCGTACATGCCGCGATTTCCGGTAACTCGGTAATCTGCCGATGCACATCTGGGGCACACCTCGGGCACACCTCGGGCACACCTGGGGCACAAAGCACACCTCGGGCAGAACCACCTGGGGCACATTTCCTTTTGTCCCTGTAATGTCATGTGATGTGTTTCTATCGCTTGAATTTCTGTGCACTGCAGGAAAAACTTTGCTAAATTCAGGACAAATTTTATTTGAGGATTTATATTATAGTATGGGATCTTTATTTTATAGCATTATCAATGACAAATAACCGCTTTTTCTTCAGACCTGGAACGAACAAAGAACAGAAGCTCTTGGTCTTGCACTCAACAAGATGCTTTACCCAATGTTCGAACAGGAACTCATTCAAAAGTTAAAGGAAGAAGCCGCAAACCATTATCTTCAGGTAGCTTTAATTAAACAGCGATATTTTATAAGCCGTGAGATTTCGGAAGAATAGCTAAAACATAAGGAAGGTGGTTTTACAAATCGAAAGATATCGAATGTGTACCTTCTCGGAATCATTTCGGTAATTTTACACAATCCGAGAATCCGGTCTGGACTTTGTTATGAAAGAAATAATCAAACTGGAAGCAGGCAGGAAATGTGATGGCAATAAACTGCAAAACTGATGAGGCGAAGGTTTTAGGCAGAACGGTCAAGAAGTGTTGCCCCACGTTTTATCTTAGGTTTTGAACATACGGGCATGCATGCGTAATTCTGGAAAGCTTCGATGGCACTAGTTGAGCATACTGTAGCTGTGTAAGCACAATACCCTTTACAAGGAGTAGGGACTAGGGAGTAGGGACCTTAGCTGTCATTGGTCTCCAAGAGTATTGTGAATGATATACATATATAATGCATTTGGGCATTCTACTTGAGAAACGACCTTGATTTGCATTTGGGTGAGTGTGATAGTGAGTAGAGTGTGCATTTCCTTAAAACGTGGCTAATCGTCAGCCATATTATGATGTACAGTGTATATATAGCCACAGAGAATTTATGCAAATTTTGTCTGAAATTTTGGTTAACAAAAAGATCCGAATCATAAGACTCTGAATCATGAGAATTGTAGTGTTATCTCATTGAACAGAGAATACTAGTAGCATGAAGGCCTTTACTTTTTCAGCTCAAACTATCTTCCAAAAAATCGGTGTTTTTAATATGTTTTTTATTTTTTGAATATCTGAACATGTAATAAATACCGATTTGAAATTCTACAGCAACAAAAAGATGTTCAATTTTCCAAGGAAAATGGGTACAAGCAAGGCAACTCACAGAAGAAATATAACACAATTTTTCGTTAACTTGTGTGCGATAAGGATAAGGTCATATTATATAGGGCTTGTACATCATGTGAGGAACAAAAATAGTCGTAAACTGATATTTGAGTAATAATCGTCATTCTTCGGAAATGACATGATGATATTAATGCGGAACTTTGTAGAAACCTCACACGCTTAGCTTAAAGTGAATGCAGCTCACTATGTTTACAAATTCAGGCTCTGTACGAATTTTGAATTATCATTCAGTCATAGAAATGATTAAAACAACTTCTCTCTAATGTTTGAAGTAAAGCATCATAATATTATATAATACGTTACAATCAGGTTGCAAATCGCATTATGTCTTCTAAATATACCTTAACAAAGTAAAAACCATATAAACACGTCAGACATGTAAGATGAAATTAAGGAGGTGGTTGCAGATGGCACCCTACACTGTTGAGAATATCGACGAATCATCTCAAGTTCCTGGTGTGTGCTAACATTTAACCACACAATATTATCCCACGATGCTTTTTTAAATATATTATCCTCTTTATCAGCTGTTTTATCTATTTTACCGGAGTAAGCTGTTTTGAATGTTTCGCTATCATGCATCAAATAGATAACTAATTTTAAATACCTTAAACCAGGCATAAGAGTCTTAGGAATTTACATAGACTTAAACGAAATGGATAAACCTGCGTACGGAATACTGATCAATGGGGAAGGGGAAGTGGAAGAAATGATAACTCTACCCTATTTTAGGTATGCGTATCTTGATCCCATGTTGACTGATATTCTAGTAAGAAAACTGAATTAGCGAATAATTTTCTGATCGAATTTATAGTTATGAAGATATTCCTTTTGCGGGCAGTTCATCACGATTTAAATTTATATCGTGCGTCAGGTACAGTCATAGAGGAACTAGCCAAAGTCGTGACCTGACAAAAGGAAAGGTCGCCGATATAGAGAAGCTCAAAGATTTTATACTGGAGCACAAACCACATGTTATTGGACTGCCATGTGAGGGCAGGTATGTGATAATTTCATAAATTTTCAAATTGTTTTAAAAAGTTCGAATTGATGATTCAAAACATCTGCCGCTGGTAAGTGTAAAAATTTCGGTTACCCAAATTTACTGCTGCTCGTTACGATTGTTGTCAAGATTCAAGTTGCCGAGATTAAAACGCTTTACGGACTCCGAAATCTAATTTACACGATTACATAACTCAGACCCCAATTTCAGATCTATGTTCTATCAGAAGGATCTACAAGAAATAGTGACTGCGTTAGAACAACAGCACCAGATAGATCCTATTGCTATTGAGTTAGTCGACCCTTCCGTCGCTAAACTGTACAAAGAAACCACAAGATCTAAGGTATGGTTTATTAATTTTACCCTTATAGTTTAATTAATAACTTTTTTAACATTCACAGTTAATGGCACGTAATTGTCGAATTTTATGTGTCATACAGCTGATATGCCACATTTTCATTACATATAGACATAATCATATTTTTACCAATCAATAATCACTAAGATACTAAACTGATAATGACAGTCGACTGTTTTCAGACAGAATTTCCGAGCTACAAACCTGAACAAAAGATGGCAGTTTCAATATGCAGAAGGTTGCGGGATCCTTTGGTAGAGTTTTCTCAGCTCTGTAACTTCAACAACGATATTTTCAACCTTCCTTGGGGAGCACTTAAAGTTAGTGGAACGTTTTAAATTTTAAGATGAATATGATAAATTAGTATTTTAGCTTATCAGTAATCCATGATGCTAATCGCCAAAATATGGACACAACAATTCGAACTATGAAACTCTTCAGAAGTTTATAAGCCCGGAGCGATTAAAGGAGTGCCTGTATGAAGAGTTTATGACTCGTGTGAACGAAGTTGGAGTAGATCTAAACTTTGCAGTGGAACATTACCACTACCAATCTTTGGTTCAGTTTGTTTGCGGACTTGGGCCTAGAAAAGGAGATGCACTTCTTAAAGTAAGTTTTGTAAATTAGGTGAGGTGATCATATTAAGTTTAGCATGTTAACACTCAGTATATCCATCTGATTAATGCACAACGTATAACTTGACTAATACGCTGTATTCAATTAAAAAACATGTCAATTGTTTCAGCTTTTAAAGCAGAATAATGAGAATCTAGAATCGAGAGCGGCGTTGGTGACCAATTTCAAACTAGGTGGCCGAGTTTTCTTGAATTGTGCTGGCTTTATCAGGATAAATCACGCCCGAGATGACTCGTAAGTGTTTGAAATTTAATTTATGTTGAATTATGTAAACTGTAAACATTACATCTTGAAGGAGCATTCCAACATAGCGACGCGATTCCTTGGAGTTTCCAAGGAATCGCAATATAATGCCTTCAAAGATGAATGCCCAAACAGTTCTTACGTCGCGCGCGGCCGCCGAAATTTGAATTACGGTTTAGAAGATTTATTGTAGCCCCCTGAAACTAGCAATAGATGCGCGCAGCAGCCTTGCTTGATCTCTATAATTATACTGGTACGACAGGTCGACTGGTGTAAGCGGAAAGTACCCGTTCCTGTATAAGCACTACAGCTATTATATATCGTCTAACTAGCTTATCGTATGTGCTATAACGAACCTTTCCCTCAGATTGAATACAGAGAATGTGCAATTGTTGGACTCTACTAGAATCCATCCAGAGACCTACATCTGGGCCACAAAAATGGCGATCGATGCTCTTGAGTACGATGATGACGAAGAGGATTCAAATATCAAACAAAGAGCCATTGAAGAGACAATGGAAGACCCAGAGAAACTAAGAGATCTTGACCTTGATGCTTTCGCTATCGAACTTGAGCGTCAAGTAAGACTAACTGAATTCAAAATTAATTGAAGTTTAGACGATATAGTTTCATTGCATTTCATTTATCTAGATATCACTATCACAAACCGTATCTAACTTAATGTTTAGGAATATCCAGACAAGCGTATCACACTATACGATATAAGAGACGAGTTGACCAACAGATACGCTGACAAGAGGGTCCCGTATCATGCTCTAACTGACGAGGAACGATTTTATCTCTTGTCTAATGAGACTCCAGAGGTTGGTACACGACCATTCAAACATACTGGCGACCATTCAAAACATTCTAATCTCAAGGTCGTGATAAGAATCCTGACTCCTGGGGCAGTCATAATATCAGTGAACCTATGATTTATAAGGCTTCCTTAGACAACAAAGGACAAAACAGAAGTCCGAAATTCCAGCGACACTAGCTAGTGATGCAATGGGTCGGTTTGATCATAACAAAATTGGGAAAATTACTGTGTCATGATACTGTACAAAAATGTTTAAGGTATCTTTGAGTTCTCGTCCATGATGCGCCGCAATTTTTTCATTGGTTGATAAAATTTAGTGAGGCACAAGTCCTCAACGTCCTTATTGTCTCACGAACATCTGTGTAATACAGAGCAAATTGTATCAATGCAATATTTGAGTACTTGAAGGTTGCTCGTATCGGAACTGGAAATTCTAGCACGTAGTTACCCAGAATTGGCTTTCGTTTATAAGATGTTCCCAATCAAGTATTACTAGGATTTCGACTGTAATTGCTTGATTGAGATAATTGAAAATTTGTCCAAACACATTTCTCCCTCTGCAGTGCACACTACACAGGGTCTTCTCAAAATCATCTATTATACAGGGTTGGCCAGAAATAACTACCCTACTGCAACCCCTGAATAAAACAACAATTTGATGAGCTACATATATATTGAGAAAGTTTCGTAAGATTTTGTTGGTACACGTACTCTAGTTCAACACGTACTCTAATGAGATAAACCCTGAAGTTCGACTCTGTCAAACTAGAGTATGCTACCTGAACTCTAATTCGACACATACTGAAGTTCGACAAGATAATTTCGACTTTCGAACTAGTGTATGCTACATTGGGTCTACTCCGACACGTACAGAAGTTCGGAAAGAGAACTGCGACTGGTTGGAAGTGATATTCATAAAAATAAATTAATAAAATACTGCTACGTTACGGAACAGAAATATAACGTCCATTGGAGCATTAACGTCATTAGGCTACAGAAACACAGGACCGTCAAAAGACATTCCAGAGAATAGGAGGAGGACAAAGATGAGATATATAAATTTAAGATCTTCAATCTGTAGAAATCTATTGAAAAACAAAGCTGTGAATGTCGTGTGCGGGTTACGCATTTAAGTGACAGAACGTTTCTATGAGGCTTAACTGATAATGTGTTCTACTGTTTTGATATTGAGATAAAGGACGACTGTTTGCTAAATGCTAATACATATTACATACCACTTGATATGTTCACGTCATGGAGGGAAAATATTTGCCGAACTTGGACTTCAGTTCATAACTCGGTTGGATTAAACCTTATCAACTTGAAATTTCGGCGCAAGTTTCAGACTTTTTTCAAGACATCCAGAAAATACACAATGAGTTCCTAGCCCTAATCATCGACATTACATTGACTACGAAATTGTTAGTCGTTGGTCACACTAGTAAATTAATAATGTCCTTTCAAAGTATAATATATAAATCTTGAATGTATATATCTTTACCTTCCTATAAAAGATGTATGGACTTTTCTATCAAACATGTCTGCCTCAAACCTTCACAGCTTCACCAGTAATATCATTTCCTCATTCTCTCCTGAAACAATTAATGAATTAACCTAATAAAGCTATCTGTCGCTCGACTTTAAACCTTGCAGTGTTGTGTTTCTTTTTAGATGTGAATTTTGGTGGCGAATATATAAGAATATGCTTCGCCTCCCCGCCAAAATCCACATCTTCAATCGCTAGATAGATCTCGCTCACTGCATTCTTCGAAATCTGTACAGTTTATATTCAGTACAGACATATTAGTACAGTTACAGTGTTTTGATATTTGTTAACAGTTTAAATGTTACTGGCTGCAGTGATCTGAAAACTGACACTAATGCAGCCATAGTCAAAGAAGATTATTGTAAATACTTCTGCCTTGTGATGTTACATTTTCTTCTTTTTCAATCTTACAGTATGAGCACTTTTTCTGCTTTCTCTCGGGTAGATTTAAATTTGGCAAGAACAAGTACTTCTCCAGAAGATGAAGCCAATGCCAACTTTAGATTTGAGTATTTTTAAGGTAACTAATTTCAAAATTGGCAGTTCTATGATTGGCCATTTTACCATGACCAGTCAAAGTTTCTCACTTATATTTTATACAGAATTCTATATTCTAGAATAACCATACAAATTTTCAAGTCGTTCAATACTGTCATTTGAAAAGTTTTGTAAGACCTTATTCTCTTATTGCCTAATAAATCTGTTCTATAAGGATTAAATAGTAAAGATTAAGGAGAGTCAATGTATAAAATCATACGGGGCTAAAATTGCAGATTTTAAAGCAACATATTAATTACGATAAACTGCGATAGTTAGTTAAAAGCACATGACAATTAATATTATATATATTCAAAATAACATTATCTAAATTACCAACCTGAAACTGATAAGATGGGTGAAACTGCCTTTTTTTTCATCGTTCTTGATAACAACAAATTAAATGTTGGATGACGAAACTGTTCATCTTGAGCAAAGAGACAAAAATATTGGAAATCGCAGCGGACAAATGTGCTCATTTATAGTGTAATGTAATCAGTAAATACGCAGCGCTCGGGCATGAGACAATAACAATTTGCTCTTGAGTCGGATATTCCGAAATGAAAAGTGTACAGTGTAATGTACATTCACTGACGTCATTGTGATGGGAGATGAGCATATGGCCTCGTGATATAATGGTGGCTTGAACTAACCATTGTATCACTATACTTTCAAGATCATCAACACTTGTTTTAGTTATTGATTAAATGGTTATTGATTAGTCATACGAGGACATTATCACATGATTATTCAATAATCAGCTCACCGTGGTAACCGGGTTTGTTTTTCCTCCGCAGACGTTTACGGAGGGTATAATAACGTTGTGTAAAGTATTCGCAATAGCGCGACGAAAGCCGAAGGGAGACGAGCCAGATATTCAGCCAAAAAGGAATGAAGAGAACGGAATGTGGCAGTGTCCACTCTGTCTGAGAGACAATTTCCCCGAACTTAGCGAAATTTGGAACCATTTCGATACTACAGGTCTGGATTTGAAAACTTAGGACACGAATGATTTTATCGATTTATATTCGCCTTTATTACGTAATTGTTAACACTGCCTAAGCACTATCATTCATTTTTACCTAAAATATCAGGTCTGTGGTCATGATCTTCATTCTTCATAAGATAAGATAGTTGTAACTTGTATCCTCAGTGAAAACTGTTTCTTGATTTTATACCAATTGTTTTTAACAGGAAGTTGCCCTGGACAAGCAGTTGGAATTCATGTGAGGCTAGTAAACGGCCTTAAAGGCTTCATTGCTACTAAAAACATCAGTGATAGCAGAATCACTAATCCTGAGGACAGGATTAAGGTAGAATTTTTTATACAGATTACAGAATGATATTTTTATAATTCTAAATAGTAGTGTAAAGCAGGTTTCACTGGTTTTTTGGTGATAGTTCTGAAACTGAGTTCTTCTACCTAGCATGAAAATGGAAAGTATCGATTTTGATATCGTAGAATTATTATTTATTGCATTTACACATCATAACTTAATTCTCAGATAAACATGCAGATAAACGCGAAAGTTGTAAAGATTCTGTTCGATAAAGTTACTGTTGACTTGTCTTGTAAGTCCTCTGATCTAAATTCCATCGGGATTGCTAAGGACCTTTATTACGACAAGGAGGCTGCCGAGAAACTGAAGCAGGCTAAAAACGCAAAGAAAAACAAGAAAATGAAAGTTAACCGTAAGTGTTAAAACACTTCCTTTTGGACTTCTATCAGCTGAATATCAATTTTACAAGATTATTTCGTAAGAATCTTAATCGGCCAGTCTGACGGTATTTTCAAGTGTCTAGGCCATTTATGAATAAGCCCATGGCCGACTCAAAGTTTAAACTGGCATTTAAAAAACTTATTTCAGAGTACATCAACAGAATCATAGTGCATCCCAACTTCAAGAACGTTACATATGCAGAGTGCGAGAAGTTGTTGGCAGACAAAGAGCAGGGCTCCGTTCTCATAAGACCGTCCAGGAAAGGAACCCAGTTCCTTACTCTCACTTGGAAGGTTCGAGAGCGATGAATTGGCGCGAACCAATCTTAGGAAGTACATTACCATTTAGATAAAGCATCATTTCGTGAATCCGTCAATATACTAATATACCATGGCCCACTGTATAAACACTGTGTGCAGGTTGACCAACAGAATAACATCCTATCTCACGAAGAGATACTTGAGGAGGAGAAAGATAACCAGTTTTCGTTGGGGAAAAAACTCAGAATCAGTGATGAGGAGTTCGAGGATTTGGATGAAGTCATAGCTCGATATGTTGAGCCAATGGTACTAATAATTGCATGCAGAACACACATACACTGTTATTAATCAACTTTAAATCGCGTACCCCCTACCCAGCCAACTTACTTCTTTGTCGTCGGTGATATAACTTACAATTTTACAGGCCAAAAACGCGCGGGATATTATCTCCTTCAAGTACTACAAGAGCTCTACGACCACAGAGACAATGAATATGCTACTTAAGAATGATAAAGCCCTAACTCCTAACCGCATACCGTACTACATGACAGCATCTGCCAAAAGGCCAGGTTAGATTTTTCACCGTAATGTAGACTTCGTGATCCTCAGTCATGTGATGCTTGAGTAACTCCATAATCTCGCTATAGATTTTATGCCGTTGCCCGAGATCTGTCAGCTTCAGCTGATCATATCTCATCCTCTCAGGCAGATTTATGTTGTCGTATATGCCTGGTACAATGCCGCGACACGAGCCTGTCGGAGTCTCTCACATAGGGTTCAAGTACCGCGGCAAGGTCCACACCAATTTCGGATCTCTCATTCGATGGTTTAAGGTAATCCTTTAAATATTATGATCACTGCAAACCAAAAGAACTATAACTTGAGGTAATTTTTCATTCAGTACGATCGATTAGATTTTAGTATAAGGCAATATTTTTCAGGAACACTGGAGCGACGCCCCTCCGATCAGATCATCCAAAGCGATGAGCGCTGTTGGAGCAAAATCAGCCGTAACCGACTACACCGCTGACTTCACTGACTTTACAGAGCCTTTCCAAACTCCCAGGGTTTGTGATTCCTTTGAAAATAAACTACTCGTGGCTTTAATTTTTATTGTAAAATATTCACCAATGCTGAAGGATCTTTAAATTAATGTTTTATGAAATTACTGTTTGTTATATAGCAAATTCATCCTTCGCAGTCGGGGGCGTTCTCAGACGCAGCCTCAGTCTACAGTGGAGGCACTTCTCTACGAACACCAGGTCACAAGACACCTATCCTAACTCCTGGAGTAACACCCAACTATCGGAACACACCCGGCGCTCAAACACCTGGGGCTCGAACACCTGGTGCCAGAACTCCTGGTGCCAGAACTCCTGGTGCCAGAACTCCTGGAGGAAGAACCCCTGGTGCCAGAACTCCTGGTGTTACAACTCCTTATGAGGGTGGGAGGACTCCTGGAGGTCGTACTCCTGGAAGCAGAACTCCTGGACACCCTCCGCCGAGCGGAAGGACACCATCCGGGGGCAGAACCCCCGGCTATCCTCCTCCTGGAGGCCGAACACCTGGATCAGTTGCTAGATCACCTGCTGGAGGTAGAACCCCTGGGCATTTGACACCCGGCAGCAGAACTCCTGGACACGGCACCCCACAAGGAGGTCGAACTCCGGGACACGGCACCCCACAAGGAGGTCGAACTCCCGGACACGGCACCCCACAAGGAGGCAGAACTCCTGGACACGGCACCCCACAAGGAGGAAGAACTCCTGGACATGGTACTCCTCACGGCAACCGAACCCCAAGCGGCATGCCTCCTCCTTCATCTGGTTCGAGGACGCCTGGAGGACGAACCCCTGGTCACCACACACCCGGTTACCACGCCAGCAGGACTCCTGGACAGAGGACTCCCAGACAGGATACCTATCTTCAAGGGTTAGCTTAAATCATATTTGAAAATAAAAACTAGGTCAATCTCAACAATAATTTCTTTATTTGTTCACTATTTCGTCTCACTCGTGCAGTTAAAGCATTATCAATAGTCATGACCTGTAACTAATGCGCTACACTCTCTTTAGCTATTCAAGCAGCAAGAGTCCCCATCCTTCACATCCAAGTCCGCATCATCCGATGAAGAGCCCACATCACGGCCGACACCAGTACCCCTCTCCAGGAAGACCTGGATCCAGGACCCCGATGTCTCTTATGGAACCAGTTCCTCCTCAGTAAGTTTGGTGGCAAAGTGATTGATCATCATACATACCTAGAATGTTCTACTCACGTTGAATTCGCAGCACGACCTACCCTTAACCTCTGACGTTTCTCTATATTTCCTAAATTCAATTTTTAATTCTTAAACATGTTTAAAATCATTTCGACGTTAAACATAACTGCAAATAGAAAATTTAAGCTGGTAAATCGTATAAATTCGTTTTCCACAGGTCAAGCCCAAGGCCAAGAACTCCTGTTGCTTGATGAATGAACAACCTCGGTTACGGAATAGCACCACGACCGTCCCCAAGTCTGACAGTCCCCCGATATTCGCTCTCACAGTCATATCTTATGAGAATCATTATTTTCAACGTAAACTGTATTTACACGAGACTTATTTGGTACAACTACAAACTAGAACTACATACACTGGAAAAAGATTGACACGCGTATTATGCATATTAAATGGGGTAGTATGTACTCTTGATCTTCATAGACATTAGACATACACTTTTAAAGACAGTCTGTTGATTAAACTCTGTCGGAGTTACCCAGCAAAACCTTTTTGCTAACGGGTTTATAGTTTTAATATTTTTTTTGGTGATTATCAGTTTTTATATAGAATATGTTACAATTCATTTTAACACTTTCTGTCCACTAAATCTGCAATTTTCCGACTCAGACGTGACCTAAACTTAAAGGTACAGTTAGGGGTCGTTCACATATTACGTTATCAGCCGAGGGGGGGGGGTTTTCAAATGCTTACGGTTGATTCCGGGGGGGGGGGGGGGGTTTTGAACGTAATCAAAATTGTAATTTTTTACCGATTTTCGAAATACCAATTGGACATTTTCGTTAATTATGTAATCAAAATTTTCGTTTTTTAAACCAATTTTCGTTTAGTAAGTGCTCTGCGATTATTTCATTCATTAATCCGTTGTGATAGCTGGGGGGGGTGTGTCTAATCTTGATTACGTAATATAGGAGGGGGGTTGGGTCTTGAATACGGGGGGGGGGGGGGGGCAAACCTTGATTACGTAATATAGGGGGGGGGGGGTTCGGGTAAAAATTGCCAAAATATTGATTACGTAATATGTGAACGACCCCTTAGAATAGTACTAGTAGAGAACTATTGATTCTGAAAGAATGACGGGAGTTAGGAAATAGTGGCAAAATTATTTTACTATACTGATAATTGGTTTGAGAACGACTTTGAAATGGACCAATTAAGTAGTATGAAACCCTCTCTTCATTTCGCTTCCACATTCTGAATGTTTCCGCTCTTAATATAGGGTCGTTAACATATTACGTAATCAGCCGAGGAGGGTTTCCAAATAAAATGATCATTAAGCTAGTGCAATTTTGACACAATATCCAAGTGTAAAACTGATTACTATATATACGGAGGGGGCACTTCTATTATATTATGCGGAAGCATATTGACACACGCTTTAAACCTCTTTTCGCGCGCGGCCGAAGGCCGCTTTTCTAAGAAAAGGTAAGAGGTAAACAACGTGTTTACAAGTATAAGTAGTACGTGTTACTATTAGTAGTGTTAAGTAGTGTAGCAAGATGCATATATATATACCAAGTCGGACGTTAAACTTGAAAAACTGGGAATTTATTTTGTTGAAACTATAGCAGCTTCTCAAGATGATTTTTATCCTTCAATTTTTAAACTGTTTGTTTCTTGTCGATCAAAACAAATACTGCTGCTAGTGCTACCCCGAGTCCATTTAGAAAGCGTTTAGAAAATATTAACGGGTGATACTCGTAAAATATTTGTTTCAACTCGGCCCGCGTCCTGGTAGGTTATAAACCTACAAAGAAAATACTAATAGAATACAAATTGGATGATGATCAATGATTAATCACTTTACACTCGACTCAGACTGTCACGTGACTTTTTCGACCCGTTCTCTAGCTGGTCCTGAACGACTATTCGAAACCTTAACCCTTTAATTTGTATAGGTTTATAACTTGACCATTGTTAATGGTTTGGCCCGCGGAGCGCGCTACTTCGTAGCACTTGCCGTCGGGCCATTTCGAGAAGAAACCGGCGCGCGCCGCGCTACTTCGAAGAAATTTAGACGAGTAACATCCGTCAAGTTTATAAACTACCAGGACACGCACGGAGTTGGACTCGAAACAAATATTTTACGAGTAAACGAGTTGACGGATTTTAGTGTTGCTCGTCTAAATTTCTTCGAAGTAGCGCGCGCCGCTTTTTTCTCGAAATGGCCCGATGGCATGGCAAGTGCTACGAAGTAGCGCGCGCCGGGCCAGATCATTAACAATGGTCAAGTAATGACAAGTAAACGAGTAAAAGAAGATCGACTGTCATGTCACATGTAGCGAGCGTGCTAAATCACTTTATATCTACAGTCGATCTTCGAGATTGTTCTAAAAGGGCCCCCGACGACCCGACGTGACAGTCGAGTGTAAAGTAATTAATCATCATCCGTCGGGAATCGTTTGACGTTTAAGATCACTTTCGAGGCACATCCGGCACATCGACAAAAGCTACTCTGTACTCAGCTCAAGCTATATTTGCTACTATAGTATTGTGCTTTTAACGGGTAAATCAGACAGAAGCATTTTTGAGCATGTAAATATAATTGTAACTGTTCTAGGTAACGGTTCGACTAGGTAACGGTTCGACTAGGTAACGGTTCGACTAGGTCGAACCGAACGACCTAATAGGTTGAACCGAACGACCTAATAGGTTGAACCGACCTAATAGATTGAACCGACCTAATAGATTGAACGAAGGCCCGGGGGTCTGCTTACCAGCTTACCTGTTATGTAAAACTCGTCACACAGCAGTCAGCACTGAAACTGAGCCCAATACAATTACAATACAATTAAAAACCGTTTATGGTTTAGAAATGGAATTCTTACAAATTAATGCGCGCTGGGTTTTATGTCAAGGTAAATATTCGCGCTAGAGCTTTTAACTAAATAATGCTGTTCGGTATCCGCGCCACAACAATATACTGTGGATCGCGCTTCAGTGTTACCACTATTTTGATTCAGGTTCAGGTTTACCGGTTTACGGTGAACAAGAATAGAGCGACTGTTTCACTTTTTAGTAGCACAGTCGGTGAATCGGATCTTAATCTCTTGGATTTAAGTCTACAATTTTAAGTTATTTTCGTTCCAAGGAGCTGCGAACTACAGACTCATACGGAGTATAAGTTCAAGATCAGCGTTCACTAAAATGCAGTTAAATTGAATCGAAGTATTAAAATATAAATATAAATTCAATATGCATGTAAGTATAATCAGTGGGGAATCAGTGGCTAAACGTAGTCGTAACTAATTGTGCCGCTCTACGCTAAATCTTACTGCTACACACCTTAAATGTTTCTTATGTCCTTTTAAAAAAAGGAAAAAATGACACCCCCACAATTTCTTACTAGCAGAACTCGAATATCAATTTAGAGTTAATAAAGTTTAATAAATATGTTACTATCCAAGCACTTTTTATCGTATTATTCAAAGTATGCGAAATACGTTATCATAATTTCACACCACAGCATTCACATTAATCAAGCAGGTCCAGATTCTGTGTCAATAATTCTACTTTTCCTTATCTCGATCTCCTCAGAGTTAACGTTTTTGTCGACCTGCATGGTGTTTACATCGATCTTAGCGCTCAACTGGTTGAGTGCTGTTACGATTCGTATAACTTGTCCCTGGATCTTCTTCAGTCTCAATTCTCCATCACCGTCAACCTGCGGTAAATTTGAGATATATAAGATCACATGACCTCTTATTCGCATTTTCACATGGTTATTATGGTGGAATAACATTATATGACGAAAGAATTTAACATTTGTCCTCCAGCAAAAAAAACACAATAACCGGAACTTTGATGACCATATTGTGGTGTGTGTTTGCTATAGGAAACAAGACCTTGTATCCACACAATAAAACACATGATTCGTAAATTATAAATTGTTCAGTTCTAAATCTTGAGGAATTAACAGAGAGTAAACCAAAAAATACCTGACGACGTCTAGACACGATATCGACCACACAGCTGCCTCTGAAGTCGTATATTGTACCACCAAACAATTTGGACAATGAATAGACTACCTTGTTTGGGTAAAGTTTTCCCTGAAAAGTGGGGTTGTTTACAGAGTGTTAATTGAGGTCACATATTTTACGACTAACAGCTATGCTAACAGTCCCATTGAGGGGGCCAACGAATGACGATATGCTGTCAGAACCGAAATACTTTTATTCCTATACCACACTTTCCTATATGATGAAAACACATCGAAGGCAAATTCAGTCATAACTAGGTAGCATACCTATGAACTGAAATGTTAAACTAGATTTCGATCTTCATGAAAGTTTTAATTACTAAAGTTTCTCCCCATTCCCCAATCAATGTTAATAGCCTTAATTGCTAAATTAGCCAGTAGTAAGCAATCAGCAGTCCAGCTGCATCTAACCTTTATTTAAAAGTGTTCATAATTAAGATATTGTGTTTCTCCCCTATTAGTGATTACTCATAAATTAATTTGTTTATAACTTCAGAGTATAGAGGAACATCACGCAAACGGGGCTAAGGAATGATAATAATGATGGCAATCTGACATACAAATGTAACCCTTTGTGATAAAATTTGGAAATTTGTAAACTAACGTGAGGGTAATGAGACACCGCAAAAACATCGCAGAATGAAAGTTTTCCAACTATCTTCTCCGCTAGAAATATTTGCTCGATCCTCTCTGCTGATCTCCGCAGCTTGGAGGTTTTCCTCGTTTCAGCCACATCAAGAATAGCCAAACCAGTCTGTAATAAAAGATTTTGTTATTTTGTCAGAGCTTCATATTTAGGTGGAGTTCAGATTTATTATATTATGTAGATTAAAGAAATTTTCACTGGATAGTGGATAAGGCTTGGTGTATTTTGTTGGTTGGTGATATCGATTATATCTTCCATTGATGATCAACAAATTTTTGCTGGAGAAATTAGGCTATTAATTGATGCATTTTGTTGGTTGGTGATTTTGTTGGCTGGTGATTGTTGATCAATTATTGATTGCATGACTAAGAAAGACAAGAAATTTACGGATGTAACCAATATTTGGAATATTGTTGGTAATAAATAATTAACAAATTTAAATCTTTTGAACTTGTACGAAGTTTCAAATAACTCACAAAGTAATCAACACTAAAAACTCACAAAAAGACATTTCAATATGAAACATCAGTTCTTTAAAAAAATAAGCACCACATATTCACAGATGAGTTCTATCCAAAGAAAACCAAGGATGTTTCAGCAGGTACTTATACTCAATCCTTTCCAGTGGATCTCTCACCAGACAAAGTCTGAGGAAACTCCTGCACATAGGAGAAACTTTAACAATACGTGGTTTACAATCCACAACCTCCTCTGAACTTCCGAAAGGGTAGTACCCCATTACCATCTTGTAAACCAGGCAACCTAGAGCCCAAGTTGTTCCTTCTATCGGGTAAAAGTATCCTTTGTAGAAAAACTCTGGTGGAAGAAATACTTCTGTTCCGCGACCGATTGTGTAGGGGGTAGACCTGTCGTATAGAGAAGCTGAACCAAAGTCGATGAGTTTGATCTTGTTTGTGGTTGTGTCGATCAGGATGTTCTCGTCTTTGATATCCCGGTGATCGATACCCAAGGAAAGACAGTAAGTGACGGCATCGTGTATTTGGATGAAGATGTCTCGAGCTAAACTCTCACAGAGGCGTTTCTTTTCTTCCACAAAGTCAAACAAGTCCATCGTGTTTGGCAGGTACTCCATGAAGATGTTCCAGTGGAATTTGGTCTCTAAATAACCGTGCGTTTGAACAATGTTGTCGTGCCTCAGATTCTTCAAACAGTACAGTTCAAGAGGAAGAATCCCCGCTGTTGACTCAACAAGGACACTGACTTTAGATTTCTCCACTCGTTTGACGGCTAAAAGTTTTTGGTCTGCTTTTCGTGAGACAAGGTAAACTTTTCCAAATCCTCCCTGACCCAACTTCTTCTTGATCTTGAAGAATTGCTTGAACTTGAAAAGATGAAGACACTCGAGGATACGTTTAAACATTTCAAATCGATAAAACTAAAAGATTGTAACTACGGAGAGTTCGTAAAATGGCAAGTTGGATAATGGGATATGTGTCCAGAGGTAAGACAGTTATATATAGGGGCTATAAGCTTATGTTGCTGATTGGATGGCGGATTATTCGATCCAGTACGTCACGCAGTCTCGTTTAGCACATAGCTCAATTCGAGAAACATGATACACTAAGTTCCGTCATCCAATCATCAAGCCATTTCACCTAATCAGACGGTCATGTTGGTGTCACGTGATGTTATTCTCCTGTCTCGAGTTTGCACGTGACGACCATCACGCACAATGTTTCCCAAATGTTGTCGAATCACGTGATAAGGTTACATGACAACAATCAGGAAACATGTGGGGGTAGAATGAGACAATAGATTAACTGAATGAGGGTAAAAGCAGATTGGGTGAGCTAGGAAGTAAGTCTGAAACATAAACCAGTAAACGCGGGGGCAAATACGTCGAGAAATTTCAAAAGCTTTTTAGGTGATAAAATTATACGACTCATAAGAAGATAAAGTTGTTTTTCCGACTTCCTGGAATTACAATACCAAGCGAACCTCGAAAACGCCATTAAAACGGGGTTTAAATTCCCATTGCATGTGTAATCCCTCTGTTACATTATAGCTTACTTTCGACCAATGAGCACATATTATACTGGCCATTAATATGGCGGCCAAAATTTATTTCTACTGCAATTGTGAGCACAGGAAAATTGCGATAAGAATACATTTTCTCGAGGACAGAAGACGATGCGCAGTTGGATTATTACTAAAGAAATAAGCATGTATAAAGATATTTTGCAGTTAACATTATAACTTCTTTGGTTCTTACGCTATTTTTTGACAGCATTTAAACTCAACCGACTCATACAACCCCGTCATAGTCACAACTACTAGACTTAAATACCAAGCACTACACTGTAAATAGAAAGCACTCTTAACAAGTTCACAAAAATTAAACGTACCAGCAGGTTCATGAGGATGATAGGGCAGAGAAAGAGAAACATCATGTAAAGAGGATAAGTTGAGTACGGGTATTTAACAGGGTTCGGTCCTTCAAAAGCCAGGGGTACAAAGTACATGTCGAAGTTGATCTCTCCAATGAACATCGTCAGTACTTTGACAATCGTGGTGCCAACTCCTTCAAACGTTCCAGTCTGCGGGAGTTTGGTGCTGAGTTTGTAACAGTTTGTGACGGACAAATTTGTTACATAGAGATCAATTTGTTACATCTAGGTAAATTTGTTACATCTAGGTAAATTTGTTTAATATAAATTCGTACAGATAACTTTGTAACAGACAACTTTTGTCCCTACATACATCCACGCATCATTTTTAAGGAAGCATTTTAAAGTCAGCTATTATAGATAAAGATGATAATATAACATTATATCTATATTATGAAGTTTTAAGGGGGGGGGGGGGGGGGGGGTTCACCCTGATTTTTTTGTAAAACTTGGTTTCGAGATAGTAGTTGACCAACAAACTAGGACCGGTGACCGAACTTTTGAGGGGATCCCCGACCCCAACCGCCAAACGGTGCCCGCGGGGCAGCCACGCCCATATTTGGTTCAAATTAGGCCCAATTTAGCCAAATACCCTGAACATGCCCAAAACCCAGATTTTATGTGCTTTACTTGTAGCTAGTGGTCCCCTGAACTAGCATATGAATTTTCATCAAGATTGGGCAAAAAATGACTGAGTTATGAGCCAAAAACCATATGACCATATTTGGGCATACGCACCAAATTTGATCGATTTTGGCCCATAAATTGGTCAAATATCAATGTTTTTGAATGAAACCAACTTTATATCAAAGGTAAGCTTATACTACACATTCTCTATGATTATCAGCTCAGTATCTACCTAACTGTGGATTCTGTGTTCAAATAATCACAAAAAATGAACTAAATCGTCCATATCTCAGTTCGCGATATTTGCAAAACTGATTTCGCTCAAAACAATAGAACTCAATAGGGTTTCAATATTTTTACATGAAATTTTCAGAATCAACGTAGAATCGCATTTCGACCTTATCTCTTGTATTGAAATTTTGAGTTAGGCCTTTTAAAAAATTTGGCGGCCAAATTCCAAAATTTGCCAGGCATTTTTCAGAATTTGGCCGCCAAATTTTTTTAAAGGCCTAACTCAAAATTTCAATACAAGAGATAAGGTCGAAATGCGATTCTACGTTGATTCTGAAAATTTCATGTAAAAATATTGAAACCCTATTGAGTTCTATTGTTTTGAGCGAAATCAGTTTTGCAAATATCGCGAACTGAGATATGGACGATTTAGTTCATTTTTTGTGATTATTTGAACACAGAATCCACAGTTAGGTAGATACTGAGCTGATAATCATAGAGAATGTGTAGTATAAGCTTACCTTTGATATAAAGTTGGTTTCATTCAAAAACATTGATATTTGACCAATTTATGGGCCAAAATCGATCAAATTTGGTGCGTATGCCCAAATATGGTCATATGGTTTTTGGCTCATAACTCAGTCATTTTTTGCCCAATCTTGATGAAAATTCATATGCTAGTTCAGGGGACCACTAGCTACAAGTAAAGCACATAAAATCTGGGTTTTGGGCATGTTCAGGGTATTTGGCTAAATTGGGCCTAATTTGAACCAAATATGGGCGTGGCTGCCCCGCGGGCACCGTTTGGCGGTTGGGGTCGGGGACCCCCTCAAAAGTTCGGTCACCGGTCCTAGTTTGTTGGTCAACTGCTATCTCGAAACCAAGTTTCACAAAAAAATCAGGGTGTTTATGATGAACACTGAACATTGAACAAAGTAGATGAAAACTCACTTGTGGAAAACTCATATGGAACATCAGAATGTATGGAATGAGAAACAGAAAGATTGGCAGCATCACTTTGATGAAGGATTCCAGGAGGATTTTAATCATGATTACGTAGATACCAATAAAGGGGAGTTTCTTGAGGGACATTAACATGTTGTACCAGGCAAATACTACCACATAGCAACCAACCTGTAAATTGTACATGTTCATAATAATTTATCGTAGCAGTTAGTAATCTAGTGGACCCGTATTTTTACATCAAATCAAAGAAGAAAAAAAACCGGGAAACTTTAAATCATCTAAAATTTTAGCCACAAGCTAGTTAGAAGAGTTATGATAATAATATCCTGAACGAGCCCGATGAGCTTGCAGTGCAGCTAGTTTGAGCACATTGCATAAAATCAGAATGGAACAGACATGGTACATGTCAAAACAAGGTGGGAACTGGGAACTACAGGGAAATACTCACCTCCCACTGAAAATAGCTGGGATGAGTATCTGGGTACTGTATGATGGAGAGACAGAAAACAATAGTCAGCCCAAATATAACCACTTCCAGATAGTTCATCGGGTCCCTGAAATAAACGTAATATTACTTTAACACACTTATATTAGGTTGCAAATCTTTAATTTTGTTTATTTTGTGTAACACTAACAAGTAAATTCATGGCACGCTCGAGTCTTGATCATAGCATATTTTATGACTAGTGCGGCGAGTTCAGTTCAATTTAGACTGCTACCAGCAAACCTGGTACAACAAAAATGCAAATAACAAAGCCATAATCTTCATCGCTTTAAAAATGTAATGATGAACAAAGTTAGCCTCCCTCCTCACTTTAAATATCCTCTGGTGTTGGTAATGAGCTGAAAGAGCTCGAGAACTAGTCTCAACCCACTAAGTCCTATAGAGCACAGCGACAAGACTAATAGAATTCCCTTCTTCCTGTTATCAGTTGATCCATGAGGTGGAATTTCCATCAGAGCGTACGTTCTGCGGACATTAGCTGATAAGGAGATGATAAGATAATACACCTATGAATCATGTATGTGCGTGTGACATTATGTATGATTTAACTAAAATGAGGCAGTAAATCTGGCTTTTCGAAAATAATGAATAACAAAAGTGAATAATGCTTGAATGATTTTAAGGAAAACTGGACAAAAGTGAATAACAAAAGTGAATAATGCGTGAATGTAAGGTGACAAACGAGATGAATATGACGAAGATGACATTGAGGAACACGTTGAGATAACACCAGACTTTGCCTAGTGCATTCCATTTGTAAGTGATAACAGAGCTGATGAGAGGGTGATCCAACAAGTCTATTCTGTCGTGTTGTAACTGGGTTGTTATTGGTTTAACTTTAAGGAAAAGGGCCGAGATAAAAAGGAAATACGGGTATTATTAATATCATAGTGATGAGCTTTAAATGCGATGTAATTTAAATGAAACTTCGTAATGACTCGAAATCAAACTGTGATAAAAGCTTTAATGACACGACAACCGTTTAATATACAGTTTGAGTACCATGACCATTATCCAGATAATAAATAGGTACCATAGTGTTAAAAGGGTGGAGGGTACCGTCCGTAGCATCGTCAATAACACTGTAGTCAAACTGAACCCAATAGTCCTCCTTTTCCTCTGAAACCATGTTATCTGGATCCACATAGGTGCACCTGAGGAGTAGTTGTCACACTGTTTGGTTATTTATAACCCCCTCCCTCTATTTACTAAGCTGAATCTAAGATAAGGAGTAAGGACATAAAAGCGCGTATAAAATTTCAACCATGTAAGACAAAATTATTGCATTTTTTCTACCGTAACAATTAAACAGAAATCATCCCTCTCCTCTAAAACAAACGTTAACAATATAAAATAAATTTGATTTAAGTAAAGAAATTGTGTTACTTGTCAAAAACAGCTCTCGCCTGGGAGGGATAGTGTATGATTAGTTGATGCAGAGGGTGACTGTTGATCAACTGCTCTTTCCGGGCTTTCTTTCCCCCGACTTCCGATAACATGTTTAGTTTGACACCACTTGTATCTACTGCATCACCTCCAGATTCTAACGCTGGCTCTGAGGAGAAATTGTAACTTTGTAAGGTTTTTAGATCTACAGGGCACTGCACTGTGCACCAATTCATAAACTTGACACAACTTTACAATTCTATTCGATTCTATTTTGTGTTTTAGAAACACAGATCAGACAGAGTTACGCAGCATTTTGTAATCACGAGTCTCTTATTTAACTATTTGTGCTATCAGTTCAAATTCTTAAATAAAATTGTTTGTTCAAGAAAAGTTGTTTTGTGACGTTAAATCTGTTTCTAGCAGTTTGTTGTAAGCTTAACTTTCACACTGGTCAAGTGGAAATCATTACAGATTGCCTTTTCTCCCACTATAACTATAACTACAGTTACCATGGTTACCACCAATATACCACTATAACTATAACTACAGTTACCATGGTTACCACCAATATACCACTATAACTATAACTACAGTTACCATGGTTACCACCAATATACCACTATAACTTCTAACCAACTGCGCTACCTGGCCGTCAATATACCACCAATATACCACTATAACTATAACTACAGTTACCATGGTTACCACCAATATACCACTATAGCTATAACTATAACTACAGTTTCCATGGTTACCAGGTCGATATACCACTATAACTATAACTACAGTTACCATGGTTACCACCAATATACCACTATAACTATAACTACAGTTACCATGGTTACCACCAATATACCACTATAACTATGACTACAGTTACCATGGTTACCACCAATATACCACTATAACTATAACTACAGTTACCATGGTTACCACCAATAATCAATATACCATCCATCATAGACTCAACCCCCTTTTTGTTTATCGATCTTTTCGATCTTCCAAAAAACATGAAATTACTATTAGTCTCCGGCCGATTGCTTCAGCATTGCACGGTAAACCTTAAAAGTGGCATATTACTACGTTTTAAAGTTTTAAACTGATCTGAAGTTGCTTGTAACATCTCAGTACATAACGTGTCTAACCCTTACAATTGTTAGCTAACACGTGACCACGTGATGACCATAATATAAGGAGTGTTAACATGATACTACTGTTCACCTTAATTACATTCCTCTGTCACTATCCAGCACTCACTGAGGGTGAAGAAAGAGCACTGAGCTTCGGGGAGACAATAGGAGACTACATAGAGTGGGTCCCGGACATCCTGGATATCCCAGACACAAGACAGTTCAGCATGTGCACGTGGGTTCGGAAGAGGTACCGGGCAAGCTGGCCTCTGGTATTGTCCTACATTCCCCACAATGGCTGGAGATACAGCATGTTGCTAGGCGACGACGGGGCCTATAACTACGTGGTTCGCACTAACCTCTGCAGAGCAAGTTCTCACTGTCTGACATGGTTCCATGTGTGCTGAACCTGGGGGAGCAACACCACTACGATATTCCTTAAGGGGGGAGTTATCGGATCTACCAGCTCTGAGCGGAGAGAAGTCCGGACGAGGGGGGTGTTGTGTCCGGGGACCTCACCTCTTCGGGGGAGATCTCTACAACCTGTATACTCTATTATAATTAAAATCATCTTATCCATGTTTTCTTTAAATGTGGCACACGAAATCTGGTCAAAGATTGAGCCGAAGATCTTATCGGCGGCGGCCTTATAACCACAGTACTGACGCCGAATTACCGTCGTCTACATAAATTAGTACCAACCCTGTACCATAATAAAAGTTACAACATGCTGCTAAGTGCTACTATCATTTGGAGTAACTATATATTATTCTATAATATGCTATTATAGACTTGTGTTACGCTACGTAGGCCTAAAATAAGCACAGTAAAATCCCGCTACAATTTCCATAAATTCTCATCGCTAAAAACCGATTCCTGAAACCACATTTCTCGAAAACATGCATCTACAGACGTCTCCTTTCCGTGGCTAACATGACGCAGTATGTACTGACTTCTGCACGGCTTCGCAAGTACCCATCCCGGCTGGTCGGAGAATTCCAAGTTCTGACGAACAACTACACACTCTGTACACTATCATGGCAAGACTATAATTCATTGGTGAAGTTCTGATAACCAGGGGGTGAAGCAGCATTGTTATTCAGATATATAGTCCCCAGTGTAACGCGTTATCTACTACAACTAGCTGAATCCCTCTAATACTGCTCGAGATAGCCTAGATAATATTATATTTCTTGTATGTTATGCTGGTACCGTGATCAGTTCTTGTTATTTATCAGAATTTTTTATTTACCGTAAAAACAATGAAGTACTTATGTGTGGTGTGAGAGAGGCATTTGAACAGGGATTTAACAATACATTCTATGAGATTAGGTGTCCTTACTTGAAGGAAGATCTGCTAGCTAACATAAAGCACACATCTGTCTTCGCTGGGACCACACCTAACATCGTATCACCAAATCCATAGTCAGTAGTCAGTAGTCAGTAGTCAGTAGTCAGTAGTCAGTAGTCAGTTGTCAGTAGTCAGTAGTCAGTAGTCAATAGTCAGTAGTCAGTAGTCAGTAGTCAGTAGTCAGTAGTCAGTAGTCAGTAGTCAGTCACCCAGTGCATTCAGAGAAATAAATGAACAATCTGTAACAGAAAGGTTTCTGATTCTGGAGTAGTGTTCAAATCCTTCTGGACTGAATTACCCGCTGGAGGCTCAGATGTTGAGAACTGCAATCCCAGATTCAATATGCGGAGAAGAAGATTGTGGGGAGTAAGTAAGTAAGTTAAGTGTTATATTCTCGGTTCTGCTGCTTGAATCAGGGAGACAGGTTTGTGCCTGCTGCCGGCGTGCTGATAATGTGCTTGAGGGAATATCAATAAATATCTATTCTCCACTACGAGATATCCTATATCATCATCATATTGTGACGTTTGTACGTGATGAAATGGATTGTTCCGTAGGGGCCAATTTATTTTAGTTCCCGGATACAAATAACCTTAAATATACCTCAAATATAACATTGATACAAATTGCCTTGCATTCCATAGAAGCCCTTCACGATAACGATTAAGGAAGTTAAAGATGACTTGAGCATCGCCAAATTTTATCAACCAATGATAAAGTTAAGGTACGTCGTAAATGAGAACTCAAAAGTTGTTTCAGGTGAAATTAAGAATTAAAATCCAGTATCATGTTTAAGACAGCAATCTTGTAATATGATCTAACTGATCCATGATACGGTGGTGTTAGGGAGTTGTTGATGAGTTTGTCGTCAAAGAGAGCTTTTATAATGGGCGTTAGATCGAGACAACTTGTAATCTGGCTTGTGTCGTTTCCTCTTATTACTCATAATTTGCTATTTCCTTATCGAAAGCAAGTATACGTATGTGTCGTGAGGGATTAAGATTTTCTTGGAAGAAACCCTATGAAAGTCAGGTTTGACGTAGTTATTTTGTACAAAATAACTACGTTAAACTTAAATATCTTGCAGTGATATTATAAAGCATACCTTGAGTTGATTTAGTAGTTCCAGGAACAGTCAGAGCTTCTTTCCATTGTTCTGACTGTAACAGCAAAGCTATAACATTCTCATTATTATTCCGAATAGCTGTCAGAAGAGGAGTGTCACCGAACTGGCTAACTTTAGCCAAGTTTGCACCTTTATTTATCAGAGCCTTTGCTGTGTCTTCCTGCCCAGCACGAGCGCTGTAGTGCAGTGGAGTTTCCTCGTTTAGGTCGGGCACGTTAAACTTAGCACCTGCTTCTAACAGAACTTTTACGGTAGTTCTGTGGCCTGCTTCTGCAGCAAGATGCAGGGGAGTGACACCTCGTCCATTCTCGTTGTTTATACTTGCTCCATTTGACAGCAAGATCCTGAGGAGAGAGGGATGAGTTGGAAGGCACACATCAGTCACCGCTATAAGATAATATTGAGAATTGAGATAATTTTAGAATCGTAGAGCATTACAAAAATTCATGAGTAATTGTTAACTGAGTACTTTTTTTTTGGAAAAAAAATAACGGTACTCCTATTTTTACAAATGTTGCATTTCTGAAGAGATTTGTTGAAAGGTCGACTGTGACGAGTCTTAGCTAACGATTACAAAATATGATCCTGAGTTCGTACTTAGCATTTTAACTTTTCTAGATATTATGTATTATGATTTCAGCTTTTGCTCCTCCAGTCGTTAACTATGAAGGTGTAACTTATTTAACTCTTCTAGGTGCTATGGATGAAGGAGACGTAACGCTGAATGTGCCCAAAGGGGAACCAGAAGCCATAGCGATATGGAGCTGTGTAACCTTGCTCCTTTCCATTGGGGGAAGTCTTATCATCCTGGTAGGTTCCATGAGACATCAGGCTATCAAACTGAACATCATGTCAACCACCCTCATCAATCACATTGCAGTGGCAGACATGGGATTTGCAGTTTTCGTCAACGGACCTATTTTGCTGGCTGTGCTGCTGAGGAAATGGGTCTTTGGGGACTTTCATTGTAAACTAACAGAACTGATAGCCCAGTTTTTTTGCTTTGCAGATTTCAATATGATCTGTGCATTTGCTATCAGCAAGCTTCTTTACCTCGTGTACCCACTTAAAGCATGGTCACAAAAGCAAGCTCGAATAGCTGCGCTAATTCTCTGGACTCTAGCTACTGTCCCTTCTGTTGAACATGCAATATTTATTAACACAGGGCTCCAGACATACTCAAACTTTACCTACGGCGACGTCTACCATTGTACACTCGTGACAGATGATGGCTCCGACAGAGTTGCTTGGGTTGACAAAGTTCAAAGTTTCATATTGATGGTGATTCCTTCTTTTCTTACGGGCGGAGCTGCGGTCTGGATGCTGATGATAGTCCGGAAAGTACAGGGGCTTAACAGACAAGCTGTCTCTACTGTTGTGCTAGTTACTTTAGTTTATTTCATAACTTGCTTGCCCATCGGATTACTTTACATATTTAACTTGCATGAATTTAAAGTATTTAGACAGTTTGCTTATTTTATACCTTTCCTCAACAGTTCAGCAAATGCATTAATTTACTACGGTTCGATCAAAAGTTTTAGAATATACATTGATAGGGGAGCAAGAAGATTATCGTCTAACTTTTCTAACTACGCTGTAACAATAGGTAATTGTGATGTGACCATGGGTCGAGACCCACAGTTAGGTGTGCTGAGAGAAATTTAAAAAACAGTGCTTACTTTTTAATTATAGCTCGGTTTTAATACAAACATTTTAGTTTCCATGAAAAAATTGATTGTGTATTTTCATTAAAAATTACTAACCGTGACAGTCAGTTTGTGTTTATTTGTTCTTTAGTGTGCCAATTGAATTTGATAACATTTGTTTCTTTTATAAATTCATTAAAGTTGAAAATTGTAAATTATTGTTTTATGCGTTAAAATTAATGTATGAGTGAGTTTAAGTTTTTTAGGTCGCATCAAATTCGATTTTTTGCCCGATTTCTGTAGTCTTAAAATCACCTGAATTTTGTTTCTGATAAAAAACAGTCCCGGTACTAGTTTAAACTATTGCTAGCAAAATACATTTTGATAATCGATTATTGAAATACAGATGTTCGTGTTTTTTTCATGATGTTATTAAAGACATAATAGTTTTTCGCATATATTTGGTATTCAATATTTTTTTTAAACCGCTGTTTTTCCTTCGAATGAGTTAAAAAAATATTTAAATCTGGGAAAAAGTTGTTAATTTAACCTGCAACACTGGGACTGGCCCCGCTGAGCGGCATCATGGAGAGGCGTGTTGCCGTTTGTATCGACAAAACGACAACTTTTACTTTCACTTTCTAACATTATTTTCAGCGTCCTGCAAGTTTTGATTAGATCTATTTTCACGGTTCATTTCATCAAGCATATCACTTTGTTGTTAAGATATCGTACGGTTAAAAGTAATTGTTGATAAGATTAAGGGACGTTAAATTACACAAAACAGAAACACCACTAAAATTAAAAACCGAACTTACTCAGTTCTCCCCTCCGTTGCTGCATAATGAATTGGTGTTTTTCCCTTGACTTTGTTCCTTTGACCGATCTTGTATTTCTTTTCAATCAGAATCTGTTAGAAATTTGACGAGTTAAAGTTTGTTACAACTTGAACTACCGCCAACGCTACATCGTTTCGACTACAAGGTCTTTTTTTACTATAATACGTTCTTTTGCATATACAAATTAATGATCAGATAGATCCTATTAGATTGACTCTATCGAAAAGAGATAATTTCCAACCCCTAACCTTGCAACATATCAGAAAACCCTTATCAGCAGCCCAGTGAAGCGGTGTGTTCTGAGATTTGTCAATATCTTGTTCTATCATGTCTGATGTCAACTGTGTCATCAGATACTCCAAAACGTTTACACGATTGTGTAGAACTGAGTGAGACACCATTGAAAGAACCACGTTAGAATGACATTTTTAAAATAATTGCATACATTGGGATTATAGATTTTACATGAGTTTTATGTGAGGGCCATGTTGATTGTTTAGTATGCTGCACAAAACAGAGCCATGCTTATTGCTTATATAAAACCTACCAGCCTCAAAGACAGGAGTTTTGCCAGTATGATCGTGAGCTAAAATTTTAGCACCAAGTCCTATCAACATTTGAGCAATAGCGGGCGAATCATTCTCAGCACTGGCAATCATCAGGGCAGTTTTTCCTGATTCATCAACACTTCCTATCACATCTCCGTTCCTGTAAGATGACAAAAATTAGATAATTTTCATCTAAATCAAATTACGGTTTTACAGACACTAGTAATAAGGTGATCATCATGTCATTGCAATACATTAACTCAAAATTATTGAACAAACCAATTGGCGAGTGCAGTGGCAGCGTCCAGGTTTCCTCTTTTACAAGCCACATGCAGTGGGGTGCGTTGACTTGCTGAAACACAATCTGTTTTAGCCCCCGCTTTTATCAGCATATCTATCACCTCTTTACTGCCTCCTCTTGCAGCACAGTGAAGTGCTGTCTCGCCTGAAAATATTTAGTACTGTGTCATCAAGGTTATTCGTATTGGACTTGGTAAATTTAAACAACAATTTGAAGAGAAATGCATTATTTAAACACAGCATGAATATTATACAGAATAACTCACCATGTTCTCCTGTTATACAGTTAACGAACCCTTCCATATCAAGCATTGGCAGCAATTCTTTTACCCCGTCAGTCAAGTATTTCACCACGTTGACATTGTTATTCAAACAAGCAATTTGGAGGGGGTTACGTGAGAACGCATCAACAGCCGCCATACAGTCCCTGGATCCCTTGTCTAAAGCATTTCTCCTGATAAGTTCTTTGACAATATTTTCATTGTCCCGGGTACACGCAACATGGAGTGGCAGCCGGTCTTTCCTGAAATACAAACATCAACAATAATAATCAACAAACATCAAAAAAGGTCAACCATGTGCTAGAAACAATATTTCAGTCCATCAGCCGAATTGCAAATACATTTTCAGTTGGTATGAACCAGGCCAGGTACGATAAGACAAATAATTTTATCATTATTCACTATTTTACCCATTTCTAGCCCAAAGGTCAGGATTGTCTTTGTAGTCGAGCAATAGAGAATTAACACAGGCTTCGTGCCCTTGGGCAGCTGCCAAGTGTAGTGCAGTGTTCCCTTTAGCAAAGTCACTAACGTTGTCTGAGGTAAAGTTTATTTAACTTTGATAACTAAAATAAGCTGCACTTGTTGCTAGTGACTAGTACTGTTGTTCGTCAGTAGAAAATCTAAAAACATAATTTAAGCTTATTACAATCTTAGAAAAGTGCACTGATAGTACCTGATAAGTTAATGTTTAGTGAGTTAGTTTCGCTTTTCATCATGAGGGCCCGTAGATTCTTAACATGCCCTTTATTTGCTGCAATATGAATAGCTGCCCTTCCAAACTTTTCCTGAAATTTAGTCGTACTCATATTTGATCAGTGGATAGTAAATTGTCTCAGTGTTCAACTGCAAAGATACGATTTTCATAATGACTGTTTCTTAGAAACATAACAATTGAACCTAAGCTATATATAAGCTAGATAAAATGAAGAAGAACCTACTTGTAAGTTAGGATCAGCTCGATGCTTCAGAAGACATTTGATAATGTCACCTCTGTCTTCAGTCCTAGCTGCCCAGTGTAAAGGTGAAGCACCATCTGGTCCTCTCTTGTTTGGATCTAAAAAATACGTTTGAAACTCTCTATCTCATGAATGATAATTACAGATATTATAATTTAGATTAGAAAAAGGAAATGCCCAGTGGATTTACCTGCATGTCTAAAGAGAAGGGCTCTTACAGCTTCAAGGTTCCCTGAATCTACTGCATAGTGGAGTCCAGTGAAACCGTCTGATGAATTTGATAAGTTGACATCTTGGCCAGCATCCAACATTGCCTTGATCATAGTCAAGTCTCCTCTTTCACAAGCCTGTAAAGGTTTTAAAAACATATCAGAACTATCGTATGATCGTATAATCCTGGGAAGACATACACAGCATTTGGAATATTTGTATCTATTCTTACCCTGTAAATTGTAATACATTTTTAATAAAGTGCTCATTTTAGCTACATAATTTGATATTTTCATCTTTAAAACCTATTCTTGTTGGATGGAAAACTTGTTGGAAAAAGTAGAAATAAAATGTAGTAGAACTGATGTATAACTTACTCCGTAAAAAGACTTGTGTTTTGACATAGCTAAGCTTTGAATATATAAATTGAGAAGTTGTTGCAAAGGGATAACACATCAATAAAAAAGAAAGTCAAACAATTAAATAAAAGCAATGAACCACCGTTCAGTTAATGCAACGTAACTATAAAACCAGATAGACACTGATTCACTGATTGAAATTTTTAAAGATCTTATGGAGCTGCAGCTTCTGAGTACATTTTTCCGTTAAGAATTAGTGCAATGTGTTCAGAATCTGAATACGAATCGACTCGAGGATCATGTCAGTTTGTGGGATCAGTTGATCATCTCAGTAACTGATTAAGTGCAAGGTGCATGCTAACGAGTCAGTCAGTCAGCGCCCAGCAGCTCTGTTAGAGCCGAGCAAGTACCCAATCATCATATTATGCAGTGCATAATATGCTGATTAGGTACTTGCTAATATGCACCACCTATTACTCTATTATGATCTGACACCCGCAATAAATTGCTCATTACACGACTGAAGAGTATGTAATTGTTTCCTTGGACTCTGAAGGTCATACCACTGTAAATAACAAATTATGTTCTCAAACTTTTCTTGAGTTAATAATACTAATCACTCGGTTGCCTTTTTGGGACACCCTGGCCCTGTATAATCATGATCCTCGAGAAAACATTAAAGTTGCGGTTTTTGTTTTATTTTAAAATCTCAATATACAGATGTACATTATATTTTGCATCTTGATCGTTGACGATATAGCCGTTCATTTTTATTGTCATTATCACTTATTTTATTGTCATTATCACTTATATTACACGAGTTATACGAAATTCCTGTAAATTCTCCAAATAATTCCAATAGTTTTAATAATTATCAATTTAATATTTTGCCTGTAAGGGTTGTGGAATAAGGATTGGTCGTTTATCACCACAAATCAAAAGATTTTACGATTGGGAAAATTATGTATATTTTTTACGTGAATAATACGTGAATTATTGATTACAAATTGCAATCTAAATAAATAATAAAATTGAACATCCCTTGATATGTCCTATAAATCACCATTCTTTAGAATAGCCGCTAAAAAGTGTTTAAAATGTTATTTTCAATTAAGAACGAAAATGCCCGTATATATATATATCAATTTCAAACAAAAATTGACTCCATTGTAAAGTTGGATATTCATTTCAATACAAAATCAGTTCGTGCAGTTTTTCAATAATAATCGATCATCGTATAAAAACTGAAACAATAAATATAAATTCAAATAGAGTGCTCTAAATAATGAATAAAATTTTTACCTCCGTTTAGTTATAACTAGTTATAAGTTAATAAATTATGTGATCTTTGACAGAACAAAAAATACGAAAACTTTAAAGGGTTTGCCCTGGGATTGATTGAATGACATGCCCGTAAGATATGACTAATCTAAAAAGTTGGTATGTTAACTGATTTCCAATCTTAAATATCTTCTCAATAGATATGATGCTAAATACCTGACCACTCTGGGACTGGGCATAATAGAAATAATATCGGAAACGATGATTATGAACCTCAATCAGACTCAACTACAGTTTGATTTTATGTACAGTTATTCTCGCATTCAATATGATGAAACAGCAATACATTCTTTTAAAAACTCAGATATAATTGAAGTACAAGGTCAGTGAAATTCCCTATTATTTAACATAATGAAACAAAATTAAAGTCAGACTTGCGCTTTAACAAGACCTGAATTCTGTCAAATATGAAGTTTTCTTGGCGCTTAGTAGTAGTAGTACTAGCTGACAGAAGGAGAGGGAAAGTTTAGGGGACATCAAGTTTAGCAGTCACATTACAGCAGTTAACGTGAGTCAATATCTTTTTCTTATTGACTCGTACACCCGTTATAAACCGATAGATCATATTGTGGTCATGGTATATCTCACCGCATGTCCAAGTACTGGCACCTGACTCTGAGTTTACTGAAATGTCGTGGCAGTCAACAACCTCAAACAGTATCTTCTGGTAGGTTTTAGAGAGCGATGCGGGGATTTCCGAGGATCTGCTTGTTGTTGGACTAACTGGTATCGTAGGTGGTTCTGCAAATATTTTCAAATAGGTTGAACTGTCAATTCACATATTGTAGCAACATCGGTTTTAATCGGTACTTATATCACAAACTACAGTATAACTTGCAATGCACATTTTTATGAGGTTACATGACAGCAATATTTGAACTCGATCGAGGAATCCGGGTTTTTATTAAATTAATTGAATGATACAATAACCTCAACTTTTAAAATTACTTATCTTACCTGTCGTCTCAGAGGGTTCTGAGCTTTTAGTGCTCTCATCTGAATCTGATGGAGTGGCTTTGTGATTGTTATCATTGCTTTGGGGTTGTGGAGTTGAACAGTTACAGTAAGACACCGTCTCCTCTGTTATATTCTCTGTGTTAGGGATAACGAAATTCAGAAAGTTAGAGCAGAATTAAATAATATTAGTAGAACTAGAATTGAGATAACTTGTTATTAGAATAATGGCTATTTTTAAGTTGTAAGTTTGATGCTTGAAAACTGGGAAGAGATTTAGTAGATTTATCAACTCTCAATCTTCTTGTTTTATTAACACTGGAAAGTTACTAACTCACCCGTCACTATCTCAGTTTGATTATCTTTTCCACCCTCTGTCGGAGTATCTGAAACACAAAAAGTTAGCGTTAAGTAAGGATACCTATATTGAGTATATAGGTTAGGTTGTTAAATGAGGGTACCTATATATATATAGATTAGGTTGTTAAGTAAGGATACCTATATAGGTTAGGTTGTTAACTGTTAAGTGATGGTACCTATATATATTACCCGTAACTTACCCGTGATTGCCTCAATGGGGGTATCATCACTGTGTTTAACCACTTGTAGAGCACCAGGACGGCTCCTTTGCATCACCTCCAAATATTCAATCTGCTCCCTCTTTATCTTATTCTCATCCCTTAGTAGCTGTATCTCTATCTCTGATTGTTGAATACGCTGGTCCATCCTCACCAGCATTACTACAACTGATACAGCCACTAATATAGTCAGCATGGTATTACATAGGGAATGGAGAGATGACATGCACGTTCGAGGCTGTGGTGTGCCGACTTTCGCTCCGTCATCATTGTTAACGGCGGTGAACCCTTTGGGCATTTTACTGATCTGAGGTAGTCTTCGTCATTAAACATGTTGCAAAGTAATTGCTTAGTGTTTTTCTATATTGCCGACGAATAATTGGAATGTTGAAAAAAATGGAGAACTAATGTGATGCTGCAAATAGTCCTGGATAGGACTGACATTTGTATAATTATAAATCAAGACGTCTTGTGGAAGTAAAATTGAGGCTCAGTTCGCAGCAAAACTTTCAGTCGACCTGAGTAAAATTAAATTACATGGCAGTAAAATTAGGTTTGCTGACATCTGTTGACATCTCCAAGATCCCTTATCAACTAAAATTATAATTATGTTCTACAACCGTTAATGAATGGTACGTAGGTGGGACATGCGGCTACCAGACTGTTTAAATTGCAAGCACGGATACAATTACCAGCTAAACTGATACAAGAACTCAAGAACTGTAGCCGGAGATCAAGACTAGCCGGAGATCGAGAGTAAGAACACTCTCTGCAGCAAGATAACGAGGGTAGAAGGAGGAAAAGAAGAGGACTGAACGTGTGTTAGTGTGGTGTTTTAAATACTCACAGAATACCAAAATACTGTAATTTTCAGACTAAAAGTGAAGAAGCCGGACAAAACACGACGTACCAAATTACCAAAGTTCAGCTGGTAACAGCCAGATCAGCGAATAATGTTCAGAAGAATGCGCATAAACTGTGGAATAGGTAATAAATAGAAGGGAAATTGATAAATTGAGGGGAATTACGGATGGTTTATCTTGAACCTGACAAATAGCCAATATAGCCATGGTCGGCAGGGCAAGACAAACCAAACTAGGTGAGAATTAAAAGAACTGTTAGCGTTAATTCGGCTGTCTGCTGGATTATTACCACAAAGAATGTGCTATCAAAAACGACACAGTGCAATGCAGTATAGTATGTACGAATACACGGTTAACAAACGATGTAAAATCACTGAATCTTAATATTTGACACTTGCCGCCAAAACTGAAAACATAACTGCAACGTCAAACGTTTTGCACGCCTATTTCTGTAGTGTTCATTAGGATTTAGGGAGCATCATTGCTCTCGACAGACAAAGTGAAACAAGGCGGATGACGGGTGAAAACTAAATGAAATAATCGACGTTTCGGCACTAATTAACCTTTTAATAAGATGAATCTTAGCACTAATCTTAACAGTACAGTGTTAAAAACTCGGCCTAACGAGATCTACGCATATTTCTAAAAATGTGTCAAAAATATCCGAACATCAGTCTAAAAGCTAACCCTAATATTGGCGCTTATTGTGGGTAGCTAATGAGAGTAGTGTAGGAGGAGTTACTAATGAGCCTCTACAGTCGACAGAGGAATCCCTTAGCTTCCTGGTAACCACCCAAACTCTGCGTCATTCGCCAGGGTATCTAATATCTAATATCACAAGCGCGAGATATATTCACTACAAAAGGGACTGCCGCCTAGCTTGAAATGACTGCCTACCACGACTGCGAACCAGAACCAATACTTCTTAAACGGTACGAGAAGCGTCAGGGCCCAGGGGCTGTAAAAAGAAAATAATGTGGTCTGGACGAAGATACCTAGAGATGCTCCATTTCTTATCTACAGTCCGTTAATGTAGTTTACTATATCATGAATCATCAGTCTACACTGTAGGGTGTTTTTCTTTTCTGGTACATCAAAGGAACATCCACAAAAACGGAGAACTGATTATTCATTATCTTAATTTGGGTGTTTCTTATCCTGTATGTAATTAAATAAGTGACACTGGTCACGTTTGTACCTGATTTCTCTCTACTTTTAAAGCTGATAAACTGAACCAGATGCATGTCACAGTCTAACACTACAGGAGGAAAATATTTGTAATAAATTACATATTTCGTGGGTAAACCTGGCAAATTGCCAATAGCTTGAAGCCACTAAAACCAATTTTGGCTTAAATTCATATAATATCGACTTCTCTACTTGGATTTAGACAAATTTTTAGACAAATCGTTTAGACGGCTACGATGAAATTTAAAACAAAGGTACTGTTTCAGGAAACCCGAATAATTTCCATTGTTCTAAGAGATATGTGAATCGGGCTATAAGTCATGAGTCATTAATCATTATTCAATACAGGAGAGCACGATATATCTCGTAAAACTAAAAGCTTTAAAATAAAATTTCGTCATCAAGATACAAATTATATTTAGATTAGATGTTGACATGAAATACTAATTAAGAGGGGAGTTATACCTCCCTCCGGTATAATTAATACAATATTGTAAGCGAAATTAATACCTCATTAAACGTACTCCATGCCGACCTAAAAGATGTGACGATAGAAAATATATGTGAATTTTTATCAGATGATAACTTTATAAACGATTTGCGAGAACTGGTGGGAATTTAGAGCCAGCAATTACGTAATCTTTAGTCTTAAACTAGTTTTCAGTTACAAATAAATGTGAAAATCGCTTTTTCGATCAGATCCAATATGTAAAGCTGTAAAGGTAGAATGGAAACTACATATACTCAGGTTGAGTCCATCGGCTAATCATCCTTATTTACAGTTACGATGAGAAGATGATGTCACACCTCTTGAAACTTCACTTAAATTAGACGGGTCCTACTTGTAAATTAATCGCATACCGTGTATTCTTATTTTCTACATAATTTTAAAAAGTATCAACTAGTCGGACATTTCATTTTACTTGCCAATGAAACAAACACAGACTTACAAGGAAGCTAGTTCTAGAAAAGACAGACCTCATACGACTAATATCCTAATTACCCTGATTAAATTCGTCAAATTAACTCGTTATTATAATAATAATAATAATAATAAAATTTGGTAGCTTAAACACAAACTCTAAGCCCAGTGGATAAACCACAAAACTTATGCTCTATTGTGTGAAACAAAGATACTAGATCAAGATAATTATCAAGGAGTGTATGCATAGGACATAAAAAGTTTTGGAACGAAGATGACATGCTTGTGAAGCGAGCTAACAGTCTAATAGCTAATAAGTTCAAAAAGATCATGACATTAGGTTGCATCCTAAACAGTTTAAGCAAATAACATAAAGTTATTATATTGTCAATTAATCGCTCATGCCATAACTTTTCTTAAACAGGTGAGTTTTTAATAATGTTTTGAACAGATCAACATCGGAACAAGTCTTAATTTCAATTGGTAGTTGGTTCCAGATTTTCGGAGCAACAGTCTGAAATGCTCTTGGGTGTGATCTTGTAGATCCGACGGGTAGGTGTAAGGAGGAAGTTCTTCTGCTACTCGAACTAACAAATGTTACTAGATCACACAGATATGCAGGAGCAACACCATTGACTGCTTTGAAAATCAGTAAGCATAACTTAAACTCAATCCTCTCCTTCACCTTGAGCCAATGAAGGGATTTGAGCTTCTCCTCGACTGAGTCTCTCTTCTTTAATCCAAAAACCAGACGGCATGCTCGGTTCTGAATGTTCTGCAGCTGCGTAATTGAGGCTTGACTACAACCGTAGTAAAGTGCATTGCAGTAGTCAAGCGATGAGATTACAATTGCTTGAGTCAGTGTTCCCATCTGTTTGGTTGTGAGGAAAGTTTTCATCTTAGCAAGGTCTCTTAGTTTCAGAAAACACGATGTTTTAAGTTGCTTGATTTGCTCACCAAAGTTTAGTTGAGAGTCGAGACGAAATCCGAGGTTCTTTGCAACAGGTGACAGCCTGACACACGTCTCAGAGTTAACAAACACGCCCCCTATGGACAGCTGCTGGAGAACAAGCGGTGTCCCAAAGACAAGAATCTCAGTTTTTCCTGCATTGAGCTGGAGATAATGTTTTTTCATCCAGTCATTAATTTCTTGGAAACATTTGGGAACATCGTTGATAAGGACGGTGGGCTCCTCGTTTGGCTTGAAACTTTTATACAGCTGATGATGATTATAGAATGCTCACTGATCAAAATTCAAAGCGATCATACCTCGTAAGGGGTATTCCCCTTTGAGAACGAGTAAGGAGTTCTGTGAAAACTTTATCTGGAGCTACTAAGACTTTTATATTACTACTATATTATTCGTCATGCTTACTAGTTGATAATCGTGATTTAATTTCCAAAGTTATTCATTAATTCACTTACAGCGAGTGAACATACACGCATATCGCAATCATGTCAATGGCTGCTCATTAGTTCAAGTTTTAAAAGTAGAGAAGACTATTATGTCTAAATGAATATTTTGCATCACATTGTCATTATGCAATGGCGACTCTTGGGTGATAAGTCTATCATAGTCTGTACCATAAACTGTTCGTGGAAGACACCCAGCTCTGCAGACTCGGAATAAGTGTAGCGGGCTAAAAGCCCCGTTAAAAAAACATCAAAGCAGATTTTTCAGCATTCTGGAGTTCGCCTCACATAGTCTGCTATAATATTATAATAATGAAATTATTATATTTTAGCATTTTAAGTCTGTCAAATTTACATTGTCGCTGAGTTCGCATTGTGAACCAAGTTTGCAAAACTTCGGACAGATTCAGGTCTGCACAACTCCGAGATAGACACTCTTAGTCTTCAACGAGATATGCTACTAAGGAAAGTGTGACACAATCAACTGTAAATCTAATAAAAGTAAATCTAATAAAAGTAAATCTAATGACAATCCGCATGCTATCATACGTAGTAATTTTGACGCTGCTGTATCACTAGTAGAGTAGTAGGTCAATGAGCAAATCCACCGATGTAATCATGGTTCGAATACTTGTATTGACATTACAAGTAAAGAGTTGTCATCCTACACCGTATAATCTACACGGTGCAAATATTATGGTATGTAGATATTAGTAAATCCGGCTAAAATGCCAGCACATTGACTGTCTTGCCTCTACTCCTCCCAATTATCTAAACTCTTTTAATTATTTTGGTTTTATCATCTTAACTATAGTGTAATCCGCTCAGTTGAAAAGCCGCATCAAGCAATCATTATTATCAAGATACGCTCGTAAAATTTCATGTGACGGAAGAACGTATATAAAACAAAATGATGAAACGTTGCCATTGGGCAACTACTCCCTGCTACTAGAGTAGTTGGGGATATAAAGAGGATCGTATCGGAACGGAATGTTGTGCTCCAATTGAACTTCCTACAAAACACCAGTTATGTCATGGTGGCCGGTAAAGGCAAATCCGCTCCCTTACTCAAGCCGATGTATAGACCTCGTATATATTTCAGATCAACCTGCCGCTATAATAAAAAGCATCCATACTTTTTAAATATTTTGAAACCATTTTTTAATAACAACCTCAGAGTTTTGTCGGCACTATAATACCGAAAAAACCGGTCCCCTAACTCTTACCGTTTTCTTAATAAAGTGGTCTGTAAATTACAAACGGACGCGGACGGACAGTGCAGATGCAGTTTCTACCATTATTATTAGTGATGTTAATACGGGGGGTTACACGGAGCGATCATAATCTGTAATTCGGCTACAAATGTACAAAATATTAAATAACGCAAAGAAAATAACTATTTCTCTCTCGGAAGTGTAACTACCATGTGACCACTGCACTGCACTGGTTGATGTTCCCATCGGGTAGAGGCTGTGTCAAAAACACACACCAAGATACCACCAAACTAACATTGACGGCCTCTCTCTCCGGCCGGCCACCCGGAGTTCACGCTTCGCGTGCACGAGAGAGGTATACAACGTGTAGCAAAACTAACATTAACTTGAACAACATTAAATGTTCGCAGGTCTCCGGTGAAATAATGTAAAGTCTGCTCACGCGTTACAGCAGTATTCTCACGTGGAAATATCCAATTTCAAAACCGAAAGTGAGGTAATATGTGATCTACTGTGAGGCGAATTTAGAAATTGATATTTAATTAAGTGTCATTTTTACCTGGCTGCTAAAGGTCTGTAAATATATTGCTGTCAAATGAAAAATAATTCCACTTTATTGTAATGTCAAAATATGAAGGAACAGCAACGAATTAATCGCAAAGGAATAATTAGTAATACACTGGAACCAAGGGGGTGCATGCATTAGCGGCATCTCAAAAATATTTAATGAATATCCAAGTACTCGAGTAGTTATGAAGCCACACCGCCCTGTATATGGGTAATGGGTTTCCAATTTTCAAATCGAGTTTAATAATTAAACGCTAAGTAAGTAATGCGGCCTGTAATATAAAACCCACTCATTAGCGGTGTATTTAAAAGGAGTTTGCAAAACATCGGACAGATTCAGGTCTGGTCCGAGACAGACTCTTTTCAACGTGAAAAGTGTGAGACAGACAACTGATGTGTCTTTGAAAGTAAACTTTGGCAGATTCTGCAGGTGAAATACGGCACAAAAGAATGCAGAAAAGTAGACCTAGTCTGCTAGAGTATGCTGCTACGTCTGCCTAGTATTATAGAACAGGGTTTGGCAGAGCTAAATTTGATAATCTCGAGTCTGTGATAGGTTAAATTTTAGCTTTGAATGGGGTATTGCCATTTGCCATGCGTTGCTTTAGTCTTAATTTCAGCGAATTATTACATCAGTGACCGAATAATCTCTCGTGTTTGAAATAAAGCGTGAAACACCATTAGCCTGTATACAAAAATAAAGGTACAAAAACTTCGAACGCGATATGAGTGCAATAACATATCTCAGCAAATAATATGTGTGATAGAAATAATATGTGTAATAAAAATAATACAAGTAATCTCATGACAATGCGCTTCATGCTATCGGATGGAGTAATTTTGACGCGGTATCACTAGTAGGCCAATGAACAAATCCACTGATGGAATTATGGTTCGAATACTAATCATCAATGATATATTCACAGGAGTGAAATTTGTCATACTACACCAAATAATCTACACAGTGCAGATTATGTGCCGCCCCTAAAGGCCAAATATCACGTTTTGCTGGCGCATGCTAACAAGCACCAGAGTTCAGAATCTGTCTTCTCTAAAACTTGAACACTCGACATAGACTTGACCAATGACCACTCGACATAGACTTGAACACTCGACTAAAACTTGACCACTCGACTTAAACTTGACCAGTCGACATAAACTTGAACACTCAACTTAAACTTGACCACTCGACATAAACTTGACCACTCGACATAAACTTGACCACTCGACTAAAACTTGACGACTCGACATAAACTTGATCACTCGACTAAAACTTGACCACTCGACATAAACTTGACCACTCGACTTAAACTTTACCACTCGAAATAAACTTGACCACTCGAGACCTCAAGACCTCGAGTCTCGACATAAACTTTACCACTCGTGCAGTAGGTGATATGCATCATAATTGATAGTCATAATACTTGTAACTTCGTAAACGTCACAAACTTTTACGCTTCTTGTAATTGTAGTTATTGATTCGCTTGTTTGTAAAACCACTTATTGAAATGTCCAGCCGATACCTCATAATCTAGAAAACAGTATTCCGTTCCCAAACAGGGAAATTTCACAGCATGGTCTCTGCTCGTGTGACTTAAATCTGTCAGCTGGATTTGGGCAAGATGAACTAAAAGAAAAAGAACTAAGAAAACAGTAAGAGGAGTCTTTTCTCAAAGATTTATCGTCAACTGAAGAACCACCTCGACCAAGTAAGAGAGAAATGAGCCCTAACCTGGCTCTCGAACCCACCACTGTTTCTGTAGGACCTCAACTATGTTTTAAACAGGCAAGAATTTCATGACAGCATATAATATGTCTACGTTATGGTTGGAAGATCTAAAAGTATAGATTGTTACAGGATTATCTCCTCGATACATTAGAATGTGAATTGCCACGGTAAAATTGGCAAAAACCTGAGAAAATAGGCCTAAATTTGATGTTTTTTGAAATTGTCAACAGTTTACCTCATGAAAAGAGTAAGGAGCAAAATTTTAAAAATCGCCGCATATTTCTTGATTTTGCCACAACTCAGAGACAAAATTAAAAGTTCCAAATTTGAGATGAAACAGATTGCAGCTTTAAGAGAAGATAGGTTTTAAACTGAGAAGGAGAAGAAAGATTCGTACGAAGAGAGGGTACTTCAGTCAGAGTAAGTATTCTTTGTCCCTCTAGACTTCACAACATCTGGAGGAATAGCACCACTCTACACTGCACCATGTTTGTAGAACATGTGTCTGACTCAGGTTAAAAATCATGTAATAGACATAACATGGTCTCACACTAGCTCAAAAGAGTCATGCTTCATTATCGATGCAATGGTAAATACTATATAACACAAAATGAACCCCCTGGCACTTCATGGGGCCGCGTACCTGTGCATGGCAGGCAACCAGTACCAGGGATACATCACAGTACCAGGGATACATTTGAATTTATCTTATGCTACTGTCAAACTAGAAAGTACCGAAATTAATGTTGTACCATGACTGCAGACTGTGATTTCCCATGGCTAAATTATTTGGTAATTTTACTTTTTCAAGATTAGCTTCTATGTAACCGTTTTGCTACTTTTCTTATTACTGATAATCTTATTAAGTTTTTTTTTTTTTAAATGTAAGATGAAAAAAATATTACTATCGTTCAAATTTGTAAAACTTTACTTACAAAAGAATGATACAGAAAATTACAGGGCTGCTTTGGCAAGAGTTTCTCCGTCGTATATCTTTATGCCAAATCCTATGACAGATGCTTTCATCATTACTAGAGGCTTCGCATGGCTGAGGTAATTAAATTATCATGAAATATATTGCCTATTTGTAAGTGACCACCAAAATCTGCCCACTATCAGCAACCCTCTAATTCATTTGGCCCTAATTAATTAGAAGTTAAAATCATCCAATTATTACAGAAAACTGTATCTATTTAATTTCTCTCAGTACATGTAATCAGTGTCATCATCCTTACGTGAATAAAGTGGCTCATTATATACATAAACGTAGCACTTGGTGTCCAGAGAAAAGGTCTGAAAGTTTTAACCCCGTTGTTCCATACCCTTGCCAGCAAGCATGTGTACTGAAGGGTCATCATCTTCCCCTTATTTTGCAAATTTCGTTCCCACATGCACGATAGCATTCATGGATTCTTGATCTGTTACTGAAATTTTTCGAAATCAGAGATTTAATACAATATACAATGAGAGCTCCATGTGGAAATTTGACTAATGGAGCACTCAAATACACATTAAAGACAAATGGCTATTATTTATATGCAGTGACTGATGAGACATAATTTTCATAAAGCATTTTAAAACTCACTTGAAAGAACAAATTTCCATTTCTATCAATAATTTTGATACAGTCATCTCTGAAATTGAAAAATGATCTGAAATGGTCCTGATCCTGGCATGTAATATAGAGTCCCAAACAAACATAATTTAGATAGTGAAAAGCTTTGTTCACAATTCAGTAAAATGTGTATTTTTATATATTCTTTTTATGATTTCTGCAACTTAAAAGTTGCAGTTTTCAACTACATTAATTTGCAATTGCTAAATTTGGTTATTATCATTGCAAAAGATCCGCTACCCACTCCTACTAAATTGCTCGCCCAAATTTTCTTGAATTTGAAAAAAAAGAAAATTCTTGAGAAAAGGCCCTTTGGGTAAGAAATTTTTACGGACGAAAGAAAAGTGTGTCAAACAGTATATATACAATAAAGTAATTCAAGTGTTGCAATTGGCAGAGCACAATACAGTAATTTGGGTAAAAAAATTGGGTAAGAAATTGATCAGAATCGGTGTATTTTTGGACGCTGATTCCAAATCACCCCCCATGACAAAGGGTAAAAATGCTTCCCTGGAGAGTTATGGGCAAAACACCGTTTTGGTCACGTGACAGGCTATACTAGCGCTAGTAACACACGAATTCGGTTGTTTAGGGCTCGGGTTAGGGTTAGGGTTGTGGTAAGGGTTATGGATATTTATTTATTTATTTGATAGTTTAGTCTGATATTGATATTAATATTGATTATATTGATATTGTTATTATTGAATGAAGCTAACTCCAAACATAAATAATACTACTTCTATTAACAAAGGGACTTGGAGTATAAACGACCAATTTTGCATAATTGTCTATCCAACCAAGAATTCAAGAGGCAAGGGTGGGTGCGTAAACTTTATGGTCTGCACTCTCAGATCCTGTATCACCCTGGATTCATTTCGACGTATTTTTGGTAAAAGTATACATATACTTTCTGGTCACTCTCTTGCTACTCCAAGTCCCGGCCTAAGATATATGGTCTAAAGTTTGCACTAGTTATATTTATAAAATATGTTTTTGTCTGCTTTAACTGTACTGATACTAAATAAAAATGTTGTTTTCTTGAAATTGTTGTTTTCTTGGATAGCTTCGGGGTTATGGTTAGGGTTAGGGTTGGGATTAGGGTTTATGTAAAACCGTTTTATACGGCTGCAAAACCATAAAAACCAAAGTCACGTGAATTTTATGGGCAAGCGAATTAGTTGTTATGTGTTAGTAAAAGCCTTGGCGGTTGTTACTCGTCTAAATTTCTTCGAAGTAGCGCGCGCCGCTAATTTCTTCTCGAAATGGCCCGATGGCAAGTGCTACGAAGTAGCGCGCGCCGGGCCAGACCATTAACAATGGTCAAGTAAAAGCCCAAAAGATCTCTTGCACTAAGTAATACATTTTTGTGTTTTGTATATTATTACTTTAGTTCACTTTTTACACTTTTGCTCACATCATGATCACTCACAGTCAGCCGCTCTGACATGGTTAACCACCTTCCTTGTGTTGTTGGTTAATCATATGAGCGGGATATAAATACCTCATTTCATTTCATTTCATTTCATTTCATTTCATTTCATGATCAACGCCAGAGAGATTTCGTCAAAAAATCTTTTTCAGGGGTCCGAAAAAGCCGTACAGGCACTTGGGTCCTTATCCTTGTCACTAATCTCAATTGGATTCGGTTTACACAAAACATGAACATTTAGACGTACACATTTGACATTGACACGATATTTATAAGAAAGCAAAAAGTATAAAATAATACGTGCGTGCGCGGCTTGAGCCGCGCCGCATAAGAACGGATGCGTGCAGGGGCTGGAATACGTAGTAGATTAATGAAATATTGCATTGTAAATATTGAGAATTGACGATATATTATGATCTAATAGTAAATTTTACAAAGCTGGCTTTGGATTAAGGTAAGATTATAATTCATTAAAAAAAACCATGGATAGTTTAAATTTATTTTTATTTGTCGTATATAATCATAAACAATTTAATCCTGTTTTCAAGAATGCGCGGCTTTGGCGGCCAGTTATTGACTTATATACATTAAATTGAATTTTAAATAGAAATGTGAATATATTAAAATTTGAAACTTTCAAAACGGAGGCTTATAAATATTATTATATTATGATTGTAAAATAAAGGATAAAATTTTAAAAATTGTTTCACTAAAATTTGTTTCACTAATTTTCGAAGCTGCAAAAATTGACATCGTCAATCAACTAAACATCAATCTCATAATTCGTTTAATTTTATATTTAACCATGGGCCTACGCTTACTACGTTTTTTAATTAATTTAACTCCATAAAATTTACATTATTTCTTTTTCTTTTTAAACTATTAAAGCGGAAAAATACATAAAAGACGGTGCCATTTGACAATGCGACGCGCGCATTATCACAATTGCTGCGCACATAATCAGCAATTGCAAATTGTTGCAAAGCAAAAACATAATTTTGAAGGGTCGGCATCATCGATTATAAAGGAACACATAGTTTTTAAAATATTCAACTATCAATAATCAATAAAGGCTAAAGAAAAGAAATTTTAAAATTTGTTTAACTATTTCATGGTGGTGATATTTCGTATTTTTCATCGTTGATCACCTGGAGACTTCAAGGTATAATTAATATATCATGTTGACCATTTTTAATGGTCTGGCCCTTCACATAGCCATGTGCCTACGCGACGCGTACTGCGTGACGCGCGCTACTGCAAGCGAGAGGGCTCTGGTTAGAGCAAGTCTGGCCCGGCGCGCGCTACTTCGTATCACTTGCCATCGGGCTTTCGAGAAGAAAACGGCGCGGCGCGCGCGCTACTTCAATGAAATTTAGACGAGTAACATCCGTCAATATATTATGATAATGTCCATAAATATATTGTTACAGGTTTCAGGTTTATAACTTCAGTCTTCACCTAACCATGTGCTTCCGCGCCACTGTGGGCGCGGGCAAGACGGTATAAGTATCACCCGCTAAAAATATTGAATGTTGAAGTTGCAGCGGAAATACAGGCCTTACCAGGGGACCTCAGGCTATTATGTTCATAAATAGAGATTCGGCGGAATGACAGGCTGAGCACGGCCCAGTAAGACAGGCCAGGCTTAGCGTTGCTCTAACCAAAGCCCTTGGCCCCTTGCGCTTGTAGTAGCGCGCGCCCGTACCGTGAAACAAGCGCCTAAAGTGGTGCGAAAGCTGAGCGCCACTCAAAATTGTTAACTCATACCAATTCTTAACACAGACAAATTGTTGACACACGTTTTATATTTTTTTGCGTGGAGCTTGCGGCTTTTACTAATTCGCTCGCCCAAAAATTTCACGTGACTTTGGTTTTTACGGTTTTGCAGCCGTACAAAACGGTTTTACATAAACCCTAATATAATCCCAACCCTAACCCTAACCATAACCTCGAAGCTATCCATAACCCTCACCACAACCCTAACCCTAACCCGAGCTGCACTGGCAAGCAAATATATATATATATACATTTTAACATTCAATTTTTCATGTACAATCAATACAAGTTGATGCATGATGTTGACTTACACTAAGTGTAAAAAGATAACATCTGACATCACAGTAGTGGCAATTTTAAATTGCAGTTATCAAATTATAGCAGCAAACTCTTACTATTACTATCATGCTTGAACTATAAGCTGAAAAGCTTAATTTCAGATCGATTTTCAAACATTTGTAATAGTTTATCTGATCACTGATTAGTTGATATCGATATTGTTTATATTGTTGAATGAAGTTAACTCCTGAGATAAATTTTATTACTTTTAACAATGAACAAAGAGACTTGGTTGATACATGTTACAGACTTGGTTGATACATGTTCGGCGGCGCGCGCATCGCGCGAAAAGTGGCATGCAACGTATGTCAAGGACTTGGAGCATAAATGCCTACCCAACCAAGAACTCAGGAGGCAAGGGTGTGTGCGTAAACTTCACGGTCTGCACTCTCCGATTCTGTATCACCCTGGATTCTTTTTATTTATATGTATTTTTGTAAGAAAAACAAAAATAATATATATTTTTGTTTACTTTAATTGATACTAAATAAAATTGTTGTTTTCTTGAAATTTTTGTTTTCTTGAATAATATTACTTCCATCGTAGTTTGCTAGTTTACACGTTTAGTGTGGTTATAAAATAAAATCTATTTTTTACTTCTTCTCTTTATATCATCTTTCCTTCCATTCATCACCTCCTTCCCCTCTCCTTTTTGTCTATAATTCTTCCCATGCTTTCTTCTACGCACAACCAATATTTGCTCTACCTCACATTTTTGATTGATTCATATAGATTCACAATAGACAAAGTATCTCTTAGCCTCTTTTTGTTGTTAATCTGTTAACTGGCTTCCATGCATTTCCAGATTAAATACTCTAGGCCTTACCCTGCCTAGGCTTTTTCATCATGTGATACCTGTGACAAACCCTTGATTATCGTCAGTCGCATGTCACATTTTAGTTCATTTTGAATACATGGACATGTTTCGTCGAAAAGTGGTTTATTTTAAAAGACATAGGAAAAATTACAAGATTACAATCATAAAGTTCTCTAACATTATTTCTTAGCTGTACTGAAGAACAGATGGGTGGATGTGGTATTGGCTTCCCTGATTTGATCTCATTCATAACCTTATTTTCAACCAGTCTGTATTCTCCCATTGTTCCTGCTCTGCAATATGTAACTCTTGGAGTCGAAAAGTATGGAATCGAAAATGTGACACTCATTGTTGCATGCTACAAAGAAAATGATACTAATGTGACGTGTAAAGATATTGGAGATGCCATTTCCAGTGACATGTCATCATTAACTGTGTATATAAATACTGTAAAAGCTGTCTGTGCTCCAATCTTTGTGGTTTTGCTTGGTGGATATTCTGATGCAGTGGGCAAAAAGTTTGCTATCAATACAGTTCTCTTTGTAAATATAGTGTGGTGCATTGTAATCCTCTTCAACACAATATTTCTTACTGGCTATCCATCCTGGATGTATGTGCTTGCAAATGGGTTCATCCTAGGAGTGAATGGAGGCTCTACATTTACTGTCAACAACTTCTTGACTGGTTACCTGTCAATTACAACACCACCATCCAAACAAACTGGCAGGTTCAGCCTGCTCTTGGGTTGTGGCCTTCTTGGCTTTGTGCTAGGCCCAGTTACAAGTGGCCTGATTCTGAGGGTCACAACAAAATACTGGATTCTCGGAGCGCTGTCTACGTCATTGATGTTCATTGCTATGATAATTGGAATTTTCTGTTTGAAACCTATCGAAAATAAACCAGAATTTCAGCTAATGTTCAGCTGACAGGATTTTTCGATACTTTTGTGAAGGCCTTGAAGTTCCAGTATCATAATACCATTGATCTATTCAAGTATCAGTCTTTCCTTGGAAAGTTTCTTGGTGCTAACTTCATGTACATGCTAGGTTCTGTTGGATTGATTTCCCCCATTGTCGTCCTGTCCCAGGTGTACTTACTTGCAGATCCTTTTAAATGGACAACGAGCTCTAGAGGTTATTTTAGTGCAGGTAAATCAAGCGTCTTGTTACTTGTGAATCACAGTTGCTTAATAATATATAACAATATATTATACTTTACTAACACTAATTATTATACTTCACAAAAAATTCAAAAATTGCCTTATTAATTATAACTTTCACCTGTTTGATACTTCAATTTCGTTAGTTTTTAGCTCTTTAGTTCTATTAAACCTGAACTTTCATTTTTCTAATACCTTTATATTTCAGGTCTGGGTTTGGTCTTGCCCTTCAGAGTGTAATAACAGTGAGAATTTTGAAAATGTTCCACTTCTCCAGACCTGCCATTGTTAGAGTGGGAGTATTTATGGGTTTTGTTGGAACATTCTTCTTAGCATTTGCTACAAATAGCCCTATCCTACTGATAGGTAAGTAAACAAAGGCTTGCTGAACTGTTGACATTTCTGATTCGATGTAAGCTTACAAGTAACTAATTGTAGATAAATATCTTAAAATTTTCATGAGAACATGTTTCAGGAGTGGGATTGAGCTCATTCATTGTAATAACAACCCCAACGATTCAATCAATTATACTGTCTCTCGTTGAGCCTGAGCAAGTTGGTACTGCTGTCGGTTTCATGGCAGCCATGCAAGGCTTTGCTGAAAGTGCTTTAGTTAATATCATCCTGTTGGTTTACAACAAAACTAAACACATCATGAATGGCTTCTGCTTTTTCACTTTATCCTTTCTTCTTGGTATTAACCTAGTGATCGCAATGTGAGTACTAGATCTTTTTCAATACTTGTATAGAATACTGGGGGTGGGGGGGGGGGGGGGGGGGTGGGGGCCAATACTCTTAAATTCTGCTCACTTAACTAATTAAATCAGAAAAATGTACTTTAATTAACTCAAACTCATTAACTCTATAAATTATCCCTATCTCTAGGTTCTATACGCATCCTCAGACTACAAGGGAAGACAGGAACCCTCTGACAACTGATGATGATACCCCTGGCTCCCCTATTGTCCCCAGTTCTGATGTTCTCAAAGGGGGTGTACCTAAAGCTTCGACAACTCCTGTGAGTGTTTTGGGGTACTTCCCTGAGGGGCAGAGCATATTATCTTGTTTTCACAAAAGATGAACATAGGACTCCACTTTGTAAATCTAATTTTTCCATAAAGATATTGAACCTCCAGCTTTTTTTGCGTTTAAGAAGTAACAAGGCAGTGGGCGAATATTTCTATCACAAAAGACTAGGCTAAATTTATCATTTCAGGATGGATGTGGACAAAGTGAACGTACTAGTCCTGATAATATATATGCTGCAGATCCTCTACCTGCATCTGAAGCTTAAAGATAAAGGCAGCTTTTTGTGAGTCCATGAGCCAGATTGCGGACAATTTAACCCATCTTAATTCTGATTCTTCTGTAAGTTTTAAATGGAATTATTTCTTTTTACCAGTTTTATCAGTTATACTGTTTTTAATGTGATTATACTAACGGAATTGAATAATTAAAAAAAGGTTAACATTTTTTCATTGTTTTGAACAGCTAAATTAATCATTGCATTTATGTTTTTAACTAAAATTGGTCTTGTTTTAGTTTGTTATTCGTACGTTTTTAATTACAGATACTAAAAGATTAATTTTGTTTTTGCTAAAGATTAATATTTGTATGGTTTTTATTTTAAAGTTTGTAATTTTTATCGATATTTGATTGGTTGTAACTGTTGATTATCTTTATTTTCAAAATCGGAGCAGTATTTTCTTTGGCAGTGTGTAAAATTGGTATAGGTTAATAAATTTGTTGAAGCACCTTACTACTAGATCTCAATTAGGAACCGACCGGATTTTTTTTTCAGAAAAACTTTGAAAACGTTTTGACTTTAAAAATGTTCGGTCCGAGTCATTCTCGATACGTACCTCCCGTATCGAGAATATTCGAAAATCATTTCTGATAATAACTTTCTACTCTTGTTACTTCTTGTTAATACTCTGGTTACAACGTACTGCTCAGTGCTCATGCTTGTTGATTTTATATTTGACCTATGTCTACTGCTAGGAAATTATGGATTATAGATTTCTGATTTTTATAAACAGATTGGTACTTCTAGCTATCAGATCATGGTTGTTTTAAATTTTTAAATCGATATATTATTGTTGAATCGTTAGATACTTATTTTATTCGTGTGAAATAATAAAATATCAGCATTTTTATTTCTCTAGATGATTGTGTCCGTCGTGTATCCGTGCAAATGTTAATAAATCATTGAAAACTTGGGCTATCCCAGCAATCCAATTATAGTCTAGATCGATGGAACCATTTTGGGGGTTCCAATATGGTTGATCATGGAACTTGATTTTATGACGTTTCCTTAAAGAGGAGAGTAAGATCTTTATCTTGATCCTAACACACGCAAGAGTTCAGCTCATATAATATTAATGTGTAATTCTAACACACACAAGAATGAAGAATTTTAACGAAAATCCCTACTCCTCCCACATTTCTGATAGGGTTGCACTGAAACTTGGCAGGTACAAATTAAACATTATTTAGAGAAGAATTTTCTGGCCAAAATATTAAAGGCCTTTAAAATGAAAAAATGTAAAATCAACTGTGACAGAAGTCATAGAAAGGAGGCTATGGTTCATTACTAAGAGTGTGTGATCGTATTATATGTGCGACCAGCCTGCCACTTATTGCAGTTGTTGGGGCCAAGCTGATTGTCAGACTGATTATGTAGACAATTGGATGTATTGGTTACCCCTGATTGTTGTCATCAGTCACCTCTACATGTAACTGCATTTTGGTTGATTTGTAATACAAATTTCGTTCAAAAATGATTTATTGTAAAGGAGTTTAAACAAGAATGATTACAAGATTTCAAAAATTAATTACCATGTACTTAAATTAAATGCTTCCTAAGTACAGAAGAACAGATGGGTGGATGTGGTATTGAGTTTCCCTATGTTATCGCATTTATTAACCTATTTTCAACAAGTCTGTATTCTGCAATTGTTCCTGCTCTGCAATATTTTTTTTTTTTTTTTTTTTTTAGAGAGGCTGGGCCTGGTTGGCCCACGAGAGTATAGCATATGAATGCTTTGCCTACCTCTGGGGTATGGCAGTCCTGTGGGAGGATGCCAGTGGAATCAAGATGTGTAATCAAGGATGATGGTAAGTGTTGTGGGGTGTGTCATAGATAAACGCTTAAGTGGTGGTTGAGTGTGGAAGAGAGAGGCGAAATAAGACGGCGTTAAAGTAGTCGCTATGTTACACCTGTCTGGTCCAACTCCTCTGGCACCACTAAGCGTTTAGTGTAGTTTGTAAAGTTGACAATGGTGGAGATGTGTTGGTTGTCGAATATGTCATTGACAGAGAGGTAGTAGTCCCGGAAATATTGACCTCTTATTTGGGCAATAGCCGGGCACTGTCCGAGAAAGTGTGAGACAGTCTCCTCTTCGTCGCCCTATTTAGGACAAGCACTTGTGTCTGATTTGCGAATGGTGTGTAGGTGTTTGTTGAGGCCACAATGTCCTGTGATGAGGTGCACTGCAGTTCTATAATTTTGTCTGTTGTTACTGAGTGTAGTGTTGAGATTTTTGATGATGTTGATGTTTTTATGTCCAAGTGTCAGTTTAGTGTGTCTGGGACCATCAGTAATCCATGATTCTTGATTAAGTTTTGTGACGTTGTCGTTGATCAGGCGTTTGATGTAAGATTGTGGAATTGGGCAATTCAAAGTGGATTCACTGGTTGTACCATTTTTGGCCAGCTCGTCTGCTTTTTCATTTCCCCACAATCCAATGTGTGCAGCTATCCATCTGATCTCTAAGGTGTTAGTGGATCCGAGTGTATTGAGGGTGTCGTAACAGTCTCTAGTAGTCCTACTCCTCGTTGAAGGTGAGGATATGGCTTGAATAGAGGAGAGACTGTCTGACCATATGATGATGTGTGTGTTTGTATAAGTTGATAGATATTTACAAGCTTCGATGATGGCAGTGAGTTCTGTTTGATAAACGGTGCAATAATCGGGAAGCTTGAATGATCTTTCATCTAGTGTAGTGTTGTTGTTGTCTGTGGTGATAATATAACCAGCCCCGCTACCTGAGTCTGTGCGTGACCCGTCTGTGTAGCAGGTGATGGTTTCACTGGGGATGTTGTCGATGGTGTTTTGGAGTGAGCCTCTATATCCAATGTTGTCAGCTCCAGGAGTGGTGACCGTGAAGCGTCGTTCAAGCATCATGGTTGGTATAGATAGGTCTCTCTCTGCTTTGGGTGGTATGTTGAGATCTACCATGAATTGTTTGTTGATAGTGGTGTGAGTTGTGATGGTACCTTTTCTGGGGGCGATAGTTTCGAGGGTTAGGCTTCCATAAGCTTGAAGCCTGGCTGTGCCCTTTGCTGCTTCACCTCTCAGGAAAAGTATGATATCTGGAGTGTTAGTGAGGTGGTTCAGTGCGATGAAGGGAGTACTAGGCATGGCACCAGACATCATTCTCAATGCCAATGCCTGAACTCGTTTGAACTTCCTCGCGTTGGTGTCTGTTTGGGTTGCTCTAATCCATATACTACAGCAGTATGATAGAATAGGTCTGATGACAGCGGTGTACATCCATTTGCATGTTTTAGGGCTCATACCCCAAGTGGGGCCGACAGCTCTTCTACATTGCATAAGGGATGCCGTAGCTTTTTTGGTGGTATTGGTGATATGTTCATTGAAATTGAGCTTGCTGTCGAGGGTCACTCCTAGGAATTTGGCAGATTTGGATAGACCTATAGTGGTGTTACCCACCACCACAGGTCTTAGTGTCCATTTCTTATTCCAGGTAAACATGACTATTTGTGTTTTGAGTGCGCTTATGGATAGATCTTTGGTTTGGCACCATTTTTCTATTGTGTTGATGGTTTTGCGTGTTCTGTTCCAGATGATGTCTAAATCATTCCCCTCCGCTAGAGAGAGCAGATCGTCTGCAAAAGCTTGCAGATAACCTGGTATGTCTCTTGCGGTGTAGGCCAGGAGATCATCGACTACCAGGTTCCAGAGGAAAGGGGAAAGGATGCCACCTTGAGGGCACCCTCTCCGGATCCGAACCCTTGTCGACTTATCCTTATGATTTAATGTGATGAATCTGTTAGTTACCATGTTGATAATCCATTGTGCTGTGGCCAGATCCACTTTCGTGGTCTTGATAGCGTCAGAAATAGCCTTGAAAGAGACATTATCAAAAGCTCCCTCTATATCTAGAAAGACGCCTAGGACATATCCCTTCTTAGCTATCCTGCGCTCGATGGTGTGAGTAACTTTATGAAGGGCTGCTTCGGTTGAACATCCTTTCTTAAAGCCAAATTGTCGTTTGTTGATGTCTTTAGCGATATTAAGGTCGTGTTGCATATGCCACAGTATCACCTTCTCCTGTAGTTTTAACATCACTGGAGAAAGGGTGATAGTGCGAAATAACTTTGGTTGGTTGTAGTCAGTTTTTCCAGGCTTTGGAAGAAAGATTCTAAGGGATTCTTTCCACAAAGTTGGAATGTGTTGGGTTTCATGATTTTTTGTCATAATGGTTCTGGTGATGTCTTTGATGTGTGTCCAAGCTTTCTGTATGATGATAGGTTTGAGGGTGTCGGGTCCAGCAGCTTTCAACGGATCGAAAGATTTAAGAGCCTCCTCGATTCTGTCTGGGCTGTAGATGGTATTGAGTAAGGTGGTGGTGATTGGTAGAGGACCAGGTGGAGGCACTGGCGGATCAGTGACACTATCCTTGAAGTGGGTTCGTGTCATGACCTCCAATGTCTCCTCTGCATTTTTGGTGATGTCTCCGTTTGGTTTGTAAACGGCTTCTAGTGTATGTTTGTTGTCGTTACAGGATTTCAGAATCTTATTCATCCTTCCGGATTCCTTAACAGACTCTGTTTCCTGACAAAAAGTTCTCCAGGCATTACGCTGGGAGTTGGTTATAAGTCTGTTGTATTGTTTGTTGCTCTCTCTAAGAGCGAGCCACAGGGCATCAGTCTTCTTTTTGCGGGCAGTAATCAGTTTTTGTCTTATTCCCCTCTGTGCTTCCTCTACTTCTTGAGTTAGCCAGGGGGGTTTGCGGACGGAACTTGAGATGTAAGTGATGGGGCATGCCTCCTCGAAGGCTTCCTTTAGTGCAGTATTGATTATGTCTATTTTGTGATTAATTTCAGTCGTAGTGTTGATTTGTGTGTTGTTAAGGTTGGGGTTATTCGATAGGATCTCATCAAATCTGTCCCAGTCAGTGTTTTTGACTAGTCGGATCTGTTTGGGTTCCTTCTTTGGCCCTGTAGTTATATCGAACATAATATAGCGATGGTCAGAGTTGGAGTAAAGGTCACTAACATGCCAGTTACTAATGAGATCTCCTCCCAACTGGTTTGTTATTGTGAGATCGATAATTGAGTTGTGGCCTCGAGAGTTGAGGAAGGTTGGGGATGATCCTTTGTTGGCACATGACAGCCCTAGGGAGGAGAGAAAGTCAAGAAGCTCCTCTCCCCTTTTATTGCATGCCTTGTTCCCCCAAAGGGTGTGGTGGGAATTGGTGTCCGACCCTATAATGAGCGGGATGTTGTTATCATTTGCGTATTTTGCTAGAGGTGATGTTTCTTGTGGCGGGTACCCGGCCCATTTATATCCATGTACGAAGCTGCCAGAATGAGTTCTGTCGAGCTGAGTTGGATTTTAATGGCCACTTGATCGGGTGTTGTGAATTGTGTAAGTTCCCAACATTTTACTGTCAGGTTTTTGTGCAGTACAATAGCGGCACGGGGTCTTTTATCCCGACCTTGTAGTAATATTGGGTGAGATCCTTATTGATGGGTGGTATTAGGTTTTTGTTATTAGAGTACGGTTCTGTTGCAAGAATGATTGGATTTCTCCGGCCGTGAGTGTTGATAAGGAGGGTTTTCCATGCATTGAACTTGCGTTTGAGATTAATTTGGGTGACAGAGTAAGTTTCAGACTGCTTATTGCATGCTGCAATAGTAGTTTTTAACTTTTTTTTGGCGTCTCTTCTTTTTTGTGCTAGTTTGAGCGTCATTGAGCGGAGTGGAAGCCGTCCCTCCCCCTAGACAGGTATTATGACCTATCATTGCCGGTGGGGCGCTGAGGAGTTGGACAGGGTCGGGTAGCAGCAGCTGGCCCTCCAGAAGGTACGCATGGTCCCTTCCAGACAAACAGCCCCCGCCAGACCTTCCCTGAACATGGCTCCCACAGTCCGCTCAATAGACGTTTGTGTGTGAAATTGTGTTTGTTGTTATCTTTTGTTTGTGACCATATGTTCTCACGTGGGTGCGCGCACCCGCTCGAAGATATGATTTTTTTTAGCTTTTAACACAATAATGTCGTATGTCGGTTGGACCATTGAGACTTGCCGAGAGTCAAAAGTGGTCGGTTGAAAGTAGGTTGTTGGTCTGATCGCAATGCCAACTGTCGATTCAATGTCCCCATCCGGCCCGACTGCAAACAACTTTACTAGCTTAAGCTGGTCGTTATGGATAGTGACCGTCCCTCCAGTTGGCACCACTGTTGGTAGTAAAGGTTGGTTTTTGGTGTTGTTACAGTATATTACTTTATAGGGTTCGTGGACGGTGCACAAAGTGCATGAGTCAGACCCAAGAGTCCGTGCACATACATTCGTGTTTGCCGAAGCACACTCTACCCACAATCTATAAAGCAAATGGTTGATCAGTGAGGGTGTATCGTGAGTTTTAACACTTTCTGCGAATCGTAGAAAGATGCTGAGAAATACTACGACGACAGTGTTGAAATGCCGCCCAATAAAACAGGGAAAATGGGTGCTAATGATCGGCAT